TTCTAGCAAAGACGAACGAAACGTTGGACCCGTGTGTACGAAAGGCCCCTATTTCTCTTTTGACTTTAAGCGAGACTTAAATATGTCTTTGCCTTTATTTATTTAGAAAAATAATCATGTTCAATCGAGCCTTAGTGCAGAATTTGAATTTGAAGAGAAATATTTGCTTTTTTTCTCATACAATCAATTTAGACTGATTTTACGCAAATGTCATTTACACCACTCCTTTGTACGCAAAATTAATATGTAATTTTAGTAATTATTTAAAAAGTTTTCATAGAAATTTAAATTATTTTATCAATATCATTCACGTGGCTGTTTACAATTTAAGTATATAGCTTTCTTTCGAATATGTGATTTATTTTATTTCGTTTTTGTGTTTTGATACATATTTTACACGTTTTTGACGTTTTTTAAAAAATATTTAAAATTTTGAATTAAAAATAAATATATATCGTAATAAATATCAGGAAAGTTAAAAGACGTAATTTTTAGTATTTTATTTTTGCTGATAATTCGATATCTGTAAAAAATATACTAATGATTAAGTGAACTTTAATAACAATAATAATAAATATTTTCAAAGAGTTTGAATGTACAAATACGCAAATGCTGTTTAAATACATTATAATATATATAGAACAAGTTAAACCCTTTTTCTACATTTCATAATTTTTGCGATATTTGCTCAAAAATTAAATTTAGATGTAAAAGCTATTTTTCAGCTCTCTTAATGCAATTAAATGCGCGTACCCTTCGCTCTTTAAATTTAAACTATCGTATAATATACATATATATTCAAAATTTATCAAGGTTAAAAAAAAAATTCATTAAACGTTTTCTTATCAAATTTTTCGTACAATAATTAATTCAATCTCTTCGACTTTTTGAGTTCATAGAGATTACGAGATGACTAATGTAAATGGAAAAAGTAATTAATAGCGGCAAAAGAACGCGAATCATTCGACTGCGATGAGCTGCGGTGGTGTAATGAGAGTAAGAAATGAAATGGGTGACTCGCGCGGAGATTAGATTCGAATAGGAAACGATAGCACAGAGATTTCTGCTCACGGATGAGGGATTAAAGATCTAGGAGTGGCCCGCTTGGGATTAAAGTTGAATTATACCGGCAAACACGCGATATGGATGGCTGCAAAATGAGAAATGTCTTATCGGCATGATTGGAAAAATTTTTATGCAATTATGCTTCGTTAATCGTTTATATATACGTATAATATTTTTTTTCTTTACATAACAAAAGAGCATTATAAATAATTATATAAATAGTATTAATAATAAATTATATAAAATATATATATATAAAATAATATATAGAACAGAACACACAGCACACGCGCGCTATAGATGTTTAAAGATTGATATTGTGGTTCCCGAGACGCGATACGATTCATGAAAAGAGAATACCAAGGGTTCTGGAGAAGAGCGCGATGCTATGCGCCGTCTTTGGATAGAAAGTTTCATTCGCTTTCTCAAGTTCGACATATGGGTATTGCCTACCTTTCACTTTACATGTAAATTTACAAGTTTCGAGACAAAAGAAAAGGTACTTTTAACAGATAGAAGATGAGTATCTGTGATTTGATTCAATTTGATCAAATTTTTAATGTCTTGTATTTTATTCTGAAACATTTTCTAGATTTTAAATATAAAATGTATGACGCATCAAGTTTTCCAGTGGACGAATAAATTAAAATATGAAATAAGTGTTTAGAATATAGGGTGATTAAACACACGTGCGATACACAATCTTGAATTAAAATTATATAAAACTTTTGCTTGTGAACAATTCATATTTAATTAGTATATATCTAAAAATCAACATAATAACGTTTGGATATTTTGAGAGAATGAAAAGAGAAATACGCAGATCGATCATTGAAATTAAAGTCGAGCTTTTATGGGACGACCACATGTAGTGGGACGAAATAAATTTGGTATCGGCGACACGTCAGGATGCGTCGCGCATCCTGTTTGGAAATGCCGGAAATTGTGAGCACCGCTAACAGATCTGGTCCTCGAACGAAGACACCTCCGATGACGGAAGCTCCCGATTGTCTCAAGTAAATCCGTGTCGATCTTTTTACTTCCGTTTTTCGATAAAGACGATACGAAGACGTCGCGACGTCGCGGATGTCACGCAATATATATCTTTGCGACATTTTCGTTTATAGAAATGACCAGGATTCGTTGTTTCAGATAAATCGAAACGTTATCGAGATAAATCGTTTCAATTATTTTCCGAGTCTTTTGATAGCTTGCGTTTTACAAAGTCTCAAGATAAAAGTTTACTGCTACATTATATTGTATTGTGTATGTATACATGTATATATGGCGTTGCAATTTTAATGGTCAGCAGTGCGTATGTGTATACATAAAAAAAAATACAAACATGATTTTTAAAACAATTTACATTTAATATGTACACGGCAAATATATTATCGTATTATCATATAATAATTAATAACGAGAAAAATGTCGAGGCATTCGATTTTCTGCGTCGTATTCTCTTATAAAAGAGTACGCATTTAAAATCCAAGCACTCACAATACGATTCGACTATTTGTCAAATATTAACGCACACATATGTCGTCCTGTAATGGAGATGCATCCTCGAGGACTCTCGTTCACGAAAGATTGACATGCAATTAAATCATGTCCGATACGATCCTCGCACATCAAAAGTTGTAGAATATGTTGTTATCGCTGCAATCAAGGCCGATGAGATCCCGCGCATTATAGTAAAAGGAGTTTAATAATCATTTTCAATTATTTCGACAAATTACGCGTAAAAAATCTAACTTAATCATTTTGTCACATAGTACAATTTTCTAAATAAAGGTCCATGTTGGCAATAATAAATCTAATAATTTAATTTATTTATATATAATATTTCATATAAAATTACAAATGTTCGTATTTAACTTTATATTTAATATTTACGCGTACGAGAGATTCGAGAGATATCTGCCATTCGTCGCTGGGAATTGTACGAGAGTTACAATGACAGAAAAATATGTATGTAATATGTAGACACCTATGAGGTATCCCCACGCGGGGAATATCCCGTTGTAGAAATTCTGATTCTCTCGGGAATGACGTGTGCGCAGCTTCACCATGAACGTATCGGATTTCGTATGGTCATTCTGCGAGAACGAATGGGCGCTTTCGTTGAAATCCCGATATAAAGTGGCCTTCTGTTTTCTTCCTTATTTCAGCGCGATTATTCCATCCGAAACTTCATATATTGCCTCTGTCGGCTTAATACCAATCTTTATTATTAGGAAAAGGTAGCGAAATAAAGTGACAGAGCTATAATGTGTGTAATCATTTTTTTCATATTTATGTTATATCCGAAATAATTTGTTAAATATTGTAGTATATAATAAATGTATAATAAAATTTATGTGGCAAAATTTGATATATAATTAATCTAATATAATAATATGTATTTTTCAAAAACACACAAAGAGACATGATATTATTCATTTTTAACATTTAGCTGCAAATCGACAGCGCTATTTGTTAAAATTACCAAATCATTTATCAATTCTTATGTATACAATTGAATCTATTTCTATATATACAAATATGGTTTATTTTAGATGTAAAAGAAACACATGCGTCACATTGTAATGAAACATATGCATGTGGCTATCTTGCTAGAGAATTTATAACGATGGAGAATAAATTTGTGGATAATTCCGATCATCGATACGCGTCATCAACTTAATCGACGGTAAAAAACAGCTTTGCTGATATTTTTGGCAGACAACGGGTGACCGTAATGTTGGATGCGTTTCCGACAAGCGAGGGACATGGTTTACTTTCTATATACGGATTTATTTGCTCGCAAAACTTATACGCTGGCTATATACTTGAAAACAGACAAGATCTTCCTGTTCTCTTTAGCAAAATGATCATTAATCTTAGATAATTTTCTTCTTCGTTTATTGTTTTTGTAGACGTCATAGAACATTTGTGCCAACTATTTTGCGGATATCTAATATTTTAAATGTTACATGTAATATTGTACTTTGAACGTTATATATACAATTAAAACGCACGAACAATTAAATAAGTATTTGTAATTCCGTCTTGTACTTAGTCAATTTGAAAAATTTTTTAAATTATAAATTATGATAATTGCAATGGAGTTACACTACAGATGGAGTTTGTTAATTGCAAGAAACTCGACACGCATATATTGAAAATACCATTATCGAACAAGTTTCTCTGGAACTGAAAGATTCAATCAAGGAAGAAAGGAAGAACCCTTAATGCATCCTTGGGAACGAAAGTAAAGTCCTGCATCGCGATGTCGTAAAATCAGTTCTGTCATTCCGCACTCGGCCACAAAAATGTATCCGAAGTGCTTCCTATTGATTGATTACTTACACAAGAATCTTTTTGTAGGACCATATATGAAAGATCATATATCACTCACTTTTTCCCCACACTACTATCTTCAAAGTAGAAGAGGATAATTAATTTAAGATCAATGAAAAGCCGCGGCAACTTGATGAGTTTATATAGACATAATTATGATTGTGATTGAGATTTATGTAAAAAGCAAATATTATAAAATCAATCTTTGTAATATTATTAGCATTTTCTACTTTATAAAAAACATCGATATTAATAGATAAAAATAATTTAAAACCCATCAAAATTTAATAAAGACCAGCACGACCAATCGAGTGTTTCGCGCATTCCATTATGAACCTTGTCGCTTCTTTTTTAAATAATTCATTCCCTTATAAAAATAATAACATATTCTCGTTCCAACTGATAAGTTAAATTATTTTTCTGGAATGCGAAAAATTTGTGGTGAGATCAACATAACGATTATGACGATCGAGAACATAAAGAATGGAGATAGAGAAAGGAGTGCGAGGCTGGTGGGGATTGATAGCGGAGGGCGGAAAGTGCGGCGTTTCCACCCTTCGTCAGCTGTCCTGTTTGGAGCAGTCAGTGCGCGTTGTGGCTTCGCCACGTGCTTCTCGCGATTCTTACCCTTATTTTGTCCAACACACGCATCGAGATCATACCGTCATTTCCACAATGAAAATAATTTTCCAGAAATAATTCGACCTAACATACTTGATCGGCTTTCAAAATATCGAGATAACATTCCTGCTATCATCGTGATTATGTGTCAAAAGCTTCACGAATTGGCACAAACACGTGCGCTCTTGGTAAGTTTTTGAAAAATTTATGTATGTCAATTAAGATATTAAAGCTCATTAGAAATTCATTAGAATTTCACTCGATGGATTCACTTCCGTGTCATATAAAATAAAATGTTTGTATACGATTTGATTTATCGATGATACTCACTAAATTTATAAAACGTTTCGAAAATTTTCATTAACATCAGCAAATCACAAAAAATGTAGCATTATTTTTTAGAAATATCCTCTTTATACGTGTGTATCCTTTTCTAACAATATATATGTATATGTATATGTACAAGTGTCAAAAATTATCTCTATATGCCTATTTTCCTCTTCCTTCCTTTCCTTTTCTCTTTATCATATGCAAAAAAATGTGTTAAAAAATTTATTAAAATGTTGAAACATTTAATTAAAAGTAAAAATATTTATATTATTAAAATAAAATTTGCTCATAATTGCATATAATTTTTTTCTAATAAAAGTTTTCAATCTCAATTAAAATATTCATTTTTAAAGCGTTATTTAAAAAATTCTAAATCTATTTTATAATTAATTTATTTTAAAGACTGAATAAAATAAGCATTTAAAAAATTTTCTTAGTTTATATTTCGTAATAAAAAAATTAAAATTTTTTTTATAAATGACAATATGATGCAATATTTAGCACGACGGATTTCTAGAACTCATCGATGTTTGTGAAAGAATTTAATCGTTCGAGTGTGTGCTCTCTTTAATCTCTCACAAAAAAATTGTACAAATCATGATATCGAGAAATGAAATGCCAAGAGTGATTTTTATTTATAATGTATTATATATATATTCTCTTTCTGATTTTAATATTATTTTATTATTAATTATTTATTATGTCACATAAAACATAATCTATTTTAAAAACTTTTAACTGTTACGTTTGTGAACGCGACGCGACGTGTAGCTCAAAGCATATTCAATAAGCGAGATGGATGTGAAATAACGTTTAACATACAAAAATAATTTTCTTTTATCCAAAATATTTGTACAAAAAGAGTGTCCAAGGGCAGATAAAAGTTGTATAATTTACAACTTACAATTTACAACTTTAAAAACCTATTCAAATTTAAAGACAATTTAAATATATATAGCAATGGTCAATATAAAAAATTACTTTTTATCTTTTTTATTGCAAAATATAAACTGAGAAATTGTTTAAAATGTTCTTTACTTTAAATACAGTATTTAATACATGAATTGATATATTATTTATAAATCTCTCCCTGCTTGTCTCTTCCCCACCCTTCTCCCCTTTCTTTCTATATATGTATATAATATATACGTAATATAAAATTTCTCTCTCTATAAATTAATTATTTCTATAAACTATAATTAGAGTATTCTGATATTTTTATTTAAACAGAATCACCTGAGTTTTAAAGTTTTCACAATTTTATCGACATAAAAATGTAATTAGCACAATCTGTATGTAATCTAAATATCTACATCTGCATATATGTATATTGTTTTATATATTTAGATACCACTATATTATAACAGTATGGTTTTATCTTAATTAGTTGATGTGCTCAAAAAATTGCTAAAAATGATAATTTCCTACATTTATGTCAAGAAATATGAAGTGATCTTTTTTCAGCAATGTCATAATTATCGGTTCTTTTGTCCGAGGAAATAGGTTTTTTCTGCTTTAACTTAAATGAACTTCGTTGACCAGTCCTTCAACATACCCTTGTTTTTTTACTATTTCGATTCTTTCAATCTATCTAACCGTTGTCGCATCTTTTTCTTCTGTCACCGTGAGGAAAAACGTTCTTATTCTTCATTGAAAACATTTACACAATTAACTCGAATGCTTGAAAAATATATATAAAATCATCAAATATACAATTGTGAGCGTAAAATAGAATAATAATTTGTTTTGATATTATTCGGTGCACAATCAAAAGACAAACGTGTGCAATATACTTTTTAAAAAATTTTGCGGAATAAAATTTCTGACAAACTTGAGTAAACAGTCCCGTACAGGGAGCCGAATCCGGGAGACTGTGCCCAGCGCGGTAAACTTTGCCAGCGAAGATAAAACGCCATTGGCTAAACCGATAAACATCAGAAAGCTTTAGTTACGTTGAAAAATGCGCCGCTTCGAGGCTTCGTTCGAGCGTGGTGAGAAAAATGTAAAAAGTGACGTTTACTATAGTATATTCGCTTCTGCGGAAGCTTCCGTACTTTGTTCAAGTATTTGCCCGTCATACATTTATCGGTTCCCAGCAGGGACGAAAGCGTCTATCCTTCAGCGATACGATGAGGAAACATCGCGATCAGAAACGAGCTTCGCTCAACGATACACGGAGAGACAGAAAGAGAGAGACAGTCATCTGTGTGCTCCATTGGAGAACTTGATCAATCACATCGATATCAATCCGTCTCTCTTCTCACCTTTCCCATAAGCAAAGAATCATGACAAGAGGCGCGAGAATATGCCATCTGTTCATAATATATCTTTGAGAAATGTCACATACCTATTCAAACGCGCAAATGTAGATTTATATTTGATATATAATATGGCTGATTTTTTGAGATATCATTTTTTTCCTTCATATTTTTTCTATTAAAAATAAGCATTTTTTAACAATGAATAATTATTAATGACATAATTCTTTTGCAGCTCTGATATGCTTATGAAACTATTATTATTTTATAATTTTTAAGTTTTTATAGAGAAAAAGAGATATTAATCTGAAAGATTGTCGCGTTTCCAATTCATTGGGTAATTTATTTTCCCTTTTTGTTCCTCATTAATTAATTTTCGCTTTCGATAATGAAGAGATGAATCTCTTGACACATCAGCCATAGCATATATTTATATTTGACAATGTAAAAGATGTAATACTTAATGCAAAACTCTATCGATAGATAATGCGACATTATTTGCGAACTTTGCTCTGAAATACAACATTTCTTTTTTGTAGTGAATATGTTCGAATTGCATTTGTTGGAAACATATGTCGAGACAAGTGCCTACAAATGACTATGATTATAAGAAATTTCAGAGTAAGTAAACCTCATTGTTACATTAGCAATAATAGACGTGTGGCTCACAATTGAACAATATATGCAATTTGTAGCTAACAAGCAGTAAGTGTGTTACGTATTGAGAATCTAAAGATCTGTCAATCTGTATTACGATGTCTGTGTTATTTTGGATCGTAGTTAATAGTGCATTATTAATATATTAAAAAATGAAAAGTCATAAATTACAATAAGAACCGTGCATAGTAGAGACATTCGATAATGTGTCTAATTGTAAGTAAACTTACAATTAAATACAATTTAAAGCTCGAGCAAAATATCGAAAGTCGACTGGTACGACCTTCTTTGATGTTCTCGTCAAGATAAAATTGATGTGAAATTGGTTGAGAGAAATCTATTGTTAAAGAATAACACGATAAAAGTGGGACACTCCGTATAACAAATAAGACTTCCCAGCAGACACACAGATATATATTTCAAGCTGTCCTTACACGATTAAAGCGCTCAAAAATTTATCACTTAAAACGAGACACATTTCAGTACAAGAAAATAGATAGAAAACAAAATAGATTGACGTGTACATACGCGCAGTCGTTAAAAAGGCAGTAGCAAAAGAAAGAAAGAAGGCGTGAGGGAAAAAACGTAGAATGGCAATTTTCTCCCTCAGTCTCTCAAATTCTCCAGGGTGCTGCCACTGTGGCTGTGGCTGTCATTCGGTTCGCATACTCCCGCGACGTCTTCCTCTTGGTGCGCTTCCTGAGAGTGTGCCGTGTCGCGCTCCATGGACCCGCGATTCTCGTCACATTGCTGCCTATCGTTTCCGACTTCCTCGATCGGATGCTGTCGCCCTTGCATTGTTCGTTGCAGTAGCTGCGGACTACGAGCTCGCGACGCCGATCTGCCCCTTTTTTCCTTCGTTTCTTTCCGTCTCGGTTGTCGACTCAATGCTTTACTCGCTGAAACGAACATCTACAGATTAAATGATAGGAAAGAGATATCATTACACTGAACAAAAAATTATTAAGTTCGAATAAATATTTATTTCAATATTGCCTAATAAATTATTTATTTGAAACTAATGATGATTTGATGTGAAAAATATTTATTTGTTTCAAATAAATGATTTACTTCTTTGGCAGTATTAAAATAAATATCTATTAATTTAATAATTTATAATATTTTTCATATTTTTTAATAATTTTCCTCGATAATGTATCTACAATTCAGATCATTTAAAAATGTAAATCCCTGATAAACATTTTCGCGAAGGCTGATGCGGTATTGTTACAAATATTTTATTTTGAATTAAAGTATCGAAATACCTACAAATTGTTGTTTAAGAGAATCGTTAAATGAGAGGAAGGAGCGCATAATTTTTATTCTACCACTCTATAATTGCACTCTATTCCAGTGTGCTATAAATTACATCGAGAGACGCGCTTCCGGTTCACGTCGCTTTCGCGATCGCTCTCGTCGGAAAAGTCGGATTCAAGCTCTCGCTTGGATACTCTCGAACGTTTCGTTTTGCGATTGAATGGTACGGGCGACTCGTTGTCTCTCCCGTGCAAGGTGTACCGTTCGGATGACTGATCCTCGACCTCCTCATCCTCGTACTTGCGCTTTCGCTGTCGTCGCTGCGAACATCAGAATTGTATTTCGTATGATTTGTCCAACCGAATGGACCAATAATCCTCGTTCGAACATGGAAGGAATTGTGATAATGTTATAATTATTCAACTTTAATTTCTTTTAATTTGTTAAAATTTCTTTCGCGTTGTAATATCACAGTTGCGATATTTATATACAATAAGTATTAATTCTTAGAGTTCGATAAATCATTTAATTTCGCCTTCTCTTTTTGCCTTACAATTAAAGTCTCATATTATTGTCGTTATGCGCTGCGATAGGTTCTTGTTACAATTCAGCCCCACTTGGGCTCGCTTAGATCAAAGTGTAATGAATAATGCAATATCAGTAGCAGTTATATACTATAGAAAGGCTAATACACCTAGAGAAAGAGAATTAGGGAGAAGGGGGAAGATGGCAAATATATTTAAATGATTATAATATTAAATAGCATTGTTAAGATAATCGAAACTGTTTAGGACGATAGATTGACCCACCTTTCGATTCTGAACGGTCTTATTGGATCGTCTGGGATATGGCGAACGTCGCGATCTCCTTACTTTGCTGCTATTACGTCTGCTACGATGTCTAGTATTTGGTTGCCTTGATGTAGTTTTTCTACATTCATAAATATTAAGCAGGGAATCGTAAGATATTTCCAATCATGTGTTCCATTCTCATGTTTCATTTATATACAATTATACGATAAGAGAGACATTTTTTGTAGTAATTTAACATTATTTACATAGATTATTTACAATTTACATAGACTAGACACGCTTCTCGCGTGTCTTTGATATTATTTCTATTATTTATTTTACAACTGTTATTGTTAATCTTCAAGATGACAGTTGGTATGAATATGATTATAATTTTGATTCGCCGAATTTTTATTATATACATAATTTTAATTCGCCGAATTTCAATTGTATTGTTTGAGAACTATTTTATATATATGTATCTCTTTATATGTATTTTTCTCATTTCGTTTAGTTTAACCGAATATACATATATAATTACGTGCGCGAAACGAAATTATATTATTCTTTCATAGTAAAACCTTGAAAATTGCAACGCATATATAAAATTATTATTGCAATGCATAGAAATATATTTATTATTATGTGATTTATAACAATTCAATATATAAATTTTTAACAGAAAACAAAAAATAGAATTTTCTACAAGAATCTTTCGATCAAAAAATCTACGCTTTCATTAGATTCGCGCGTCTGTACGCGTCTGCTACGCTGCACACGGTTCGCGCGAGACTGATCACGTGATCATCAGTCTCGCAATCGCAATGTCTCGAACGAGAATCAGTCTCGCGCGAGGCGCGCAGCGTGACGGACGTGTGGAGTGTACATACATAATTTTAATTTGCCGAATTTTAATTATGTATATAATTTTTATTTTTGAATTTTTGTTATGTACTAAACAACACAAGCGCGCGTTATTGATATTATTTTTATTTTTTATTTTACTGTTAACCTTCACGATGACAGTCGCTTGGTGCTATTAATAGTAAGATACACACTGTTAATCAAGACAACCAATCAGCATCGCGGAAAAGCAGAAACAATATTTGCGATAATCGACTTTGCATGCCTCTTTTAGAAAGGTATTGCAACTTTTCACAAAATTGCAAACGAGAAATAACTTTTCTAATATTTTAGTGAGATCTTAATAAGTTGAAAAAGATATTTTATGTTATAATAATAAATTGAAAAGGTTCTCATATAGAAATACAAAATTAGTCGATTATCATTCAACTGATCTGCTGAAGATGATCTGATGAAAGAACCGAACCGTTCAAAATAATTAGAGAAAAAATTAAAAACAAGTTTGTTGCGCTCAATGTCTATCCTTTAGCCTTTTTCATATCAGATTTTATATTTCATGTAATTCATCGATAAAAATAATACACGGCATACTTGCGTTCCTGTGTTCGACGAGAAGAGGATTCCGCGTCGGCGAGTGGCACTTTTACGTCAGATTTTGATTTTTTCTCCTTAGTTTTTTGATTGTCGTTAATTGTCTCCTTGTTGGCGGATGGAGTAGGGACAGAAGTAGGATTCAGAGTAGCCAGTGCCTTGTAACGACCACTCCTATGTCGTAAAAGTCCGGCATTCACCGCGTGTTTTAGAGCTCGATGCACCTGCAATACAGCGAGCATCATAAAAAAATATATAATACATATATATGTATATATAATTTGTAACAGATTATGATACATAAAAACTAGACAATTTTTCATTCAAAGAAATTAACATTTTCTCTTATATGGTATATCTGTTTCAAAAAATTTAGATACATGCACAAAAATAAATTTGTATCTTCTATGAAAATCTTAATTTATATAGAATCAAAAAATCTTAATTTTAAAAAATCCACAGAAACGCGTATAGAGTTCTTCTTTGCTAATATAACATGCTACTTCATTACAATGCAAATGCGAAGAATGTGATTTTAAAATGCCTCGAATCGCAAAGCAATTATAAATATTACCTACTAATATATGAAAGATATTAAATTATATTACAGAAAAATGAACTGCACATAAAATATTGATTAACTCATGAATTACCAGAGAAGAAAATCTCAAATCGTAATGCAAAATGTGTTACAAACCTGTACTGTCAGGTTCTTGGGTGATACGTTGCTCTGCCGGATAAAACTGAGAACTTCGCGAGCCGATGAACCTTTGGTGTCGCCCAGATTTGTCACTGCATCTAGCACACGAGCCATGAGTCGAGGATTCGACGGTCGAACCATCTTGAAATTTCGCGATTCGCAATGCTTGAGTAACTTGTTTCACTTTTAAGTAAATTTATATAAACCTGGCAACTAAACTTTAAATTATTACTTATGATCTTGAATAAAGGATCACTTATATATGGACGCTTGTATAGTTGGACAATCCTATAAATTGTCACAAACTTTTAATCTTACATATATATATTTATTGCATTTTTTATATCATTTTTATATTTTCCAGTTATATATGCAATGTAAAATATTTACATTTTATAAAGATAAAGGTCGTACATTTATTCGTTCCTCTGTGCGTGTGTGTTTCCAGTCGATTAATCACGGGATTACACTCGGAATTTTTGATGTCGCTTTGAATTTCGAGATCAATGTTACACATGCACACACATTATCCGACGAATGTTTGAAGCCAAGAAACATTCAATCGCTCTTTTTCGCGCAACAAACGGTCTTGATAAATCCGTCGTAAACGCGAGTCGATCTTTCTCTCACGAGCACCACAGCGAATTTCGTTGAGACATGTCATCCACGTCGAAGTTGTCGCCGAAATGTCCATTGTCTGCGATTGCGATACTCGCTTCGTCTGTTCGACGATGCTCCTTTTTCGGAATGTCCAAGCTTCTCATTTCGACACCTGCCATATGCGCAGGCAAATCAGCATCCCAAGTATTCCGATGATTAACTAACAAAGGAAGTTAGGTAGCCCGAAAATTCAAAAATTCTGAAACTTTGTGTACAAGTAGAATAGTTTATCCGTAACAAAACTATTTATTCTTTGTGCTGAATTATGGTCTGAGAGGATGAAACCATCCCTCATAAGTAGAATGGCTTTTTGCTTTTCTCGATATATATCTCGAAAATTATTCAAGATATCAAAAAATATTTTAGACAAAAGTTTTATAAGTTAAATAGAGGTTAAATAGAGGTCTTTTTACCATATATAAGACCTGTAACTTCCCTTGTAAGAAAGCTAATTGGTTGAGACGCGCGTACGGTTTGATTTCAGGAATCGAGATTCAGACTAAAGCCTCAGTTGTTCATTGAAATTGATATAATTCGACGAGAGTTTGAAACTCTTGATCTATTGGATATATGATCTCTGAATGTAATTGAGGAAGACTGGAAACGCGCGATAATCGACAGCTATATATACATACGTATTTTGCCACAGTTTACAAAGATGTTGAAAATTGACATTACTTTACTTATAATTTTGTAAACCCAAGTACTGTCAGGATACGTCATGATCGGGGATTTTCACGGTATCGCGATCTCGAATTACGAATTAAACTTTAAGGAAACGCCTGTTACCCTGTCTCGTTACATGCGTTCGTTAAACACCGTGTGACTTGTCTATTCTCTGCCGCTGACAGGGATACGTTGTACGTACACGACGCGCCGGAATATATTCGTATTATATAACGAAAATGATGTACGACAACACACGGTATCGTCGCTTTATATTATTATTTCTAAAAGATGTGCCATACATCTATTAAAAATTTTGTATCGATCTTAAAAAATTGTTCTCGTTGATCTCTAAGATACTACATGGAATATTTCTGAAAATGTTTTCAAGGATTATATAAAACACGTTATTGTTATCATATTTTGATTTAAAAGCATACTTTAAAAGAATGATTGCGCACACCGTAATGTAAAAAATTTGATTCTCACGCAACAGCCTTTTTCAAGGCGCATTGAGTAATTAAAATGTTTACTTGAAACGCTTCCGCTTTACGATACGTGGTACGCAAATAATCATGACGACGCTGATAATCAGACCGTTCTAGTCGCAAACTGTGCCCATCTTTCAAAGCCGCATCCCTGTATTTACGAATAGCTGTTTGCGTTGCGGAGCGGTTCGTTCGCTTTGAAATACACGTCGCTATCTTTCGCTACAAACTATTTTCGAGAGAGGACGTGGTACAGGCAGCGAATGTGTATGCATTTGCCGCTAGGATTTACCGATTCGACACCTGTCTATCCAGCGCACGTTATCGCGCGTCGACACGCCCAAAATTGCAACAACGCGTAAAAAAACGTTTAAGAGACATTTAAAAAACGCCTGAAAAATTAGACTCTCTGTTGAACATTCGTGTTATTTAGAAAAATAGTTATTGTATTATAAAAAAATAACAAAAAATGAAAACAACGCGAAAAAGATATAACTGCTTGTATTTAAATTAAATTTAAACTTGAAGTCTTTTTTTCTCCAATATTAATTTAAATTAGTTTACAAAATGTACACAAATTATCATGCGTAAATAATATAATCGTTCCAATTGACCGTTGTAATTCTTTTCAAGTTTATGATCGATGTTATTAATTATTTCAAAGGCACTTGGCAATCCGACACATGAGCGTTTATCGAACAGATTCACGTCATGTGAGATAATAGCATTATTAAGCTTCGAAACACGTCGTTATTTTCCACCTCGTTTATCGCCAAAGAAGAAACGTTTGTTTCGCGCACGAGCGTCATCATCGTGTTATTCATGCAAGCAAAATCAAATTCTAGCTTTCCGCCAACTCTCGCGCGAATCGCGACATTTTGTGCTATTGCCGAAGAGTGGAACTATTTATTTAAACATTATCGATTGGAATTTATAATCACTAAATAGCTCATCAATGTGAAAAATTGACAAACAAGAGCATAGAGCATATAAAATGACATGATTATGTTACTACGCATCTTTTGAATTCGATAGTCCGATAGTTATATAATAGAAGAAACTGACAATGAGACAGAAGATTTCTTAGAGTTAAAAGTTAGAAAAAAGACAATTAAACTTACTTATATTTTATATATAATATATTTTTTTTATATTTTTTTCATAAATGTAAATCTATTGCAAATATTTTTTTCTAAAAGAAGTCTATAGACAAAAATTTATATATATATATATATATATATATATATATATATATATATATAAAATATATTATATATAAAATATAAGTAAGTTTAATTGTCTTTTTTCTAACTTTTAACTCTGATAAATCTTCTGTCTCATTGTCAGTTTCTTCTATTATATAACTATCGGACTATCGAATTCAAAAGATGCGTAGTAACATAATCATATCATTTTATATGCTCTATGCTCTTGTTTGTCAATTTTTCACATTGATGAGCTATTATATATAAAGCTATTATATATAATTTATATATATATTATATATAATTTATATATATATATATATATATATGTGTGTGTGTGTGTGTAAAGAGAGAGACAGAGAGAGAGAGAGAGAGATTTGCTTCAACATAAACTTATCTTTACTAACGTTGTATCAATTTTTGTTGCAGCGCGAAATGTCGAGCGACTTTATTGTTAAATTGAATTGATGAACGAGTCTTCAGTCATAATAGAATAAAGCAAAGATATGGCCTGGAACATTATGAAGCCAAGAGTCTTGCTTGCTCTAATCAACCTCACCACATCATTTTTGTAAGTTTAATCTATGAACCTCTCTTTTTCTACAATTTATTATATTTGCACCCAATTGATGTTAATAATTATAAAAGTTAATACTTATTGTTAGTGCGAGATTGTTTATTTGACTTCAATGACACGTCGCAATTCATTAAACAGCTTGTAAATTCCGCAGATAATTATGCATTCATTTAACGAGAGGCGATACGGCCTTTATAGTGTATAAATCAATCTTATGCTCGCTCATTGTTGTCATTGAATACGCAGCTCGTATAATTGAAAGAAATAATTTTTTTACATATATTAAGTACAGAGAAGCCACTTTGATTAAAACAGTTTTATCATGAAATTGAATACATGAATACAAACTGTCGAGAGTAGATATTTTTTCTCCGTCCAATTACAATGAAACTGATGCTCCAATTAATTACATATTATGAATATTAATATAACATTACATTCCGCCAAAAGCGAACATTATTGACTATCTAATTAACATGATATGCATGAGAACCCCACGTGTGATTTATAAATATAACGACGATAACAGCAGGTCTATGTGTATAAGTATGTATGATTACACAACAAAAGTTTTCAACTATTTGATTGATTCTGCATTCCAATCTTGTTGGAATGCAGAATCAATCAAATAGTTTGTTTTTAATACTTACAATAATTTTACATATGCACACATTCTCTAGTTTTTACATCATTGTTAAGAATCTTAATAATAATATAAAGTTATTATTTGCGTTATCTATATAAATAAATAACAAGAACAAAGACGACTATATGGACAGTTGATATTTCTACAATATATGCGCAATTATTACGAAATTATTACATGCGGCTCATTTGTTAATTATTTGATATCCGATTCATTATAATTGCTGAATCACTTTGTAGTTATTACCGTCATTCCTCCAATATCGAGTAAAAATTTAAATCGCTTCATTTTTACCTTCTCCCGGCTTTAATCTCAAGTTAAGAGCTCCAGAATAAAAATCAAATTAAGAGTGTATTTTGATAATTAACAAAATAATTAATAATAAACGCTATTAAAAGCATACAATCAGTACAAAAGAGAATATAAGTTTTCTCTCTTATTTCTTTTAAAAATATAAATTCAAGCAATATGAAGTAAATTTAGCCACGCGACAACGAGTATATCGGAAGGAGAGAGCGGTTTTGTGTTAATGCGCTTTTAAGTATGATTCCGGTTTAATTTAGTTCTCTCTTGCTTGTGAATTTCGGTCGTTTTAATTGCGCGGGCCGTGTACAGAGATCCACACAGATATTCAGCAAGAATTCGGAACGCCGCGGTCGAGTGAAAGTAAAGCATGGCTTATTCCATACGTACTCGTCCGTATACACATACACGCGTATATACGAGTAGATGGATTAGTATTGCGGCGAAATTGTGTGAGGAGAACCAAGCCGGAATACGTATGCGAGCATTTAGGGCGCGATAATTTCGACTAGTTGCGCACCCTCTTACACCCGGAAACCGCTCGATTTCGATGTGTTGTGTTAATGCAGATCAACCGATCAATTTGCTCGCTGTACTAGACTTGTCTATAATCCTCCGACGAGATATCCGAATTCTACGTGTCGAATTTATCGACATCATTTACATCGATTCTTGCAAAGTAACTTTCTTTATACAATACATTTTTCCATGTTTTCACTCAATTTTAGGGGACTATAACTCGAGAAGAAAAGCATTTTTGGAAACCATGTTTATAGGATATTTTTTTCTTATTTTGACTCCTAGAATACGCCCTTAACACTCTGTAGAATGAATTGAAAGAAACAAGATCTACCGAGCCGATGAACGACGCTTATTTCAGAATGGCCGCGGGTACGAGAATCGCTGCCAGACAACAGACTCAGAGCAACAACCACGGCAACATTAGCGACCTGCTGGACAATCTACTTCGCGGTTACGACAACAGCATCAGGCCAGATTTTGGCGGGCCCCCGGCTACCGTTGAGGTCGATATCATGGTACGCAGCATGGGTCCCATTTCCGAAGTGGATATGGTCAGTCATACTTTTTCTTCATCTCGCGCGACGTACATGCGAGACAAACTTTGCTCTCGACTTGACTGTCTGAATCAGAAAATCAATCGAGCAGTAGGAGACTTGTCAAATATAATATATTGCACATGTCAATTGATTCAACTTTGCACCGTAAATTTTAAACATTTTTTCATTATTTATGTATCGCGTGCATATTTTTTCTAGACAAAGGAAAACTTGTATGATTGATTTCCTGAGCTTTATTTATTTTTAAAAAATACTATAATTGCAAAGATAAAATTCAGTATCAGTGACACAGAGTTTTATCAAATTTTTAAATTTTCCGCAGACATACTCGATGGACTGTTACTTTCGACAGTCATGGGTCGACAGACGTTTAGCCTTTCAAGGTGGTAAGGAAACACTCGCGTTGAGCATTTCCATGTTGGCAAGGATCTGGAAACCCGACACGTACTTCTACAACGGCAAACACAGTTATTTGCATACGATCACCAGTCCGAATAAGTTCGTCAGGCTTTACCAGGATGGCAGAGTACTTTACAGCTCAAGGTATGCATGATCGCGATTAATATTTCCAATATTATCATAATCTTTCTTTAAAAACACATTCATGACTTCTCTATAAATCTTGCATTTTCATACAAAAAACAGATTTATAATAAATTATCGCCAGTCTGGTCGACTTTAAACGTTGAGGAGTGGTTTTTTAAAAAACAGATTGTCACGTGAATGAGAGAAATTTGTTTTAATCGCAACAAGTGGAAACTATATTAGAAGCGTAAGAATATTTAGATGCTACTATTTTTTACTGTTTATATTTATTTATAAATATATTTTGTTTTATTTAATATTTGTTTATTATATTATATAATCGAAATATGTCGATACGGTATAAAAAGAGAGGAAACCTTATGTATCACGTTATAAATTTATTTTAAATCATTATTATACCGTCACGAGAAAAAGCGAGTCTCTGTTATCGTGTTACCTTCCATAAAAACATCCCTTAGGAAATTGTGAGAAGCGCATTCCCTTCTCACGTTTGTGGAAGCGTCGTGAGATTTATAACCCAGTCTTGGTCCGATTTCATCTCTTGACTACTCTATCATAACCGCTTATAAAGAATATTCTCTTCTCTCCCTCGTCGTCACGTATCATTCCTTTTTCCTAAATAATGCTTCTACATTACTCGAGAATATGCTACAACTAGATGCTTTATCAGTTAAATACACTTTTAAATTTTAATTTACAAAAGTCCAAGGAAAACCAGTAGAAGTTAATATAGAATAAATCAGCTTAAAGAATCAATAAACAGGAAAAACGCCTACAGTCTACAGTTTATTAATAGTGCATGATATCTTGTTTTCTGAACAAGGTGATAAAAAATCGCGCAGATAGGATCGCAGCAAGTAAGTACGTAATTCAGTGCTCACTCGACCGAATCTTTGCAAATCTTTTCTCAGCGACGTGACATGTGCAAGGTCTGAGACGTCTCGAACTCGAGGGTTAATTCTGTCATGGACACAATGGGACCGATTCGGAAGACTAGGTCAAGAGAAAGGGAACGGATTAACAAAGAGGAAACACGGGGTATATCGTTCGATCCAGCATCTTTCCTCTTCCCTTCATTCCTCTTTCATATTTGTATTTAGCTTGTGCAACAACGCGAAGCAGCGCCCGATGAAGCGCGACTCGGAAGGGAGGAAAATGTGACAACCTCAAGTATTTTGCGCGTTATTCCACTCCCCTTTTGTCGCCTCGTTCCTCAGGGAACAATTTCTTGAATCTCTAAACGAGCACGGGTTTAGCGAATCCAAGGTATCCGAACTATCGAACGACGGGAAATTTTTTAGCGCCCAAATCTCCTGGAAATTTAGATAAGGCATAATATAATATATGTTTCGAGGACAATGCTCATATTTTAAATATTAGTGTTAGAGTTGTCTTAAATAGGCTGTTGTTAATAGACATTTTCTTATATATAAGTTATGAACATAGATTTCCCTCTTATTTATTTCTCTTTCATTTATTTGTGTTTATTATTCCAGTTATCCAATTTGATTGAAGATTTCCAATTATAAAATTGGATATTTATTTTTGCTCGAGAATTTTTAGTCGTTTCTTTCAAAAATATTCAAACTATTTTAATAAAACATACACAATTCTCTGATATTATCATTCGATATAACTATATCCTTTGTTTATATTTTGGGTGGAAAAATTTTATAAAAGAAAATGATCGGAATAAAAGTTTATAGAAGTAAAAAAATACTGTTTTCCATCTTCGAATTTTTACGACGTTTTTCATGCGTTTGCTACAATGCTAATGCATCAATAATATCTTGTTTTAAATTTTTATAGTAATGAAATCATGTATAGATATATGCAGACTTGTAGACGCATATTTTTCGAGAAATTCTCATAATAATTTATTGGTTCGAATAACTTTCAATAGCATACATGTCTAATACTAGAAGAATTTTAATTATAATGCTCTAATTTGTTCATGTTGAAGATAATATTACAAGATAATATTACATATATTTACATATGTTATTTTAATCTTATATACATATATTGAAATATACAGTAAAGGTTGTTAGAGGTATTGCGAAATAATATATATTATAATTACAAATGATTTCTTTTTCATTTAATTTTCCGCATTTTATTCTAATTTATGTTTCAAAATCTACTTTCACAATATAATTATGTTTTATTTTAATTTAATATACGATATATGTGTCTTAAGTGAATTTTTATGGACGTTTACTCAATCTTTGAAGAAAATTATTATTTGATAAATATTAGACATAAAATAAGGAACATCTGCGGATATATAATTACACGGAAACCTTCCGTTAAAGAGCGGGAAACTTTTCTGCAATCGCTGTCTCATCTCGAGCGTTCTTTGAAAAAGGAAGTTCCGGACCTTCCTCTGACCAGCCGAATCCATTCGTACTGGAAAATGTCGCAATCACGTCCATGGTGTTATTTACTCAACACTTTATTAGCTGCCACTACCCTTTATCCGACCATCGAGGCTTATCTGAACTATCGAGAGAGGGAGAGAGAGCTCACGCAAAGTTTTGCCAACTTCAACATTTCAGAATTTACAAATACAGAGCAATCTTGTGTTATCAACTATGTCAGTTTATTATTACACGACTTTGGATTATATGCAAATTGCATTTGTTTCTTTTTGCATATTCTACGAGAGCATTAATAATGTGAACAAATTATAATGTTTTCGATTAATTAGTGTAATTAATACTCTCGTAGAATGCAAAAAGTAACAAATATGCAATTTGCATATAATCCAAAGTCTTATTATTACAATTTAAATTATACAATTAATAGTTTGTACAGTGGATAAATAAATGATTTGTAATAAACTATAATATACTAAATATTATAATTAATTAATATAAATGTAAAAATTTATTTCTATATAATTTAGATTATAGTGACAAAACACATGTGTGTGTCACAAAAAGAAAACAGTTTTTGAATAAAATTTTTATAAATTATTATTATTTAAATGTAAAAAGAAGAAGAAAAATTCAATTCCATCGAATATGTTTGTATCAGTTCCAGAAAAGAGAGAGTGTATCGAATTGATAAGTAATTGCATTGATTTAATATCATATACTTACTACTAGCAATTATATTGATATGTAGCCAAAATGTGATTATTTATTGTTGGTACATTCTTTTCGAAATTAAAGCAAACATATTCGATGGAATTGATTTTTTCTTTTTTTTGTAAATTTAAATTTTAAATAATAATATAATTTATTAAAAAATGGAATTCAAGAACATTTTACCCTTGTACGCACGCACATGTTTTATCATTGTGATCTAATTTATATATATATGTATAATAAATCTTTACATTAATATATAAATTAATTTTATTCTTTTTCATTCCGCGTTCTTCATCACATTCATGAAGCATGGCGGAAGAAAAGAATAAATTCTTGGCACGCGCTTAAATGTCGAAGTTAACCAAGTTTCGTGTTCTGGCGAGGAAAAATTAAGAATTCCGCACCGTGACTACCAACGTTGTTGCGGACAATCAAGTGCAATTGTGAGATTTGCATCTAATTTAATGCCGCCACACAAACGGCCACCTGTTTTATAAAATTTCACGATTAATGTGCGACGTTACGCAATGTCAGACTGATCGAGAATTTTTCATTCCTCAAGATACACAATTCTATTCTTTTCGACTAACAATGCATTTCAAACTTTTTATTGTAACTCTTAATTACTTTTTGCAAACAATGGAAAAAGAGAATTGTGAAGAATTGATAAAAAAATTTCTCAGAAACCAAACAACTGATTATGTGTGAATCCCTTTTTATAAATATATATTTTATAAATTAAACTTCGGCTCGTATACAATTAAAATATGTGATATAATAAAAGGCCAACTTAACGAGCTTATATGATATTAATTGAAAAATTTTTTTATTGATTTACGTCATAATATACAAAAGTTAAGATAAACGTTTTGACTGTACGACAGTCTTTTTCAATATCATGCTAATATGTCAAAAAATTAATTTAGTCATATCGACCTTATTATAAATACAACATTTATGAGATTATCATATGACGAACGCAGTACAAAATTCATGTTTGTTGGCTTGAGTTAGAGCGTCAGATTTATGTATGTCATGCTGTTATATTATGTAACGACATTTTTTGTCACGAACATAACACTTTTTTTAAAAATTATTTCTTTTTATTTAATTTTTTGACATATTAGCATGATATTGAAAAAGACTGTCGTACAGTCGAAACCCTTTTTATAAATTTATTAATTTTAATCTTAATTAGAGCATTAAATCCAAAAAATAAAAAGTAAAATCGATGAGTTTTATATCTGATCGACAATTTTAATATAATTATGTGAAAACTGTACCTGCGTCTTTGCATATTTAAATAAATATAAACAAATAACAATTCGAAATGCAAAACGGAACATTGTATAACTCATCTACAACAGAGAGTTGCGTTTTTTAATTCATGTCCGAAATAGACAATTTTCGAAAATTCGGACTTCTCGTACCGATAGTGCAAGATTGCGCATTAGTTGCGCAAATCGGCGCTAATCGAACTCTCAACCCCATCATCATCATACCGGAAACACGCGAGCAAGCGAATATGTAGACCACACCGTGTACTAATAACAGCAATAACAGTCGAGGTAAACACAGATGGAAAGAGAAAAAGGGAACTAGTCTGAGAAGAGGTGGATGGATACGTTGAAAAGCGCATCGAGATCGAGAACGAGCTGCGATGCACGCATGAATGGAAGGATGACCAGTTGTTGGAAGTAACCCATTGCATTTCCAAGAGAGAAAGAGAGAGACCTTCAATTTCGTGGAATATGTCGAGCATAAAGTGTGTACACTATATACCGTGTAGAGAGTTTCTCTCTATATCCTTCTGCCGATTGAGAGACCTTATCCTCTTGGACCCGTTGAATTTTGTCAACTAGACTAGTCTGACATGACAAACGATCGAGCAAAGCTTTAATAAGAGCTTTTCGTGATATGAAATAAACTAAACTTGCCTTATATCTTGTCAAATTCTACCGCATATGATTTTTTAAACATTATTTTTATTGGAGTAATGTAAAATTGTCTGATATAAATCTCTTGAAATTTGATCAGTCATGAAATTGCAACAATTAATTCGTTACTTAAATTATGCATTTTATATCTATAGAATAAAATATGAAATATTAGATATTGAATAAAAGGACTGAATTATGTAAATTACATCATCTTGACGAATTAAAAAGAGAGAACAATTAAACTTTGAGATAATTTGTATATAATATTTATGAAAACGATAGTATATGTATGGTAGTAAATATAACAAATATAATCTGGTACTACAGTTTTTTATGCAAAAGATTTATTTTCTAACTCGAGCTCGAGAATAAATTTTCTTTTTTTTTCAAAAAACAAGCATCCCTAAAAAATATGAAAAAAAAAACAGACTGATAGACATAATGAAATATCGAGCGGCAATCATCGATAATCTATAAAAACTTCATTTTTTTCGCGTTCGTCAAAGCTGGCAACGAGTAGATGCGTGTGTTACCTACAAAATTTATTCGCGAAACGGGGTGAAAAGCGACCGGCTAAATTAATGCGGAAAGAAAATATTTGTGCTGATGGCATGGCACTATGTCCGTTAGAACGATCATTAGTATGCGCGCTTTCGTCGACAAGATCTCTTATTTGCATAAAAATAATGTACTTAATTAGCATAGCATACGCATTCTATGAGTTTTTAATATCATATCGTGCGGTGTGTGTGCCCATACGTCTCTCACAAAAACGTGAAATTTCGAATTCGGGAGATTTTCATCGGATGACATTCCGGAGATTGCGTACGAATGGTGAAAATCATTTCTCAACAATTTAGCTCTTGATGTCATGTCACGAGAGATTTCAAACGCAAAAGTAACAATTGTTTCGTTTAAATAAACGATATAAATTACACAATTTTACACAAATTTCAAAGCGAAAAGCAATATAGAAATCAAATATTTTTTAATTATTCTACCTACGTTTTATGAATTTAATCAATTAATTGTGAACTAAAAAAATCTGTAAAAATTCCCGAGTAAATTACATAAAAATAACTTGTAAAAAATTCCATTTTTTTTTTTATTTTGTTTTTAAAATAAATGATCAAGATATTGAAAATTATAATGATTTCAAGGGGATCAAATTCTTAAATAAAATATGAAAACGTCAAAATGATTATATGACATTTATAATACTTTCTTCTAAATGTTCGCAATTAACACTGTTATTGAAAAATTCAATTAATTCGCGTGCTAAGTCGAAAAATATTTTTTTCTATATATCAGCATATTATTTTTTATTCTGCAGTATGCATTTCCTCATTTGGCGATATCTACAAAATCCGCGTTGTTTATCACAGATTAAAGTTGAAACTTTATTTTAATTATCCATCCTGAAGCCAGACATCATCACCTGAATTCGCTCGTGACGAGATCAAAGAATCCGCGTTCAATACGATAGAAAAATCACACACTTCTTCCATAATTCCTACTTGAATCGCGAGAAACTCTGCGAAAGCATGGCTCTCGCTTTCCCTTTTTCTCCGAGTTGGACGACACCTAGTTTTCGGATGAACTTGCGTCATTCGAACATTTACCCGAGAATTGTGATATCTCGAAGAGAGATTAAAACGACAAATTATATCAAATTTCTATCAACACAATCGACATTTTACGATAGCTTGTGCTATTTTCTCGAAAGACATTAATTTCTATTATGTCGAAGCATTATTTTGTTAGAATTGCAAAATTGGTATTAAATCGCTTTCTTCATTTTCTTTGCTTTCCAATCTATCCATAGAAATTTACTAAAAGTGTCGAAAAAATGTCGCCGTTGCGACGATCCTGCCTTTAAAATCGTCGTAAATTATTTATTTTTTGGGCCGTTTAACTTTTCGCCGCTCGGTTGATTCTTTTCTCACACAATATCTCTCTCTTCCTTCTTTTAAAATCTCATTCCATTCGATTTCGTTTTATCTTACACTTCTCCCGCTCATCGTTATTCATGAGACAGAGGAAACTCGTCATTACAAAGGAATAAAATTTCTTCTTTTATTTCTTCCCATCAAAGTTTTCAAAGAGAAAAGAACGAGAAAAGAAGGAGAAAAGAATATATTTACTGTAATAAATTTTAAAATCACATACGCGATATTAAAGCAGTTATCTGTAGTATAACATGATCTACATCAGCTTAAAAAGAAAACTTTGAATTTTTGAATTATAACGAATGACGAAATTCTACAATTAAAGAATGAACAATACATCATGAATTTTGCAAATTGTAAACTCTGCGTGTGTCATAATTAATTTAAAATCATAGCATTTCATAATAAATTAAACAATTTATAATCGCTTAATGTGCAATGCGATCAAAGATGATCGACATCATACAAGATGAGTCGGTGTAAGAAGCAAAGCGACACTTTTTGAGAAATACGAACTTATTTCGAGAATATAAAATATTTTCTTCGATCAATGTCAAACTGACATTACCAAAGCATTCGATACACATTTCATACACATTTCAATAAGCTGACATAAGGATTTCTGTCTGTCTTGGGACATCGAATATAATCTAATTCAAGACAGCACGGCCGCAACGTTTGCTCGTGTTTTATGTATTCGAAAGCTCAACTTCTGTGTCTCAATAATCGGAATTCTTTTTTCGGTAACCGTTCTAACGATTTTGTTGTCTGATCCTGCCTTACCGAGAATAAAAAGCAGCCGTGACACACTGAAACCGAAAATGGTCCGAGGCAAATTGCCCGAGTCCCATCCTCGCACATAAAACGTGGCCAATCTCAAAGCATGTCGTCAAGATACGTGAGAGAAATATGTACATATTTTGTGACAAAGACTTTTTTGAAACCCTACTTTGCGCGAAATGAAAATTCTTATCTCATCTCTTTATTCTTATCATTATTTATTATCCTTTGACGTTTTTATTATTCATTACCCATATTCTACTACAAAAAAATTATGAAAAAATCTTTGAAAAACTTGTTTTAGTTTTCGTTATTTGTACTTAGAAAAAATATATATTTTGTCTTTATCCGTCAGATGAATCGAATAGATGTAGTCGCAAAGTTAGAGTAAACTGCAATAAAATTCTCCAAAATTGATAAAAATGCCGAGATGCAAGAAAGCTCTATGGAGAAAGCTATGTCTTTTGAGCGATCGAACGAGCAGCAGAGTGTTAGGGGATGATGGATCCGATCAACTACGGATTGCCTTATCCTTCGGTCCTAACTTCCTTAACGGAATTAAATCACGCATAGTGCAGTAACTCGATCAAATTCGAATAGATTAACTCTACTATCCACACATATGCATTTGCGCTTGAGCGAAATATTACATACATTTTATCGACTTTGCAAATATTACGTAACAAGAAGCAAGAATGATTCTGTTGTAAATGGATTCTTTTCATTTAATATGCAAAGTGCATCTCGAAATTGTCATCATCATCATCGAATATTGCAATTACTAGCGATCAAATTGAAAAATATGTTTCAATATCGAGGTATTGACAGTTTTTCAATTAAAAACGACTGCATTTATGTGTGTGTAAGTTACATGTTAAAATTATGTTACAATTCTGTTTTATTGAAATTTCTCTGCATCGTTTCAGACTTACCATCAAAGCGGGATGTCCGATGAATCTCGAGGATTTTCCGATGGATACACAGAGATGTCCGTTGCAATTCGGCAGCTGTAAGTTTAGTAAAGATTTATTTGTTCCGTCGAAGATATCATTCGTCTTTCTCTTTTTCCTTCTCGTTTGCGACATACGTATTCCTGTCGATCCATCGTAAGATCTCGACGACGAGGAAACAGTGCCAAACTTATCCGAGTAATTTGTAATCCTGTAGATGATCCTGATAGATACATGTAAAAATTGTGCGGCATTATTTCTCATCATATCAATTTGATATATTGTGGAACATAAGATTATAAAAATTCACAAATTAATATGTATACGCGTTTGGATAATTGATGTACATATGTGGGACACATCAAATATTAATAAATATATTTTTCATTTAGTTAAATATATATATAAATGAGTCATAAAAATAAAATTAATCGAATAAAATTATCGCCACGTCGAGTTTGACTCACTATATTTATTCTTTTCTCGTGCGTTTTCGAGTACTGTGCATATTGAAATGGTCAGAAAGGTCTTGCGAAGGCAGATTTCAATCGTCAACTATTATTAGATCGACATGTTAATCCTTTTGGCAGTGTGAAATTAATCCATTTATAGTTGGCTACACGACACGCGACGTAATCTACAAGTGGAACAGTGCAAGACAGGTCGCTATAGCGGAGGACATGAAGCTGTCGCAATTTGATCTGGTCGCCAATCCGACCGCAAATCATTCCACTGCACCAGGATTATCACATGGTGAGTGAAATCTCGCAGTTCAAGAATATCCGACGTGCGTGTGAATGTCTCTCTCGTAAAAATCGAAAAGAAAAGATACACACAATCGTGCTAAACACAAATATCTTATAACAAATCAATTATGCTATATAAAAATCGATAAAAATCTAACTCTGATGTACAACCATTTTTTCGACGAGATGAACAAAGGCTCATACGAATCAAAATGATTTAATTTTAATAAAGAGGCCTTTCTATAGAAAATTCGGTCGCGAGAAACAAGTATTCCGTGCACCTCACACTACCATCGAATATCGAGGACGAGGAAAGGAACACGTTCGGTGGTGATGAGGAGGATGAGGAAAAGTAGCGTCGAAAGTCGTGTAGAAGCGACTAATTGCAGTCTTCTCTTAAAGACGACTCTCATCTTTCTCCCCTTCCCCCTTCCTCTTTCTTTCTCTTTCATTGTCCTGAGTTATACCTGTATTCAGCAGACAAGATTCGACTACAAATTTTAATTGGATTATTATCGATTAAACGACAAATAGCCGATTTACCTAAAGATCTCCTTAAAGTCACCAAATTGATACTAATATTAAAAAATTCGTATAACTTTAAAGCAAACAATGTTATATTGTATAACACACACACACGATAAATTGTATAATAATTATTATATTCAGATCAATCTCGTTTTTAAACACAGAAAGAAAGAGAGAGAGAGAGAAAAAATGAGAAATTATACAAAGTTTATACAAATGTTTCTAAATTGCTGTAAATGTATAAGATTATATATGTTTGTGTTAGAGTTTTTAGTGATTCATCTACAGAGAGAGAAAAACTGCATAGTAAAATTATTCTTCTCAATCTGTCATGCTGATTAAAAGTGACTATAGATTTAAAGTTTTTAATTTGGCCGCATTATTCTCATAGTCGCACAATGTTAAATATACACGTTAATACATTTCAGCTGACTATTCGATGCTTCTGGTAAACTTCCACTTACAAAGGCACATGGGTAACTTTCTAATACAAGTATACGGTCCTTGCGTCCTGCTGGTCGTCCTGTCTTGGGTTTCCTTCTGGTTAAATAGAGAAGCCACTGCCGATCGAGTGTCGTTGGGTGAGGAGAGAAGCTACTCATTGTCGTTAATAATTTAAACGTTCTTTGAGACTTGTACCGTTGTAACATATGTGCCCCTTGAACATCGCTTTGGTGTATATTCATGGGAGAAGTGTGTATGTGTGTATGTATGCCGTAAATACTTATAGGAGAATATATAGTGCGGCGCGAAACAATGCATCAAAAGGAATCTACATTAACCGCAAGCGAGAAAGCGCGCAAACCGCATAATTTAATATGCAATGCTTTCTCGACGTACTGTAATTGTTATAACAATTTCTGGCATCGTTAAGCTCATAGCTTTCCTACATCGAATGCCAAAAATGGAGAATACATAGTTTCTTTAACTTATGCCATCTGTAAATTGTTATATGTTACGAATCAGATGTATAAAATAACATTGTATCTCTCGAAATTCTCGACCAAATTATAACAATATATTCTCTACCGATACAAAATCGGTTAAATGCCATTTTTTCTTTTTAATTATATTTATGTATTTATTTTATATGTCGTATTTCACGAAAATCTGTTGCAACACAAAGATTTTATGAATTGAAGAATTAAGAGTAAGTGACGGAAAAAACGTTTTGTAGACTAAATTATTGATAAAAGATATAATTGGAATTATACCTAAATTTTGTCACTACTCGCATTTAAATTCGAGCAAATTTGACTCTTTTAAGATTGATAATTTCGTTCGATTGTCATTCGTTCTTGTTTCAGGCATAACTACCGTGTTGACGATGACGTTCTTAGGGTTGGAAGCAAGAACCGATCTGCCAAAGGTCCCTTACCCTACTGCCTTGGATTTCTTCGTCTTTCTATCATTCGCATTCATCTTCGCTACTATAATACAGTTCGCGGTCGTACATTACTTTACCAAGCACGGATCGGGCGAGTGTTATTTCAGTTCTGATCTAAGCGATACCGAAAGTTCGAGCGGGGAAGAAGACATGGGTGGGAAAGTAAGCAAAGAATCAACTGATAAAAAATGCATAAACAAGCAAAAAATTATTGATTCTTTAATTTGTTCGATTTTTCTTTTGTTTCTCAATAATAAATATAAATATCCAGATCATATCGGCACAAAAATCATTTAATTTTATTTCGCTTTTTAAGGCTCCTGGATCCTCGCCACGGCCATGTTGGATTGTAATGTCAGAGGCGAGAAAGCACACGCTGAAAATTAAAGGATAGCCTTTGAAATATTTTAAGAGTATTTTAAAATCATCTGCATGAGATGCTGTTTCAGCGAAGTATCTTTTTATTTCGAAATTCAAGAATATTTAGCGCGTGTTTTCTCGCCTCTAACGTCACAATTCCAGTTTGGTCGGCGAAGAACCTTCATTCAATATTTTCATATAAATACTTGGATTCGATTGCGCAAAAATTTGTTTCAGACACGTCGGAGGAGTTCCGGCACGCGAGGACGCGAAAATCGTAACTTTGCGATAAACGGCGACAATATGATCGAAGTGATACCATTATCGGCGATCTCGATACGTCCCGATCGAGATCCCGCGGTAGCTGGTCACTGGCAAATATCCTGTGTGACCTGTAGCCCATCGTCGAGACAGACGACAACGACGACGCCGCCGCCTCCACCGCCGTTGTCATCTTCCAGACGAACAACGTTGTCCACTTCTAGAAGAAGACGACGTCGGAGAACGCCCAGGTACAACTCGGTATCGAAGATCGACCGTGCCAGTCGCGTGGTGTTTCCTCTCTTCTTCCTAGCCATCAACGTCTTCTACTGGTATGCGTATCTTTCGCGCAGCGAACGAATCCACTATTCCAATGTCGCGTGATATGCATTCATCGAAGAGTACATCTTGCTTCTCAAAGTTTTGCAAAGTTTCACGCGTTAAAATTGGTAATTAAATACATAAATCCGAAAAACTTCTACAAGAGTGAACAAGTAGTTATATGCAAAATGTCACATGTGAATTTACTACGTAATTTCTCTCTCGAATTATTAAAATACCGCCAGGAAAATGAGATTTTATCTCGAGTAAGATGGAAATTTGGAATAATGAAAAGCGAAAGCTGTAAAAGTTTATCGATAATAATGTGATGAGAAAATTCTAACATCCATTCCGAAGATGAATGTGAAGATTAGAAGAGACATCATAGTGTGTAAAATTTAAGAGCTAGAAAGCTTCCTACAAGATAAATCATACTAAAATTTAGCCAAAAAGAATATTATCTTAATATAATAATTTATTTACACGTTATCTCTGTGGATGTGCATCTTTTGACCTGCCTAAAAAAAAGACTAATGCTACTCGAATATAATCAAATTAATGTAAAAAGTGAGAATTTTTATATTTTTTATATTAAACGATGATTTCATATAAAATTATGTTAATAAAAAATAGAATGTTATAACTGCAGATGATTATTTTTTTAAATATATGTATATATATATATATATATGAATATATCATTTAAAATTATATAAATTCAGAATTATTAAAATAAACTACCAAGAAAAATACTTAAGATTTTCTGATAAGAAAATAACAAATATTTAGTAAACATTGAAAACTTAAAAATCTAATAAAAGTTTAAATTGGTGATATTTATTTTACATATATTCTACTAGCAAGTATCTGAATTCATTTTAAAAATATGCGACATTTTGTGAAACGAACAGGACAAAACAAATAAAAAATCACTAATTTTTACAAATAAGTTGTTTTATAATTTGGATCGTGGTTGGAAATTAAATATGTTAACGATGCGTTATTTACACTATTATCGAATACCATATATGCAAAAATTACCAATAAGCGAGTATTTATCTTTTAGTGCTTTATGTGCACACGCGTTCGCACGATCACGGATGTGGCCTGTAGCGGCACAATATATATATTACTAACATTAAAATAAATTTAATTTTATTTTTATTTCTACCTTAATAATATAAAAAAGATTTGAAATATATATAATAGTTTTTTATTTTTATTTTTAATCATATTATAACATTCTATAATAGCCACATTGTAAAAAAAAAAATTTAATCTTATTTCTGTTGCATGTAAATTATGATTATAATGTGTATATATACACAGATAAATGCATTTAGAACATAAAGGTAAGAAATATAGACTGCGCATATATTATATTTTAAATTTGTGTGCCAAAATTAGAAAAAGAAAACAATATCTATGTTTCTCTCTACTCTTTCATTTGAGAGAGAAAACTATACTTTGCAAAGTTTTTTTTTCCTTATTTTGATGTAGTATTTGTGCAATATGCGCAGTCTATATATTTCCTACATCTATGATTTAGAACGGCAATACAATAGAAACATATTTTAATATGAGATATCCTCACTGTATGTACGAGATGAAGATAAGTTTTATACATATATAACTTAAGTAAAGATTCCAATTATGATTAATTACATAAAAAAAATACCTTACAGAGCTTTCATCTTTAAATGAGCTTGAAAGTACTCGCCGTCTCCTTTGGTTGCTTGTTTATTTATTTCCTTATGACGTTCCCGGCTAACAATCTCTTCCAAAATTTCTCCATCGCCTTTGATTAATCTTTTCACGAAAAGATAAAAATTCATTTTAACAATCATATACAAAATGTGAGAGAAATAATGTTACAGATAAAGAACAAAAATAATTAAAAAATTTTTGTATATATCACTTTTATTATCATTGTTTTATTACTTAACAATATATTCACCTGTATCTTCCAGTTTCTTGGTCGAAAACTTTGCGAATTATATTTTGCCTCTTTTCCCATTCCTCTTTTGTCATGGGCGCCATAGCCTTTGCTTTTTCTGTTACTTCAAGTACAACTTCTTTGATACTCTCCTTTTTAGAATCCTGAATTTCTTTATTTTCCTTGGATTTCTTCTTACTATGTCCCTTTCTCTTAAGTGAAGATTTTTTTAACTTCTTCTTTAATTTCTTCTTCATCCGTTTCTTATTCTTTTTCTTCAGAGCTTTCTTCATAGCCTTTTTTTAGCCTTCTTCTTGGCTTTCTTATGCTTTCTTTCATCTTCTGAACTGTCAGTACTACTAGTACTACTGTCGGTATTACTGCTGCTACCACTGCTACTGGAGATGCTGCTAGTACTATTACTACTGCTGCTACTACTACTACTACTGACACTGGAAGAACTAGAAGTAGAGAAAGATCTCTTTCTTTTTATTTTTTACGACTTGGCTGAGTCTTATCTCGCGAAATTCTTGCTTTCTTCTCCTCTCTCTCTTTTATTTTCTCAACTGTTTCTATGTTATCTTTTATTGAATCAAGCCTTTCCATCATTAAGGTTCGTGATTGATTCATACGTTCTTTCGAATTGTCTTCTCGAACAGGCTGACTAGATGCATTTTTACCAGTATTTTTATAATAATCTTGCACTCTTGATCTGCCATAATTAGATGTTCTTTCGTAATTTCTATTATTATATCTATTATAATAATTATTATATGCATCCCTTCTATTTCTATCGTAATAATTCTGACGTCTATAAGGTCGTGAATTAAAATAACCATAATCTTTTTGATTATTATATAACACATGATTATTATACCGTCTCTTGTTATACCATCTTTGATCATTACTGTACTTGCCACCTCTTCGCTGTGAATCCATACCATTTTCATATCTCCTACTATTGTGCTCTATATCCTCATCTTTTTTTTCTCTATGTACATTTCTCTCTGGACATGCGCTAGAAGAACTGGAATTACTGGAACTACTTCTATGCTTTGACTTCTTTCTCTTGTCCTTACTACATACGTTCCGCCTCTTCTTATTTTTCTCAGAGCTGTCACTGGAAGAAGCTGATCGTCTTTTTAATTTGCTCCTTGTTGCAGATGACTCTATCAGCGTAGTAGGTTTCTCTGGATTATTCATTGTTCCAATAACCTGTCGACAAGAAAAATCTTATTTAAAGCCGATTTTATACACTCGAGTGTATTAAGGTAAATATTACGCACATAATTAAGTTTTACACGATTAAATCTATAAAATTATAGCATTCTCTGTATCAATATCAAGTTTATAATTCATAACGAAACGTATAATTGTTTATTTCCAAAAGACACATCTTCGTACACAAATCGCAGAGGAATTAGCTTTCATAAAGAATTTGAAGAGATGTTTATATACTTACCTATTACAAACCGTTACAGAAATAAAATAACCTCTCTCTCTCGCTTTCTATCTTTCTGTCGACCATAATCATTGACATTTCATCGTCAAAATTATCGCATCTCGCACCTTTCAATTTATCGATTAAAAAAATGACAGTTTGCAAAATCGCGCTAGTAGACATTTACTTGTTTCATCGACCTCTAATCACTAGAATCGTCCTCTCGCTGATTCCTATTTCTTCATTTCGAAAAACCAGAAGCCAGAGACTCAGACGAGCCGACAAGATTATACTTCTCATATTTCTTTATACGGACATGCGAGGAAGCAGAATTAGTGCGATAAATTATCTGACGTCGATAATTTTACATATCTGTGTTATCAATTAATAATAAGAAACACATCCTATATTATCGATTAATAGTAATATCACAATTTGCGGTGTTACATACGCGCGCGTTTGAGAAAAATTAAACGTCTTTATTTCGATTGTCAAACAAAGAGTTCTGTTTTGTTAATTATATTTATACAATCATGTGATAATAAGATATAAATGCTAATACATTGATTTTGAATTAAAAAATATAATATATGTATGTGTCATTAGCTCTCTGACGTCTGGAAATGATGCAATTGGAAGCGAAATGTTGCTGCAAAAACAAAGTAACCTTAATTGTTGCTTTTTAATTTTTATATTATTATTTACAAAAATACTCAGTAAAGCGAAGCTATTATATTTTTATTAATATTTAGAAATAATTAAATTATATATAGGTATTATTTTATTATTTTTATTATGCAACAGAATATATAAAAAATGGAACAGAAACATTTTTATTTCTATATATATGTATAGTTATATAAAACACACTAATAATTCTTAGAAAACAGGAAATATATATAATATATTGATTAAAAATAATTAAAACAATGATAAGGGCAAAGTATATATATATCTCTTTCTTCTGAAAAAAACCAATTTCGACTGCGTGATAAAACGATGAGATTCACGATCACAAAATGTGATCGCGTGTTGTCCTATCGTTATTTGATTTTGCACACAAAACGGCTTTTCAGTCAACATATTTATTAATATCAAAATTCCACTCTTTGTACGATATCTCGCAGATATCGGTAATGAGCGTAAAATATGTCATTGGGTTATCAGAAATTACCAGAAATTTCATAACAGTCATCAAATTTTCATCAAATATATGTACATTTTCCAATATATTTAAATATTTGACGTCAATCATATATCTGCATCAGATAGAAAAAGAGAGAGAAAAAGTATGAGAATTATGTATTTAGGATAAAAAGTATGTCCTAGTTTAATATATACTTTCCAACATTCCAACTATTGTTAAAATCCAAATATATATATATATATATATATATATATATATATATATGCTAAATACACTAAATAAAAATATATATAAAGAGCTGCTTTATTAATTATAAGTATTTTATTAACTCTAAATACACATTTTATTAAAAAATGTTATTTTACATCAGTACTCTTATCTTTCCAATAACATTTCATTCGTTTAGATTTCATCATCTACAAAATGCACCGAACTCGATCCCGCTCTCTGTTTGGAATTGCAAAAAATTATCGAGGTAATAAGCACACCTGGAAAAGGGCTGTTAGCCTGTGACGAGTCACCGGCAAGTTTGGATCAGAGATTCCAAGAGCTCGGTATAGAAAACACGGAAATCACAAGACGTGCTTATCGGGAGATGCTGTTGTCGGCTGATAAGGTCGCTACATATAATTGCGGTCAAAGTTTTAGATTACGTGGCAAAAACACACAACGCGATAGAATGTAAAAATAGCTTCAATATAGTAAACAACTTCTTACACTCAGTAATATTCAAAAGTATTAGCGTAAAACAATTAACGCAATTGAAAAATGTATTCTCTGCAAACAATAAAATAACAGTAAAAAACAGTCTCTTCTCTAATAGCACAACATATCCGAAAGATATTCAGAGAATATCCAGAGGACATTCGAACATTCTCAGGATGTTCTTTGAATGTCTTCGGGATATGTGTGCTAAGCTGTTAGGGTTTCTTCTTAATTATCGATATACATGTAAATTTGTTACAATTTTTGTTATTAAAAATACATTTATTATTCAGAAATAGGAATATGCAAAGATATTTTATATTCGTACCATTTTAAACTCTATATATCAGGTGTATAATATATATAAATAATATCAGCGAATATTAATTATTTCTCTTTTTCTCTAAATTAATATATAATTTTAGTACAATAACAACGTATAATATTTGATTTATTATATTTTTATTATACATATAATATTAATTTCTCATATATATTTTCGGTATTTCAGACTCAACTCTCGCGATACATAAGTGGCGTGATTCTACATCACGAAACGATCTATCAGAAAACATCGAAAGACGTGGAATTTGTCGAATTGCTGCGACAAAAAAACATTGTAGCCGGTGTCAAAGTCGATCGAGGCTTAGTGCCGCTCCATGGCACCGAGGACGAAAAAACCACACAAGGTCTGGACGATTTGAAGGAAAATTGTATTCGGTACAAAAAGGAGGGCTGTCATTTCGCCAAGTGGAGATGCATTTTTTCAATTTCGGAACGGTGTCCCAGTCAATTGGCTTTGAACACCAACGCAAACGTTCTCGCAAGGTGCCTAATTATTTCATATTCGTATTTGTTGCATAATAAACTTTATTTCATGAAACCTATATACATCTATATGCTTTTCACAATTGTGATAGAGGTACGATAATATTTGTTGTACATGGATTAAAATTCGCATTTAATTTGAAATTGTAAAAGAACAGTTTGCATATGGATAAACAGTTAGGAAACATATAGTCGTTACGCAACGTAGAATTCCCGTTGTGCAATGTCTAACATATTTTCGCTGATGTATTTTTGAATATCTCGTCTTATTCAGGTTCGCTAGCATCTGCCAGAGCGCGCGAATGGTTCCCATAGTAGAACCAGAAATATTGAGCAAAAGCGAATACGATTTAGATCGGGCATTGCAAGTTCACGAAAAGATGCTGTCCATTCTATTCCGTACTCTGAACGAACATCACGTGTACCTCGAGGGGATGATTTTGAAGCCAGCAATGGTGTTATCGGAAATTCAAAATCCCGCAAGATGCACCCCGCAGGTGTCATTTAACACATTTTGATAGAATAAAGCACATATACATATTGTGATTTTTATTCTTCTAAGAATATATTCTTTTTTAATATTTTTCTTAAAAAATTATAGTAATTTTAAATGTATTAAGATACTCCTATCATAAATATAAATTGATAATTTATATTAATAATTATTATTTTTGAAATGTAGAAACTTTGAAATTAAATTTCAAAAAATTTTTATATTAAATAAATAATTAATTCCGCGTAAATTGATATATGACAAAAATAATATTACAGAAAATAACTGCTTTTCAGATTGTCGCTGAATATACGCTAAGAGCATTACGAAGAACAGTTCCTGCAGCAGTTCCAGCAATCTTTTTTTGAGCGGTGGTCAAAGTGATAAAGAAGCCGTACTAAATCTTAACGCAATTAACATGCACAATGATAAGAAACCATGGAGACTCAGTTTCTGTTACGGACGTGCTCTGCAGGTGCCTCAAAATTCACGTACCTTAAATAATTAAACTTATTTAATAACATCTTTCATCATAAATTCTTTGGCAAATTTGAGAATTCTTTCAAATTTATAATCTAAAAATTTGACTAGATTTTAAATTTCCAAATATATTAAAAAAATTTATGCAGTAAGAAAAGACAAGAATAATTTGAAATATCTTATAATAAAGTGTTGAAGCTTAAAAACTTGATTCATCTTTTCTGAAATTTACGTTTTGTTGTAGAATGCAGCGATGAAAATTTGGAGAAACAATCCGGAGAATGTAAATAAAGCTCGAGCGATCTTTCTTGAAAGAGCAAAGTTATGCTCCGAAGCATCTTTAGGAGAGTTACAATTAAACGAGAAGAACGACACGTGTACTCAAAACATCAATAATATCGTTTAATCGTAAGAACATTAAAAATTAAATTTATTATACACGAAGCACTTGTAAAATTTTACACAAATATATTACAAGCACATGTTTTTATTATACATAAAAATGATAAAGGATAAAACTATTTTCTACATCTAATTTTCATACTTTTCGTTGGTATCAATAATTAAGTTTTTACATTTTTATTTTTTCTTATTAAAAAATATTCTTTAATAATTAAAAAATTAACTTTTATATATATATATATATATATATATCTTTTATTCAACTTTTCGTCGGTGGTTTTAAAATTGTACAAGTACCATATGAAAACGTATATGTATATAAAGAATAATAAATTATTTCACGTGATATTAAAGTCGCATGCCTACGAAAACATCATTTATTATTCAAAATATATATGTAGAAAAATTGAATAGCATAAACGTGTTTGCATTCACATTATCAGTACTTGCATTCGTGTATTCGAGAACGTATTAAAATTTCGACAACACATTGAATAAATATGATATAAAAAAAATGAGAAATTGGAGCTGAAAGTTCAAATCCTGAATTCTGACGAAATCATATCATTTGGAGTTCATTGATAAATAATGAGGTCTAAAGCAAGCAGGAGGCTCGAGTTCACTTTATCAGCAGACTTATCACTCGTGATTAGATTGTTTGAAAAAATAAGGGAGGCACGTCTCGACGTGATGATAAAGCGCGCATCAACGAATGTATCGAGTTTAATAGTGTTTAGAAAGCGCGCTTGTCAATTTTGGTGAAGATCGAGCAAGGTGCCCTTGACTGACCTTTAAAATAGCGGTTCTCAACGCGAAGCTCTCGTATGCTCGAACTTCTGTCTGTCTATGTACTGGTCGATATGTCGTCATCTCGAGTAATACTCCAATGCCCTCTTTCCTAGGTGGCTCATTCACCACGTGGTATACGGCAGTAACGTACCAAGCGAAAATATATCTTGTCAAACGATTATACAAGATACTCCAATATTGCATAAGACAGTTTTTAATTAATTGAGTTTAGCCGTGTTCATATATACACACGTATGTTTAGTCATGCGATGAGATAGTCAAATAATCAGCAAAATTATTCTGAAATAATATTTGATAATAAGGACGAAAGCGAATATTGATTGTCAGTTATATATCAAACTTTTTTCTGTTTCATATCACATACGCTTGTTATGCATTTCTCACATTTTTATCATTATTATCGCCGATCCTTTACAAATGTGTCTGAGAGAAATTGTGCAAGAGATTAAATTACATATTACTCTTTTGACTCCAGGTTTAAGGTCAAACGAGACCAGCTGATCGTCTGACCATCCCACATGATGAGTTGAGTACCCGTATAAATAAGCGAGCAGAGCGCATGCGTTCAACAAATACACTCTCGATCAGAAAGACTTTGAAACCGACAGCTCGCGTACTTCCTCTCAGTCGCACTCCAAGCATCAGCTGGATCCAACGCGGATTGACACGCACGATTTTCACACACAAATCAGTCCACATTTTCACAGACAGGTGAGTCTTGCATGCGCTATCACTCGGGAAGGTTCATGCCTTTCTTCGGAATATCGATCGTTTCGAGATTCGAGAGAAATACTCGAAATTTTACACGCTCAATTTTATCTATATAACGACCTTTGACCTTGACTGACATTTGATCGTCACCAATGTCGTGGCTCTCATCCGCTTGTTAATTGACGAGTATCAATCGACGTATATACATCATCCGTCTCTAAACCTTGCCTCGAAATCTTAACACGTCTTATCATTTCTAGCTCCAGAATTTCTATATGCACACACCATACACATGTCGCGTGACCTATCATATGACGTATATGAAAGATTTGCGCGAATCTCTTGTCAAACATGTGTGTTTATAGCAAAATTTAAATTTATCGAAATTGCATATCAGTTTCAATCTTTAAAGCTTTTAACCGGATAATATATATAATTATAAAAGATTTTTCACAACTACCGATATAATTAATGGTAAAGGTAAAATTATATTTTTGTTTTGAGAAACGTTTCTAAATCTCGATGTAAGATAGAAAATTTATTGATGTTTTTTAACATTTAATTTATGATAAAATAATAGACACGAAGAGATTATTCTTTCAGGTCATTTTTTCTACAATTTCTATTCTGATGATAATGATCACATGTTAATAAAGTGTACGGTATTTATGCTTGACAAAAATGTATACATATGCTATAAATTATATATTATACTATAAAAAATGACAAATAACATAATTATATCGCACTATTGAGAATATAATTTTTTATATAAAAAACTGACAAATATATTTGAAAAGATAGACTTTATATTTTTAACCAAAGTACAATTTTAGGACTCACGCCATTTGTCGGAATTAAAGCGCATAGATACATCAAAATTATATTATATTATATGTGATTATAAATTATTCCGCTATTCCATTCACATAAAGTGTTGAAAAAGTATTTATTTGTGCTTTAGAGAATTTTATTAAGCAAACTACAACTTTATTATGAGTTACGTCATTCACCTGAGAATCGGAAAAAGTGTCTCGTCACATGCAGTTGAGCACATTCACCTTCGTACACATGGTAACATACTAATACACGCTTCTGAAAGGGCACACATTCCGTACGATCGATAAGATTTGAGTGTGTAGTTCTAAGCACATGTATTTACTATATTTTTGAAAGATTATATTTTTTAATACGAAAAATTAAATGCAGACATTTTCTGTGACTAAAAACACTTCAGACTCATAAAACTCTTGAGAAAATAAATTGTTATTGCACAATTGCAGCATATAAAATAGATAAAAGTTATCTATGGACAAACATATATTTATTCAATATCTATATGAGTGAACATGCTGACAGATATTTTGACAAATGACGAAATAGTCACGTGCAAGTCGAATTATTAGCGCGTACCTATGTGCATCATGTGACAATTATTGGCGTGTATGCATGCATGCGCGAATGCACTTGCAGCTGTTGCACTCTCTCTCTCTAGCGTGTTACATTATATTATTATATGTATATTTTTTCAAATTATAAATATGCATGATCAAAATTATCACAATTACATTATATCTCTTGTATCTCAAAATCATTTTTTTTTTAATATTAGGAGAGAAAGAAATATTTGTTTTTTTAATATTTTTATTATAATTAAAATGGATAATTACAAAATGTTGACACTTGAAAATATTTTTCTTAAAAGAAAAAGGGAGGATAAAATTATATTTAAAATACTACAAAGGTGCTCATGCATTTTCTCACAAAAAAAATTGATCTACGTTTTCTATATGGTGCAGATTTTCTATTTTTCAAGAAAGGTAGATACACGTGTATGAAAATTGTTGCTATTTTACATTAATAATATTAAAATAAACTATTTCAAGTTTTAGCAATTTTATTTGACAATTCTCACTTTCACTTTCCTTCGATCTGATATAGTGATAATATTAAAAAAATATTGTTGGCCTAAATATATCTCGTCGCTATGCAAATTGCATTCGCGTTTGGCAAGTTAACAACTTCTACATCGCGCTATAATATGCACTTGTTTTCTCCGGTGATGCAATTCATTGAGTGCGCTGTTTTAAAAAAAGAGACTCTTTTTGCTATTTTATGGTTTTAAAAATTTGTTACGAGACTGAGTTTATATACACATATAGAGAAAGCTATTACTTGATACCTTGTGCAATATTCGTTTGCGTTACGTCAAAAATAATTTTTGCTGGTACAACTTGAAGCAATTTTCTAAATTAATTGTCAATAATTGCCAAAATTCTTAAAACTATGTGCATCTTTAGTCCTAAAGCGGTTTTAATAAATGATAATAAACGATGCGAATAGATTTAGTGGAAAATCTTACCTATTTAGTGGGTCTATTTATACAAAGTCAGCATCGCGAACTCGCGTAAACGCCTTGCGTGCTCCGAAAATAGCAAATGCGTTCGGAATTGGAATTTTCTGATGGTGAAGCTTTTCTAATCAGCTAAGAAATAAACGCGCAAGCGTATTTCGCGCAAACCTCCACGTTAGTCAACCGCAGCGCGGTTTCACCAGCCTTGTATGTATTATATTGACCGATCGAACAGAGGCTCAGTTTGCGAAGACCCCAGAGAAAATAATGCGGCAAAATCGCATCTTGCAACAGTAGCTTCCCATACTCGACGCACAATCGCCATTATATCGGCGTAAGACGCGGTAAAAATAATGCGTATACATAATTAAGCAAGTACAATCAGAAATATCCTTGTACTTGCCTCCGATTCGACATGCGCGTGGCTTAGCAAACATATCTTTGCATCGCATTGCGCCACGAAAGCGATTTACATAAGATCGTGCAATGCATACGGCGTTTTAATTTTTTTGGACATCAAATTATATCAAATATCTCTTCAAACAATAACCGCACATGACGTGCAAATTGCTTTTTATCCATTATAACTTTATTCCTCGTGCCGACTTCCGCGTCTCCTAGTATTTCATTTTTTAATTCTATACTTTTCAGATGTTACTTGATAAAACCAAAAATTACAAAAACATTTAATTTGAAATTGAAAATAAACTTGGAAATTTCGCATTTTAAATAAATTATGAAATATAATCAGATAATGTAATTACATCTTATATTTATACCGTACTGTGCACGAAAATCATTTAGCGCTGCGGTCCAAATCCGTGGTTATTTTGGGCAGTTTATAACTGTCTCACACAATAAAAATAAAAATAACAGTTCTCATAGACTTTTTGTCGAAGGCCGTCATCCAGAATTTAGTTTGTATTCGATTACCTGCGCTATAATATTTTCAATCAATAGATTATATTTTTTTCTAATTTAGTTGTTTCCTAACTAAATCAATGATTTCCTCATATAAATTCCTCAATGCCTTCTAATATAAATTTATTTTATCAAAAGTGTACTTTGCATAACAAATTAGAAAAATGTTTCATTTTGTCAAGAGAAAAAAGAGAATTTAATTTTGATTAAATCTTAAAGCAAAACGAATCGCATCATATTTACGGTGCAATGCAAATGTTTTTTTTTAATGATTGAGTATAGAAAAATAAAAATTTAATTAAATGTACAAATGAACAATTTCGAACTCTCGCAATTTTAGCTCACCATTTCATAGCAATTTTTGTTACAGTGACAACTGGATTGTGTGTAGTCTACACTTCCTTTAGCCTCATATTTCTTCGTGATCATAAATTCTCATCTTTAGCCCCGCCGTGGATAACGTTACATTCTCCAGAGAGTTTTTCAAAACAACAAGAACAAACACGGCAACATTTCCGTATATAAATAAGTAATATTCTGAGATTTCAACAAAGTATCTCAAAATTATTCCAACACACCGGCAATAAATTGGGTTTACATGCGAAATAAATAAAATAGCATGCCACATTATTACTCTTTATTTATTGTTACTTGTTCTTACTGTGTTTCATAATACTTTTCTTCTTCAGGTATCCTCGGTCCGCGATCGAAAAATTGAATAATTTAACAATGGTTTCACTTTTATTTTTTTCAAAGTTTGACAAAATTGATTTTAAAGAATTTAAACTGAATTTAATCACAAATTGTGAGTTTATACATCATTTTTTCCCTACTTCTTAAGAAAAAGTTTTGCATCAAACTCTTCAATTTTTTCAATAATTATACATAATAATTAAATTATAATATTTTTCGCGTTTATATTCGTTTTCATTAATAATTTATAATCACATTCTCACCGAGATCGAGAAAATTAGTCCAATTTGCTGTTGAACTTTTTTTAGATCAAACGGAGCAACGATTGGCTAACTTATAGAACCAAAACCAACTAACTATAACCGGTACCGATTCCATGATGAATAAGTGTGCGCGTTTCAGGTCATGTGATGCGAAGGGTAAATTCAGGGTGAACGCAGGGTGAACGCAGGGTGAGGAACAGGAGCACTCGCAGGAAGAGAGAGAGAGCGCGCGCGCACGCACCCCGAGGACGTCTGCGCGTGCTGCATTGCGGCTAGCTCGTCCTCTCTCTCTTTCTCTCTCTCTCTCTCTCTCTCTCACCCTCCTTTCCCTCGCGTCGCGTCGGTATACAACGGTGCAGGACACCCCTCGTGCATCCACCCCTTCCCGTCGTTTTCGCCTTTCTTCGATTCTCCCTGTCTTGTGCGGCGTACGGCACGGCTGCAGTGCACTACTGCAGGCCAGGTACACCACCCATCCGCCCGTCATCCCCCTTCCTTCTCCATCAGCAGGGGTTGGGTGGAATGCGTCTCGGCGAAAACGACACAGTCGGCGAGTCGCGGCCGGACGAGACGCGCTCGCCAGATTCGTTCGCTGTCTCGAGAACGCAACGCGAACGAGATGTAGTCGAACAAGGGGATATTAAGCCGCGCCGGGGGCTTAACGCCACCCTCGTCCCCGTAGTCCACTTTCTCTCTCTCTCTTTTTAGTTTACTTCTCTTTCTCTCTTTCTTCATCGTATTCGGTGCTCGATTCGTCGTTGATTGATTAAAGATGCTCGATTGAATCGCTCGCTGTCGCGGCTCTCTCGTTTCGCGAGAAGTGACGAGGGCGTAAGCAAGTGCAAAACGCCGATCATCTGGAAAAAAAACGATAATTGTAATACGTAAGGTATATAATATATATACCACGTTTATTCCACGTCTAATCGAATAACGCGTCCCACAACGAGATGAGAGACGCTACGCGTTCGCGACGAAGCTGCCCTGCTTCTTCGATCATCCCGTTAAGTCCTCGAGAGAGATAAGAGAGCTATGATGTTGTCCCGTGTGACATTCGGTTTTAAGAGATCGATATATTTTTATTCTACGGTACGGTCTTTCGGTCTTTATCTCTATAATCTTTAAAAGCCTTGGCTCTCGGTTATGTTTCGTTAATCGACGACAAACGCACATTCTCGCTATAATCCGATAAAGGAGTTACGGGTAAGAATAAGTGAGCACGATTCCTCCTTGAATCGATAGATTTGCAATTGTGTATAAATTTATTTCATTTTTTTTTTTTTACTTTTATCAAAGCGGCCGATAATTGTCATCCATCAATGATTCGAACTTTTCAATCAGCTTTGCATCAGTTTTAATCATTTCCCGACTCATCGAAGACGCAATTTAATTCGATACAATGAGGATTATTGTTAACGATAAGGAAAACCGAATCATCGTCGATGTATGCGATTTTACGATAGAACACTAATTTGTGCGTTACAGAAAATGGTCGCAGAAACGTACAGTAAGGCCAATCCCGAGCTGAAGGAAGAACTAAGCGCGATCGCTCAACAGATCGTCGAACCAGGCAGGGGTATCCTAGCCGCCGATGAGTCGACCTCGACAATTGGCAAACGTCTTCAGGATATCAACGTTGAGAACAACGAGGACAACCGCAGAGCTTATAGGCAACTTCTTTTCACTACAACGAAAGTACGTCTGATTAGTAAAAAATTGAATATAAAAAAATGTTGCTTTCAGTGAGAATATTTATCTTTTAAAATATAAACTATGTTAAATTCATTCGAAATGAATCACTTGTATATTCTCTTTGCAAAAGAATCCACGTTACATTTAAACAATTTCGCTTGAACGAAACATCACAATCGTAATAAATACGTTTGACCTCGCTTTTCCTTAGGATGTTATCGGACAGCACATCTCCGGAGTGATCCTCTTCCACGAAACTCTCTATCAGAAGGCCGACGACGGCACGCCGTTTGTCGAGCTACTGAAGCAGCGCAATATCATCCCCGGCATCAAGGTCGACAAAGGTATTGTGCCGCTCTTCGGCACGGATAACGAATGCACAACCCAGGGTCTCGATGACCTCCAGGCGCGTTGCGTCCAGTACAAGAAGGACGGCTGCCACTTTGCCAAATGGCGATGCGTGCTGAAGATCACGAAGGACACGCCGAGCAAACTTGCCATCTTGGAGAACGCAAATGTGCTGGCCCGTTACGCTTCCATCTGTCAGAGCGCCAGGATCGTGCCGATCGTGGAACCCGAGATTCTGCCCGATGGTGACCATGATCTCGCTCGTTGTCAGCAGGTCACGGAAGAGGTCCTCGCAGCCGTTTACAAGGTGCCGCTTATTTCTACATTATTTAGAAAATTAAATTGCAACCGCAGTTCCGCTTTGTTCCAGATTCATTATCTACTCCTAATAGCACATAGCCGAAGGATATTCAGAGGATATCTAGAGGACATTCGAACGTCCTCAGGATGTTCTCTGAACATTTTCGGGATATGTGTGCTGTTAGGGATATATTAATAAAGCACATGATTTTAAATTGAAAGATCAAGATATTGTTTTAAGAATCACTTGTACACAATGAATTTATTGAAAATCATAGTCTTTCAATGATGTTCAAAAAACTGACTGAACTTTGATTAGTAAGCTTGATGTAATATTTATTTTTATTTTTTCAGGCACTCTCAGATCACCATGTATACCTCGAGGGAACGCTGCTCAAGCCCAATATGGTGACGCCGGGCCAGAGCTGTCCGACGAGAGCGACTCCCCAGCAGATCGCTGCCGCTACGGTGACAGCGTTGAGACGTACCGTACCAGCAGCGGTACCCGGCATCACCTTCCTCAGCGGTGGTCAGTCCGAGGAGGAGGCGTCGGTCAATCTGGACGCCATCAATAAGCACCCAGCAAAGAAACCTTGGGCGTTGACCTTCAGCTACGGACGTGCTCTTCAAGCTTCCGTACTTCGCGCATGGCAAGGCAAAGCTGATCAGGTCTCCGCTGGCCAGCAAGAGTTGCTTAAGAGAGCCAAGGTAAATATACGATGATAAGCACACGATAAAACGTCGGAAAGTTGTGCATTTATCGAGACGTTATTTAATACCGAAGCTTTATTAATTGCTGTTACGACTCTTAATTATTATTGTAATTTTTAAGCAATACAATTATTTTTTATCGTGTAACCAATTTGATTCTGCCAAACATGTAATGTGTATATAATATTATAACTGATATTAATAGAGATTAGAAAACAACAAAATTTATTTTTTCATACATGTTAAAATTAACTAAAAAATGTCGTTCTCTTCGATACTTTATATTTAAATATTTGTATATAATTTATTGCTACGATAGTAATTGAGAGTTGAAATAGTATTTATAATTAAATTGCGTGTATAAATTTGAGTTTGCACCAAGCACCAACTATTTATATTGCACATTTACATCTTTTATTCACTTATTCTCACTTATGCATCTGTAGATATATGTACATAGTTGTCACTAACTGTTTATCTTTCACAATCTTTATAGTCTTTCTATTTTGCTTTTTAAAATGATTGTTTTTATGGTTTTAATGGTTGTTGAATTGCGCGCTTTGTACTTTTATTCAATTTCTTCTATATACTCAATGCAAGCAAGAAAAGAATAATTTTGTGGTTTTCTCTAACTGCCTAATTGTTAATCACTTCTAGTCATACTTGAGTGTTTTTTTTTCTTTTGCATGTCTATGTAATGTGTGCTTATTTAGGCAAACACCGCAGCTTCCCAAGGCAAATACGTCGCTGGTAGCATTTCTAGCAAAGCTGCTCACACCACTCTTTTCACCTCAACTCTCGACTTCTAAAAATTTCTTTTTTTTTGCATTTTCTATAACGGTAAGTATGGATCTTAATATCTCGAATGTTGGCTTTTCTTGCTAATCTTTCTCTATTTTCTGTAATAAATCATTGATTTTTAACTGTAAAAAGTGACAAAACTTGTTTGCAGTATTTGCCCTCAAATATGCTGTCTCCGTTTATCATGAAATTTTATTTTGCATTTGCTTGTTTGAAAGGGACAATTAATAAAAACTATGTTTTTTCTGTTTCTACAATAGGCTAATAGCGATTCGGCACTTGGCAAATATGCGGGTGGTGTCACTGGCGCCGCAGGAGATGCAGCACTTTTCATCGCCAACCACGCGTATTAGATTCATCTATAGAGAAATTCGATGTAAGAGAGAGAATACCGTTAGAAACGTGGAATATTAAAACCTATCGTTGGAAGCACTTTGCAAGATCATCGTTGTCACCGTCCTTCAAGTTGCGCGAAAGAAGAGAGATTTTCCTCGGGGACGAACAAAACGCACACAAAGCCGGAAGTTGTAAACAAATTCTTACTTTTTTCTGCTTTTAAATATAGATTATTTCTCACGGAAATAATCTACATTTTTTAATCGAGTTTTAAGCAGCCTTTTACGTTTTACATAAAATCTTTTATAGTGATTTCTGTCGATTGATTGTGAGTATAATTTTTAATTGCTTCGCGGCTGTGATTTGATTCGTCGCTTGTTAAATCGATATTTGTGAGATTTTACCAATGAAATCTATCCTATTGGAACAAACTATTATTATTCAGTCACATAATTTTTTTTTTAAAAAAGATTATAAAGAAGAAATTTATATTTCTTTTTAACGATTTATAAAAATTTTCATTTAAATATGACAGAGAATATCAGAGAATAGTTTCTTCATACAGTTTGATATATAAAGAAATATATAAAGAAAGAAACAAGGACAATATTTTTCCGATTTTATCTAATTTATAATTAAGTTGGAAAATATGTTGCAAGAATTGATAAATAATTCAATAAACAAATAATTTTCATAATAAATGTATATAATCAAGTTTGAAATCAATTTTTTACGCAAGCAATAATTAATTTCTTGTCAGTGCATACTACTTTCGCTATTGTTTCGATTCGCCCAACAATCAATAATTTGACGAGATCCGATTCCATCGGCATTAAATGATCGAAGGACGAAGATCGAAATGTTACACACCGAACGCGAGTATATTTTGCATTGACATTCGATATTATATATACACATACAATACGTATTATTATTATATTCTATAATAAAAAAATGAATACACGCATACACATACACTCACACACATACATACATACATATATATATTGTCAATGTCGTTAATACGGTATTCTACGCGTATAAAATAAAAAGATATACAAAAAAGAAATAATATGCAAAATAAAGCGAATATTATAAATGTTGTTTAATAGCGACTGTGTCGAATATATTACGAAATCGTGCTATATATATTGTGTCATCTATACTTATAATAATATATATTATATGTATCTTGCATAGACACCTATAAGTAATCTATTGAGAATTATCTCTCGGTGTTAAATATATCTGTATAAATATTTTCATTGTAATCTAGGTCACCAAATACAACTGTGGAGGGCAAAAAAATTGCTTGATTTATTTGAAAATTTCCCCTAAATAAATAAATAAATAAATATAAAATATAAATAATATATATATGAATAAATTAATAAAGTTTATAAATATTGATAAAGAGAATGTAATGCTAATGATATATGATAATAATATATGTATAATATAAAAAAATGAGTTTTATATAATGTACTTTGTATATACATATGTATCATACATATAAGGGTGTGTTCAAAAATCTTACTCGTAGGGTAAAGACCAGAGGATTTCTTTATTCGATTGGTTCTCAAATGCTATTATACTTGACAGATAAAAATTCTGAACACACTCCAGAAGAAAGGTAGACGGGCAATACACCTCGGGACATTCCGTCAACGTAGCTCGGATGGGCTCGGGTTGTATATATTCAAAAGGACTACAAACAAACATAAAAACTTAATTTTATATGTTAAAATTGACTTAAAAATTAAATATACCCGAAAAATTAAAGAAATGCTCAATGATGGAAGAAGAGCCTGAAGTGGTGGAGCATTTTTTTGGAGTATATCTATTGTATTGCATCAATCCAAAATACAGTGGTAGAACATATATAGGTTATACTGTAGATCCAAAACGCAGGATCAAGCAACATAATGCTGGTAAGAAATATGGTGGGGCTTGGAAAACTAGCAACAAAGGACCATGGTAAGCATTAATATATACATTTATTTTTTTCCTATTATACAGCAAATTTTATCTATTTATCTACCTTCTAAATAAATTAATAAATTGAAATAAATACTTTCCATGCATATACATTCTAAATTCTGATCATTGTTATATTTAGGAACATGGTTTTGATTGTTCATGGATTCCCGAATAGCACTTCTGCACTCAGAGTAAGTTTTCAGTGATAAAAGATAAGTGTGAATTATATATATATATATATATATATATATATATATATATATATATATATAAAATAGGTGTATATTTGAATGTGTATGACATTTAAATTTTAGTTTGAATGGGCTTGGCAGCATCCACACGAGAGTAGGCGGCTGAAACATATTCCCAAGAAGAAGTCGATTCAAAAGAAATTTGATTTCTGTTTGACAGTTCTGTCTGAAATGTTGAAAGTTGGGCCTTGGTGCCGTTTACCCTTGACATTGCGTTGGTTGGATTACGAATTTTCCACCCGCTATCGCGGATGTATATCTTTACCATTACACATGCCTATATGCTATGGCAAAGTTACTAGTTGTAAACCTAAGCCAGCACAAATTATAAAAACAGATAATATTTTATCACAAGAGTCACATTTATTAGTAGAAAATTCACCTATATTTTGTTTTCTTTGTGGCTCAAATATGACGGAGAAAGAGTCTGTCACTTGTATAAAACCAAATTGTTTTTTAATTGTACACTTAATCTGTTTAGCAAAAATATTCAGCAAAGATGGAATGATCTTACCCCTTGAAGGCACTTGTCCTACATGCAAAACTAGTATTCTCTGGGGAGATCTTATAAAAAAAAAGAAAGGATGTTATCAAAATGTCGGCGAAAACACCGATTTTTCTTCTAGCGATAGTGACATTTAAACATTTCAAGTAATGTGACATAATTTGTATATAAAAAATACGATTTTTATCAAATTTTTATTTAATTTAGTTTATTGTAACAGATCATATAATATCATTAATGAATCATCTGTTATCTCGTTAACATATATCGTTAAAGACCGATAAGAGAAAAATTGTACATAAATATTTTTATATAATATATGTCATTTAATACATATGTGTCCATATATTACAGTAGTTTTATTTCAGCATCTGAAATCCTTATGTATATATTTCTCTTCTCTCCGTACGTCTATTTACTTTTACAAAATTTCACTTGCAATGTTATCATGTTGTATACAATGTTATTAGATTAACGTTATATGGTCAACAACGTGAATACACTACGCTATATCGACCTTAATTCGAACAATGTGTGACATGTAAAACGTTAACTGTTACACAGGTGCATTAGTGATTTCTATTCGGTGGACATTATTGTGTAATTAGCACGCGCCAAACCGTTAGTAGAACTCGTACGTGATCAAGCAATACCATTCACGAAGTGTATGCAAAGAGTAAGAACGTCAAAAAATACATTCTTTCTCTTTCTCGGTCCTAGATTCGTAGTCGCGTATTGATTTTCTCACACATTTAGCAACAGTAATATATTATACGGACTAATTCATACATTCTAATAGAAGCATAAATAATAAGAATTCTATTTGTCAATATTTAATTCTTCAAGAAAGGTAACGTAATAATTTTTCTTCAATTTTTTTCTTTTTGATGACGCAAAGCTTTGTCCTTTTACGTATATATAAAAGTTTATATATTTCGGAAAAAAGTCTCCATATTTAATCATATATATACAATAATTATGCATAAAATATGTCCATATATGTTCTTTCTCTTTTACAATTTCTGTATATGTGTGTACATACAGGAAAAATAATAAAAAGAATATAATGGAAAAATATTAAAAGAATAATTTTAGCATTGTTTTTTTATAGAAAAAGTAAGATTTAAAAAATGAAAAATTACTATAATGAGAAAATTATTATTATAACAACAGAAACTATACAAGAGATTATACATTTTACACACAATTATATACATATATGTATAATATATAATATAATGTTACATAAAGATTATATATGTATAGACTTTCTTCCGCGGGATATGCATAATGTTAAATTAAAAATATTATTACTTAAAGATAGAATAAATAAATAAATAATTACAACTTTGTTAATATATAGTAATAAACGCACTTTCCGTTTTACATTTACCGATATCGATATACAGAATATTTTTCATAAATGCAAACGTAGTAATTTTATTACATGTTTGAGCTGATTATTTTGAAAGTGGTTCACAGTTCTACATTTTAATTCATTTCAACGAGGTGCGAAATAAAGTAATAAAACCGTTGCGTCTTATCAAGATGACCGCGAAGCTAATGGTTCTTGCAAACATTTTCCAAACATAAACATGAAATTTATTTCTAGATTTTTATTTTTATAGAGATTATTATCGCGATTAGCAGATACGAATTTCATCGAACCGAGACCAACGGAATTGATGGGTACGATACGGAGTAAAACGGAAAGCGGTAACGAACGATTTGCTATCCATATCTCCACCTGTGGTAACCGATGCGCATCCATTAGCTTTACCGAAATTACGGATAACGGTACGGAAGACTTAAAAAGCCTCTCGCGCGCGAGCTCGACGGACTCACGTCTGAATCATAATCCGGTTGTTGCGCCATACGAGTGACTATTTATATTTTCCAATATTTCACGTTATTGTGATAAGTAATGTAAAATATAAAAAAAGAGAGAGAAAGAGCCTTTTTAATTCCATTGTCAACATTGTTAAGTTATATCTTTCTCGGAATCTCTTTTATACAAAGTTTGTTAAACATCATAAATTGATATCTTTTTTTACAATTCTTATTTATCCTTCAATAGGCTACAATATCTTGCTAATAAAAAATAATCAGAATATTATAACTTTTTCAGGTATTGATTTACTTCATTCCGTTTGATTCCGGTAATTTTTCTAAGACGCAAGGCTATAGTAAAGAAATGATGTCTTATTATTCGAATCGATCGATTTTGTCGAAATAACGATACGATCGTCTTCGAAAACGCGCGCGCGATAATGAAGTAGGCTAGATGCGAAATCTACTCTAAAATAAATCAGGTACGAAACCGCCGACATCGTCGCCGTAATCTTCGTAGTCTTCGGCTCCAGGTGGCACGAAAATTCCGCCGAGTACACCCGAAAGATTTTCACCCAACCCCATTGCCGAAGCTACCCCGAAGACCAATCTCATCATCAGCAATCGCATAAAGTTCACCACGTTGGTCTCTTTGCTCTGCAGCGACAGCTGCGTCGTCTTTTTCGATCTACCCTCTGCATATCGCATCTGTGAATTATGAGACAATTTTCCGAGTGTTGCCAAAGAGCGATTAAAAATTTCGAAAGGAAAATTTACTCGTATAAAAAAAAGTTTATCGATCGTAAACATTTTACAATGATAATAATAAAATGGAATTTTTTGTTAATATATACTCTATCAAATTTCAGACTAACATGACTGACAAAAGGTGATTCGAAGGCGACTCGAATCTTGAAGAGAGCGGAAGGAATTTGAGGAAATTTAAGGAAAAACTCACGCTCGTGCAGACGAGTAGAACTCCTAGGAAAACTATCCTTGCTCTCATGTTGATGCGCTGGTTAGTAGTAGGCTCCTACGTGCGGATAATCACTTTTGGGCAACGAGTTTTGGGGAGCGGCCGGTGACTCGCGAGAGGGATCGGCGTTCACCCTGGGAAAAGAGTACGTAGGACGTAGTCGCGATATTTGCATATGAGACATCCGAGACGAAAGCAAGGAAGAAGAACGATCTATCGCGCTACGTTCGCCGAGTAGAACTGAGCGAGGAAAATCGAGCGAACGGCCAGTCTCTGGATCTGCGCGAGAGTCCGCGCTCTTTTTGTCCATCGCAACGTGCGCGCTTTGTGGCTCTCGTATAGAAGAAGAGAGGCGGAGGCGGCAATAGTCGAAACGCTATGACAATCCGCCTCCCCCCTGCGAGAATGCCCGGGCGAAATCGACACGTCGTCGATACACGCGGACTGCAGATCGCGGAACATCGACGAGTTACTCCGCGATAACGGTACACGACGAAAAAAAGGCATCCAGGCCAATCTCAGCTTCCTCGCGCATCCTCTTGGTCTTGGTCGCGCGCCATAAGGTTGAACGCCAGTCATTCGGCCTTTTATCGCTATGTCACTGCTCGCTGCTCGCGTGTGTGTTTTCCATACAAGCCGTATTCAGTATTACTCGCTACGATTGTTTGACGAAAGCTGTGGGAATTTATTATACATCTCTGTGAAAGTATTACGCTTATTTAGCGAAAACCGATACTATCGCTTAGCGAAATCCAAGTCGGATAAAAAACATGAAATACTGACCAATTTTCAAATTTTTAATTAAGCGGCATAATGCCTATACACTTATCTATGTACATATACAGGGTGTTAAAAAAAGATTACATATTCTGAGAGCAAGTGGTATTGATCAAGGTAGGAAAAACAGATCTAATGAACATGGGTCCCTACAACTTATCTCTTTTTTATCGATTGTATCCACTTTTATATATTGTAGTAAACAGAAGAACACTTACTAGTTTTGCTATAGTAATATTTTATAATAACATTACTAATGTAAAGATGATAAAATCAATAAGAAAAAGATAATAAGCTCAAATAGAATAAAGATAGCCTGCATCTTCGAAGATACATATTATAATTGTAGGACCTATATGTTCATCGGACAATTTTTTTATTTCGATCGATATACTACTCGCTCTCAAAATATGTAATTCTTTTTTAACACCCTGTATGTGTACACCTTTTTTAATTATCGCGTAGCAAAAAATTTTTACAACATGTAGCGAGATTTTTAGAAATCAAATAATTATTTATAGCGATGACAATGACAACTTTAGAGAAGAAAAATATGTCAATTATTTTAATGAAATCGTTCAAATGTTTATATTACTACGGAACAGAGGAGATATTTAAATTTTATAGAATCTATTAAATTATAGCTTTCATAAAAAAAAATAAATTGAATAAATGTGCTCGCAATGACGTTTGATACTCTGAATGGAGATTTATGGTCGCTCTTTCACTATTCTCGAATGACCTTTATTCCGATTATTACCACAACCCTGTGCTATTGGCCTGCTTACTGTTACGCGGGAAAATGATGCGCGGTAAATCCTGAGGAGCTGCGTGGTACTAGAAAACGCATACAAGAAATTAGCCTAAATCGTAAGAGCCAATGAAATCCGGCACGGATCGTTAGCCAGTGCATCATCCATTCGTGCCGTATATTACGCGATGTGTTACGAAATTTTTTTTTGCCCGCTGTAATAACGCTAGCCGCCATTCTCTCGCGATTATCTTACGTGGTTCAGAAAACCACTTACGATTCAAGCTACTTTGGGGATAAATCTATTTAGCGGTACTCTAATAATCTCTTTAATTGCGTAGCAAATTTACTTTTCAGTTTCTATTCACGTTTACACGTTTTTATGTCAACCGGTATTACCGCACTGAAAAAATGTGCTAACTTGACTAAATCATTTCAACTAAATTACTATTTTGTTCAAATTAAACATTTATATTAATATTTAAGTCAAATATACACGTTTTCTTAGATTTAATGTTATATTTAATTTAAATATTTTTACATGTTCAATTAACAACCTAATATTTAATTGAAAGATTTAGTAGAGTTAACAATTTTTTTCAGTGCGTAATTTATTTTACTAATAAACCTAATTGAAAAAAAAAAGAAATCTTAACAAGTATACTCTATATATACATATAGGCCCAAGTTACAATTTCAGACGAATAATTAAAGTATCGCTGGAAAAAGTATACAACTTTATTTGATTATTTTAAAATACCTGCAAAAATTATATATATTAACACATAGTAGCTTTTCATATATTTATTTATTATATGAGAATGATAAAATAATTCTATTATTATAGTTTATTTTTAATTGATATTCAACCGATGCTGTGCCTAACATTCTTTGTTGCACCGACGAAAGCGAAGAATAATAACTGAACGATTATGCGTTTATCAATAATCGAGTGGAATGAAAAGCCTTCTGTGAATGGCAAAGTATACGATCTGAAAATGTCGACATATATACATATGTATATCTGCTGTGACGTTCGATCAAATTGATGGATAACAATAATGCAAGAAGAGAGAGACAGCGAGTTTTCTTCAGATTCGGTCGTCCATCTCGGCGATAAACCACGAATGAAAGGCAGGATGTGACCGGGACCGGACGTAACGAGTCCGGCATACCTAAACAGTTCCAGAAACGAAGGAAACACCTTTGTCGTCATCGTTGTGTCGTGATGATTTTACACCCTATCGCGTACACCCACGTATATAATCACAAGTTAATGTCGCTAAATATGGCATGTCTTTTAAGTCGACTGCTAAAATAGATATTGTAATCGGTTCGTTAAGAAATCTATAAGGCTCCGCGCCTTTTGCATCAAACATGCTAACTAATTTCAGAATATACGTGTAATATGTATAATTGATTTTTATTACATTTATATAAGAAAAATCTCATCTTTTTGAAACGCAATTATCTCCGTTGCTGAAAAAGTGTCATCGCATCAAAATTATTCCGTTTTTACAAGATATATGTGAGATCATTATACACGATGTTTCTAAAACTATATAAGAGATTTTAAGGGTCTAATCTTGAGGTCAAAATAAGAAAAAGTTCCTATAAACGTGGGTCCAAAATTCAAAATTAGCACTCTCCCTCTCAAAATCGGATCAAATTGTCAAAACCGCGTAAAAATGAAGTATTCGCTACTAATTAAATTTTAACGATCTGTGAAAAAGTTTCCGAGAGCTATTTTGGATCTACACCCTTAAAATCTCTGACATGTAGTTTTGGAAACATCCAGTGTGTGAACTATACTAACAAGATATATAGAAATAAATTGGACAAAGTAATGAAAGTCGATATCGATCAGAAGTGTGCCTTTCTGGCAGGAGCAGAATAATGCGTACACTAATACAAGTGACGTTAAATGCAATTTGTAAAGTTTGTGTACCTAGCTGGGACATTATCTGTCTCGTCGCGACAGCTCAAGATAGATAGACATGACCACCATGAAAATACGCGATGTATCGTATGAAATTACATTTTCCACACACACTTTCCATAGAAATAACTATCATTTAGGAAAGTGGCACGTGCGCGTCAGAGGTACACATTGTTCGCGTGTATGCGCGTGTGTGTATTACGGCTATTTTTTGTGTCGGGTCTTCAATTTCGATCGCGACCGCATAAACCGGTGAATCGAGATTCACACCGTAATTATTCCGCAATTATCCCGCGAGAACGCGTCATTAAATTCAATGTCTTCCACCTGACTCGGCTCGAAAATTGAAAAATCCAGTATGTTCCGTTATCGTCGTCTGCGTCAGATGCAACTAATAACGAGGACGATTTAAAAGAACAATCTGTCGATAGTTGCGTCAGTCGCGAAAATATTAATCGTTTTTATTGACAGAGAAGATCGTTTTCTCTTCTCGCAATATATGTACTCCGCATGTCGATATATACGTGCATGTCGTTATAGGTGTCGGAACAATAGGCTGTACCCTGTACATCCTCCTGTCGTCCTCCTCCGTTTTCATTCGCCGACTTCGCCGTAGTGTGTTTCCTCTTTCGCGTCTCGCGTCCTGCGAGAGAAACGAGGCGTACTCCTGGCCGATCCTCTCTCTGTCAGTGCATGCTTTACCTTCGTGCATGACACTTTATTTCAATCTCGCGATATATTTCGTTCGCCGCTATCCGCGTAAATAAACCATTTTTTTCACCACTTTTATTCTAAACTTTATTCTCTCCGAGAGAAAAACGTACAATTTATTTTTCTCTTTAATTATTTTTCTAATATAAATTGTATTACTATAATTAAACATTTTTTTGTAAAAAGATTAAATTTTCTGTATGTCGCAAATGGATCGAACACACATTCGATATAAATAAAAAAAATGTTTTCTTCCTTTTAAAATCGTTGATTTCCATTTGAAGTGAAGAAACGAACAAATGTGATATATTGGATTTGGGTGATGTTGAAACTGCACTACGTACGTGTCGCATCTCTTGGACGGACAGAGTTACGGTCGTCGGATTATCAAGGGTTGATGTAGAGAGCTTGCTATTCGCATGATGAATGCCGAGAAAGTTAAAGTGGGCTGCTTTCAAATGATGCTGGTACTGTTGCTTGGAATAAACTATGTCATCGTCGCTATGAGTCATGCATTGTTGATTTTCCATAATTATACACCAAAATTTTATTGTCAGGTAAGATTAGATAAAACGTATGAAAAAAAAGAACTCGAAGCGAGTCGCAGAAATAAAACAGAGAGCTATTATTTTTTAATACAACTACACATATGTGAATTAAAAAAAAAAATCTAATTGATAAATAACCAAAAATATATACGACAAATTTATTATATTCTCCATATCACTTTAGCTTTCGCGCTAAATATAAAAAAATTATAAAGAAAAAGATTATCCAAAAAACATACATGAAAACAATTTTCTCTTTGCTGCGATAATTTAATGAAATAATTTCATCAAACAAATGCATTACATATTCTAGACGACAGACTCGTCGCATAAAACCTATGGATGCCAAGAGACCGCAAATTTGTCGATCGTCGCCAATTCAACTTCCACGTTGTCGAAAGTACCGGTCCTTACGGCTTGTTCCGGCGAATATCGCTTCGTGACGGAATTTGCTGAGAGCAGCGTCGTCACTGAATGGAGCTTGATATGCGAGAGACGATATCTGTCCTTCCTCGGGCCGACTGTTTATTACACCGGAGTTCTCTTGGGTGCGTGGATCACCGGATTTCTGACCGATCGTATCGGCAGACTTCCGGTCCAAGCGATATGTCTTTACGCGCAAGGCACGATGGCGGTGGCACTCTACATGGTACAGGTGATAAACGTTTAACTACGATAATAAATTCAGAGACTTTTTAAATCACCAAAGAATTCATTCGAAAATCGAACAAAATTTAATTTTTTTTAATTCTAAAAAATGGAATAAATTATACATATTGCGCTCAATTCTTCAATTGTAAAACAAAATTATAATTTTAATCATTATTTTATTAAAAAATAGATGAGTTATTTTACAATTTGATGTCTGACGAGATAAGAAAAAGAATAACATTAGCAGCGCGAAATAACGCGTATCTATGAGTAAAAAATTAAAATTTGCAAATGTTAAAAAAGAATAAAAAATTCTCGTTTTTTAGAGTTATCCCGCGTTTTTGGCACTACGTGGTCTTCAGGGAGTATTCGTTCAGGGCTTACAAAACTCCACGTATATTCTTTCTATGGAGCTATTCCCCGTACGATTTCGCACCCTCGTCGCACTGATTATGCAGATTTTTTGGTCGATCGGTCTTATACTACTCGCAATGCTCAACTACGTGATTCCCGATTGGCGAATTTTACAACTGGTCGTTTCCGTACCCACCGCAATCACTGTGTTGTATATTTGGTAAGGAAATGAAAAAAAAACCTGGTCGACACAAATTGTGAATTTGCAATATAAAAAATAATATAAAATAATCTCGATCTAATTTTCCTATCACGTTACAGGGTCATACCGGAATCACCGAGATGGCTGTTAGCTAAAGGGAAATCGACAGAGGCCGATATAGCTTTTGAAAGAATCACAAAGTATAACAGCTGCTGCACCAGATCGCGAACGGAGGATATCTTTGTGCAAGAAGCATGCGTGAAAAGTAACACAACACCGATAAAACCAGAAAGGAAGTCGCGCGTCACTAGCATCGAACTAAAGAAAGCGAAGGCCGATGAAAACCAGCGGGAAGAAGCTACGAGTTTATTGAACCGCTCAGAACTGACTGAACAAAACGTTATAGGTACAAGAGATATTCTATCTTATTATTTTAATTCAATTTATTTCATATAGTACTATTTATTGCAGAAATAACTTCGGAAGCCAATTCGGTGAACTTGGAAAACAGATCTTTTAACTTGGATTTACAGAAAAAGACATCGAGTTTCATCAAAAATTGCGACGAAAAAAATCGACCTTCTAGTTCGAAATGCGATCAAAACTCGAGAACAATTTCACAATTAAATGACCAAAAAGAAGATCTTCACTTCAAAGATACGGAGGTAGTATTGCGTAGAATAAAGAAGGAAAGAATGAACGAAAATGAAGAAAAGACGGAAAATAAGAAGCGGAAGAACAAGAACTCGATATTAAAAATCATATCGGAATCATTGATGTTAAGAAAACACAGCGTTATAATGATTTGTCAATGGTAAACTTTTTTCTTAATCCGGTCTCCTGCCTCAATTTTAAAATTATTTCTTAATTTTCCTCTTTCTCGTCCTCTCGTCTCTGTTAAATATAATTGGTACATTTTTCTGAATGCATATTAATAATTCAAGACTTAAATAGTCGAAAAATAAAAAAATAAAAGTAAAAAAATTTATTTAAAAAATTTGTGTGTAGAAATATATCGGAAGTTAATAAAATTATTATTTAGATCTGAATGTTTCCAATAGAACATTTCAAACATTTTAAAATATATAATAAATTCGATTACAATCATCTAGGAATTAAAAATATGAATATGAAATTTAAATATTAAAATTGTACATATAGTAGATGCAATTGAGTAAGATAAAAATAAGTAAAATATCTATAAATAAATATACCTCATATTTATTTGCCTATTGAAACGTTCTTTATAAAATATGTTTTTTTTTTATATTCATCTAGTATATTTGTATTGTAGTCAGAAAAATTGAGGGAAATCTAAAAAGAATGGGCTCGCAAATAAAATTATAATCAATTTTTCATTCAAGGTGGACATCTGCTATGGCATGCGGCATACTTGATCTGATGCCAAATTTTCCAGTCAATAGACATGTCACGTTTGCCTTGGGAGGAGCTCTCGAGATAGCAACGTACATATTTGTATATTTTGTAATATCTAGATATGGTAGACGGGTGCCTATGTGCATTTACCAGTCTTTCAATGGTGCCATTTGTATTTTAATTGCAACTTTTCTCATTTTAACAACTGTCATTACACCGTGGTTCGGTACGTAAAACAAACGGGAGATAATTAAATGGTTTCTTTAAATAAATTGAATTTTATAAGATTTATGTTTTTCAAGTTCTCTTATACTATAGATGACGATTGAGTTATTATATACAATATATTCTGCAAAATATTCTTTATATAAAATTCATATAATATTTAAGCATCTGTAACAAATCTTTTTTTTTAATATATATATGTAATATTTCTTTTTCAGATCTTGTGAAAACGATAATGTTGCTATTTGGCAAAGTGACTGTCACAAGTACCATATCTATTGCCTACTTATATACTATTGAAACATTTCCAACAGTGATACGAGGTAGCTGTCTAGGTTTATGCGTGGTATTCGCAAAACTCGGCAGCCTAAGCATGCCATATTTGCTGTTATTGGTATAGTATCAATGCTGCTTATTTCTTTCTATTTATTTCAACATTACAGTGTGTACCTATTGATTGTTACTGCTTTTTACGAATCGAGCGAGAACCGTTAATCGCGAAATAAGCTAATTAATTATACAAGTATTGAGATTCGAAAAATCTATTTATCAGGAACAACATGTGCCACTTTCAATACCGTTATTGGTTATTGGCACATTGTGCCTCATTGCCGGACTTTTGGCTCTGATTTTACCGGAGACTCTCGGTAGAATTCTACCAGATCGAATCGCGAGTATGGAGAAAATAATCGGTGACAACAATTGCAAGAGAAATAGCGTTAATATAGAAAATGATACAGAGAAAAGTTTAACAGATGGACAAATTCTGAGAGAGAAACTTTTTTCAGAGGACTGGGTGGATGCTGGCAATGGAATTTTGGTGAATTTTATGGAAAATAAAAATATCGAATAATCTATTGGATAAAGCAATTTTGTATAAAAAAAAAACTAGTTTATTTTTATTGAGTAGATATCATACGCATATTATCTTCTCTCCCTCTCTTTTTCTCTCTCTCTGATACTACTAACTATAAGATATACATTGTATAAGAATCCAATAATCTTGTTGCATTTATATATAGCAACAGGTATTTATTTTAATTTGAAACATAAAAAATTTATAAAGAGAAGATTTAGGATAACGCGGCAGAAATTCGTGTGTGCCCATTTTAAAATAATGTGACAGATGATCTAGATAATTTTTAATGTACATATGATAGAATTTAAAGATAGCTTATGCAAATATAACGGATTGTTTATAGATGATTGCATTTTACTATATCTAAATACACACATGTACACTCATTATAATGTAATAATAAAAAACTGAACATTAGAATGAAAGAAAAGTCTTTCAAATATCTTTCTTGATGTTTAATAATGCTTTTTTATAAATAATTTATTCGCATGTATATGAGAAAGCGATATTATTTGATTATATAAAAGTGTATAAGAAATTTCATCAATTATCACAGTCAAACAATATACTTCATTTCTTACACAAATATATCGTGTCAAAAACAATCACGTAAAATGTAAATATCTATGTTTAGTATTTTGAATATGTGGAATGAGAACATGATTAAAATTGCAATTTCAGGGAACTTTAGATTGCGTGATACCGTTATTTTGAGGATTGATGTGTTGCGTTTGCTCAGCAGCTGTTTGCAAAAGTCTCGTTCGACGTCGTGTATAATGCTGCCACAATAAAATTTGTTGATCGTCGATAAATTTTGTGCACTGAGAATTTACAACTTCTCGTCTAAAGTGCTCGTATTGCAATAAATCAAGAAAATATAGGCACATAGGATATTTCAAATATTTGGCATACTCTGGCTCTTTCCAGTACAGTAGATATTTAAGGTAATTGATAAATGTCGAGTCTTTAAAGTAGCCACGTTGTGCTAAAACTACAATTATACATTTATTATGAGATTAAAATCTTTTTCCAACAATCTGATAGAAATAATAACTAATAATACTTACAGTTCAGATAATTTGGATTTGCAAGGCATTGTACAAACTCTAATTCAACTTGAAACCGTAATCGCTGTTGATCATCCGTCTCGGGAGCCCCTAAAATAAAATTAATTTCAAGTTACTAGTTCTTATTAAAGTAAAATCAAAAATAAAAACTGAGAGTTTATTGCAGAGAAAATGCAATTTACAATTTGTACCTATTTAAAAAAGATTATTATATTTCTTAACATGAGATATAAAGCCAGAATATAGAATACATCAAATAATTTTTCGAATTTTTTTTTTAATCATAACGTAATAAAAACTGTAATGGAAATTTGGAAAAAATTTATTAAATTTTAGGTTAAATATTTATTTTAAAGATTAAGGTTAGAACTGATAAAGACAAATTATAAGCAGTTGTCTCACCATTCATCCCAATAAAAGATGGTTTTCTGCCTTTCATGAGCCCCGAATCATCCAATCGATTCATAGTACATCAATTGTATTAATTGTTTCAACACAGCAAAGTATATACGAAAATACAATTGCAAACGTTCAGAATTGATCATCATCACAGACGACGTAAAAAAAACAGACGTGTGATCATACGACGTCGACGCGCCGAACGCAGCGCTAAACTTGGCCGATCGAGGAATTAATTTGAGCGTAATTTCTGAACGTGCACAAAAATGCAAAATATTTAAATGTTGCCTAAGTACAAAAACTTATAAATAATATTGACATATATTTGTGAAATAAATTTCTCTTTATAACACGATAATTTAATCGGTTAATTGTTATTTAAATTTTAAATTATATGGAAAACAGGTAGTGTTTATCTTTATGGATGTAATAATTTTTTGCACACAAGCAACAATAATAACTATATATTTCCATCAAGTTTCTGCAATAAGGTCATCTGTTGCAGCGTGATTTCTTGCAATTATAGTTCTATTTATACACTTATTATATCTCTGTTTTTAATGAGATTCGATGAATTATACATTGACGTAATAGTACAAAAGATTCAAATTGAATAAACATATACAAAAGAATAATGTGCATTATTTTTTCTTATAAATGATACGGCAAAATTATTAGTTAATAATTTTTTTGTCAATAATTTAATTTATGATTACATGTTATGCTGCATAATCACATGTTTAATTGTAAATAAACCGCCTCCACCATCACCCTGATGCTTTAAAACACAAGTGCTCGAGTCGTGGCGCTTAGTGATATTTGAGATTTTATAAAGAGTCGATATATAGACAGTAGTAGAACAGATCGGTTGCGCGGGCGCTTATAATCTTCGAGGAAATAAGTATATATTTTGTCATTTAAGTGTTATTTAATACTATTAGTGATACATTCTGTAAGAAATTTTTGCTCTCTAGTTTTTCTTTTTCCTTTTTCTCGCTCTTCGCTTTTTTTTTTTTCTTTACAGTGCTACTTAATTATGACTTATAGATGAGATACAGTATTATAAAAGCATTTTTACAGAATAGATTTTATTAATAATTTCATTCTTTAATTTTTTCGAATAATTAGTAGAAGATTGAAGAGAACGTCATGTCTCATGAGAAGAAGAGAATCTCCTATGACGAAGAGAAGAAGAAAAATCCCGAGTTGAAGGATTCCGACGTACAAATTTTAAAGGACTGGTGCGCGAAACAACCGCATCTTCCGAAAATCTCGGACAGTGAATACGCGTTGTTTTTACACAGCAATTACTATCGTATCGAACCTACTAAGAGCACTATCGAGGCATATTATACATCTAGGACTCATCTCGTAGAATTTTTCTCCAATAGAGATCCGCTTGGAACAAAGCAGTTGCGGGAAGCGTTTAAAGTTACGTAAGTACTCCAATATCTATTTTAATATATTATGTTTCTTTTTGAATAAATATTATATAAAAAGTTTAGTTGGCCTACAATATTTATTTCTTTTAATTTCGTTAATTTATACGAGCCTTTTATTAATTAAATTTAAATATTATATAATTAATATAATGTCAAGGTTTGATTTCGTAATAACACGAATATTTTGCATATTTAATTACAAATTTTTATACTTGAACTGTAAATGTATTTCGAAAGGTAAAGAAATTTACACTACAATATTTACAGGATAAAAAAAAGACACAATAAATGTGTATATATGTGTTTATTAGGATCTGTGTCATTAAAATTAGGAAACGTACGTAAATTTAATTATAAGAAATCATTTATTTGTTTAGAAATAGTTTCGACATTATAGATTATTTATAATTGAAATAAGTTATTTATATTTCAAGTATTCTTGTAATTTATGTTCTTTATGTGAAAATATAATTCACGTAATTCACACATGCATAATGTACATAAATAATGATGTGTACATTCAGTAACGATCAATCTTTTTTTTTTGGTAGTAATTTAATCAACCAACTCTGGCTATTTAATAATCTTTATTTAATATTCACGACGTTTCGGCCATAGGTTTCGGCCCTTATCAAGTGCTACAAATTATAATAATGACAATTATTAGAAAATTAAAAAATTAATTAAAAAGTAACTGAGTAACAATAATATTTCCACACATTAATATGTAGGTAGGATACATATTAATGTGTGGAAATATTATTGTTACTCAGTTACTTTTTAATTAATTTTTTAATTTTCTAATAATTGTCATTATTATAATTTGTAGCACTTGATAAGGGCCGAAACCCATGGCCGAAACGTCGTGAATATTAAATAGCCAGAGTTGGTTGATTAAATTACTACCATTTTTTAATTATCATCTGGTGACTTCAGAGATTTTTACATCACTTTTTTTTTGTTTAAAAGAGGACAGATAGTATTGTCAATGCCGACGAAGGAAGGATACATAATCTCCTATGGAAAACTAATAGATTATGATCCGTCACATTTTGTTTACAACGACATTATGAAATACTTTATTATGATGATGGATGCATGGCAGTATACCGAAGGAACCACTAAGGGCCATATAATAGTCTTAGACATGGAAGGTGTCACCTTTGCTCACGCTGCCCGTCTTAGCCCTATGGGAATTAAGAAATTTCTTTTTTATCTACAAGAGGCTATACCGATCAGACTCATGGGTTTGCATTTTATAAATACCAACGCGGTTATGGATATCATTTTGGCGATGATGAAGCCGTTCATGAAAAAGGAACTGATGGAAGTGGTGAGAAAAAATATAAAGATAAACAAAAATTAATTTTCACTCAATTGTGTGTGCATGTATAAGTCTAATGAAAGTAAAAATATTTTTAGTTGCATATTCATACGTCGAAGGATACGTTCGCAAAGTTTGTACCATTGGAAGCGTTTCCGTGCGACATCAGTTTACATGGAAGTTCTAGGCCGCTAAAAGAACAGCAAGAGGAGCAATTAAAAAAGTTGGAAAATCATCGTGAATGGTTTCTGAAAGATGAAGCTACGGGTCGAGTGAACGAATCCTTGAGAGTAGGCGAAAATAAGACAATGGATTTGTTCGGTGTTGAAGGAAGTTTCAAGAAACTCGATATAGATTAATTTTCTGAATTCCTTTATATAGATAGAGAAGGTTGCCAATCAATGGAAAATGTTACATAAAATGTTGATATCTCTCTCTCTATTTTTATGGTCACATTTGTTTTAAAATCGAATAGTTCAAATATGCATAATACAATGTATGCGATAATTGTAAAAAGTAAATGAGAAAATGCGATGCTTAACATACGACGCAATAAACATGCTAGCGAAAAACACATAACAGTGATATCAATATATAATTTAAAATTTGATTTAAATTTATGAATCTGAAACTATTTATTTTGTAAAAGTGCCGTTTATCGAGAATATAATCAAAAGTTTTTCAAAATAATATGCAAAGTATATGATAACTATAATATATGCTGTAAAAAATCTAAATAAATTGTTATTACGTGAAAATTACATGAAACCATTAAACATGATTTACATAATAACAGACATATGAGAATGCTAATAAAACTTTTTATCTACAAGGATTATAATTACATATATTGTAGATATTAAAGTTTAAAAAAATGGAGCATGTGTTAATATTAACGTTCATAATAAACGTTCAATGATAAATGAATGATCTTTTAAAATTATATAGTGTCATCCTGCGTATTATGACCAGTTATATAAGTAGAACTTTGTTACTCATTGTCAGAAGATTTTGAATTATGATTTTATAATCATAAGAATGGCATTCGTGTCAAGTGTCAAATGTTATTAAAAAAATTAGAAGAGAGACATCTATGATACGTATTTTATTAGTACAAAAATGGCCTCGATCTAGTAATGTAATATAAAACAGAGAACAGAATTGATGACTCTGTTTCCCGAAGATATACATATATGCAAAAAAGATTTTCAAAGAGATAAGATGGCACCTTCTTTGAATGGAATTAAATCGATGTTTTGTCATTACGCAATTATATCATGTTTGCTCTTTCAACGACTTTTTATACCATTCATTATTTGATTGCAAGTATATATACGCAGAATGTTTTCCGTGTGCTGAGCTAGCTTAGAACGATCATTCTTGCATTAAATCTGACTTTCTCAACACGTGTCAAGAGCGTTCAAACTTCTAACATTCTCCTCGAGAAATCAGTAAGTTGTCGACTTATCGCATGCGTAGCAGTGTTATTCTGCGCTACCTGGATTTCTAGGACAAATATATCTGTGAATAAAACGGTTAAAAATATGTGATCTTGATATGCAATGTGATATAATTATTTTCGCTCAACAAAAATTTTATTTTAATTTGTGAAAACGATTAACTGTACGTGTCAAATGACTATTAAAATATATATATATATGTACACCTGCAAATTACAAATGCAAGAAAAGTTATAATATATACATATCCGCGTGAACAGAAAATTATTCATGAATGAGTGGTTCTGAAAAATAATTGTTTTTAATGTTCATTTAACAATCAATATTGTATCGTAGTTAAAAGATATAATATATCAATTAAAAGATGATAATACAATAATGAAATGAGAATATCACTTATGCACGCTTTTATACATATACATATATAAATTACTTGAAACAAAATATTTATCAATTCTACATAAATATAAGAAATCAATGTCGTACAATGTTTATTTAGAAATTATAATACATAAATTGTAAATATATTTAAAATATGTGAATGTTGGAATCTCTAAAAAATAAATTGCTATTTCATATTTGTATCTTTTTCTTTAATTATATGACATTACACAAAAATAAATACAGATTTAAACAAATAAAATTATACTCGTGTATCTAATCAATATATACAATACATATTAGACGAATATATTTTTATTAAATAAATCATAATATCAACAAAAAGATATCGCACACACGTATCAAGTAGATGCAGTAGAGAGCAATATTTTGCCGAGACTTTGTGCGTGAATTAATATTATGAATTTATACTATTTTATATTTTTTTTTTGTCATAATGTTGTTATAATTTTTTTAATCAAAATGTTTACATGCAAAAAACATCTGCATTAATTTCTTTGCGCGAATATTTTAGGAAAAAATTATGAACAAAGTCAAATTTGCCTTACAGATTACCTTCGAGCTTTGCAATCATGTCAGGTGTAATATCACCGCCTCGATACATTACTATAGAAGAAGAGTGCAAACGGAACCCGGAACTCAAAATGTCAGATCTGCAAATGTTGAAGGATTGGATGGACAAGGAACCTCATTTGCCTAATATAGAAATACTATACTTCGTTCTATTTCTTCATAGTAATTATTATCATCTAGAGGCAACGAAAAAAACAATAGACACTTTTTTTACCGTAAGAACGCATGTGCCGGAAGTGTTCTCCAATAGAGATCCAATTGCATGGAAAGAATTGCGGAAGACTTTTACCGTCGTGTGAGTATATAATTTGTATTAAATTAAACTGTATGTACAAATTAAATTGTATTTGTATTTAATTATTAAGATGAAAAAAAACATCCGCGTTATTATAAAGGTGACAGTATAAGAAAAATATTCTTTATTCGATAACACAGAGCGGCTATACCATTGGAGCAGAAAACCAAAGAGGGATACATCGTGGCATTTGCCAAGCTTTTGGATTCAGATCTGAGTAAATTTGATTATCTCGAGTGTATGAAATATTTATTTATGACATGTGAAGTACAAAACTTGATAAGAGGCACTAGTGAGGGACTAGTTGTCGTCATTGACGCATCGGGTGCAACCTTTGGTCATCTCGCTCGTATGAATTTAATGAATTTGAAAAAGATATTGTTCTATATACAAGAAGCTGTCCCAGTTCGATTAAAGGCCATACATATACTCAATACCGCACCTGTAGTAGACATGATGCTAAATATGATAAAGCCTTTCGCGAAAGCAGAATTGCTAAAGCTTGTAAGTTTTCACACATGTTATTCGATATTAATTAGAGTTCTGTTTGAGAAAAATGAAAAAAAAAAACAGAAAGAATGAAAAAGAGAGCGAGATGTAAATATATATTTATTATTTTAGATACACTGTCATTCCAACTTGGAGACTGTGCAAAAGTTTTTGTCCATCGACATTTTGCCGAACGAATATGGCGGGAAAGCGGGATCTATCGAGGAATTAATTGCTAAACACATCAAATTATTGGAAGAATTCCGCGCATGGTTTCAGTACGAGGAACATATTGGGCGGGTGAATGAATCCCTACGAGTTGAGAAATTTCAAAATGCGGATAGCTTGTTCGGTGTGGACGGTAGCTTTAAAAAATTAGAGCTAGATTGAGCCGAATAAATACAAAATCAAAGATTTTTAAAAGGATTTCTAATTTTTTATCTCCTTCAAATATATATAGTAAAAGATCATATTCTCATGTTAATCGATCATTTCTTTTTATTATTGTAACTCGGATTATATTTTTGTACAGATAAATAAAAAAAAAGAAAAAATGTAATTTAATTTATATTTAATTACTTTAATAATAATAACTTACTTTGCACTATATACACACACATAATTTACTATATATATGTATAGTTACATAATTAAGTTATTCGATAAATTATTATGGTTTATTATATGTACATACATATACGTTTATTAACTCATTTTAATTGTTTCTCTCCGGTTGTTATAAATACGCGCTACTGAAACCTTGATGTATGCATTACTATCTTATAAGGCCCAGAAGTTACACAATGCATAATTTCATGCACGCTACTCTAATTACGATTGGTTTATAATACAAATTAGACTCGTACACTCGCGGTAAAAGAGTATTCTAGCAGTATTCGCTAGATCTTTGAATTGTTCATAACATCTTTGCTATATAGCTTTGAAAGAAATTGCGTGAGAAACACGGACATAAAAGTGTAAGATAATATCGTATTATAAATTGATGTTATAATTGATTTATACAATACCATTGAATAATTTATGTATGTACATATATTAACTTGTGTGTATCATACTTTTTAAGAAAAGGCAAAAAGCCGCGAAGTACACTCGCGCCAGTGAAAAATTACCCATTGCAAACCGATGTAAAATCGTAATAATTAAAAAAAGAATAATACAAAAATACAAAATTATAAATTAATAGAAAAATTAGAAAATAAGACAAATAAAAAATAAAAAATTTTAATTAAAAAAACTTGGCACTGCTAAATTTAACAATATGTTAAAGTTAATTTTAAAATAAACTTTATCTTGCCGTGCTTTCACTTTCTGTCAAATCTCAGAGCCCCACTAGCGCAATCTTTTAATGAGCGGGTCACTGTACATGATTATTATCATTAGAATTGCATGTGTTGTGTACATGTATATGCGTGTGGTACTATACCATTATATTTTTTTGCATGTATATTATGTATGTGTATAGCACGTGTAAAACAACGGTGACAGTAATCACCGATGACGTTTCTTAAAGGAAAATATATTTATATTTTATATCACTAGACAACACAAGCGCGCGCTTTGCGCTTTAGCAGTGCCAAGTTTTTTAAATTAAAATTTTTTATTTTTTAATTTTTCTATTAATTTATAATTTTGTATTTTTGTATTATTATTATTTTTTTAATTATTACGATTTTACATGGGTTTGCAACGGGTAATGTTTTACTGGCGCAAGTGTACTTGGTGACTTTTTGCCTTTTCTTAAAAAGTATGATACACACAAGTTAATATATGTACAATGAATTATTCAATGGTATTGTATAAATCAATTTATAACATAAATTTATAATATGATATATCTTACACTTTTATGTCCGTGTTTCTCACGCAAATTTATATGCTTTGATTTAATATTATTTAGAACAACTGTCAAACTATTAATCTTAGCAATGACAGCTGTTTGATATGAATATAATACACTATGCGAATCGAGACAACGAATCAGCAACGCAAAAAAGCGGCAAGATTACATGTGAGAATCGATTTTGGATGCCTTTTATTATAAACAGATGCAAAATGTTTACATTTATAATGCAAGTAAAGAAAAAATAAAGATTTTTCTTATACAATTCGCAAACCTAGTAAGAATTCGAACGCTTCAGTCGTTATTGAACGCTTTAATAACGTATTCGATTTGTTGATTCTATCCGACTACTCGCGACTCTTTTCGATTCTGACGATGAGTCAAGTCTGGTCCATCGGGTTTCATAATTTAATATAATTTACAAATTATACTGTTGATTCTTTAATTATTAATATAATTTACAAATTGAACTATATGATATTCTTTTATCTGTCCGATTCGGGTCTAGATACACAGAGTGTCTCATCGCTGCTGCACGCGTGATTTCGACTGTGCGGTATTATTTATATATACTGGTTGTAACAAAATATATTTTGTACCACGGTTGAGCTGAATTTCAACAATGTCAATGGTAAAATCCGTGACACTGGAAGAAGAATTGAAGAAAAATCCCCAATTGAAGCTATCAGATATACAATCACTGAAAGAATGGTGCGAGAAGCAACCGCACTTGCCAAAGATTGAAGACAGCTTCCTTGCAATGTTTCTTCATAGTAACTATTATCGAATGGAACCGACAAAGAACACAATTGAGAATTATTACACGACTAGGACGCATGTACCAGAATTTTTTTCCAATCGGGATCCACTCGGGGGAAAAGATCTGCGACAAGCTTTCAAAATTGCGTAAGCATATAATTTTAATTTTAGTAGCATAAAATTTGTTCATATATATATATGTGTGTAGTAACAATTTATATAATATTTTAAACTACAAGTATTTTATACATGTGTATTTCTCTTAAAATCCGCACGTAGAAAATGAAATAAAAATTATACAAATTGTATATTTAAGAAAATTATACTTCTAATATTTTCTCAGACATATATCTCAATCAATGTTTTATATAATATATCTAATATATTAAAATATAATAATTTAAAATTAAAATACAATAATTTTTTATTTAAAATAGAGCTAATCTTCCCTTAAAAAAAATAACAAAGGATGGGTATAAAATCATGTACGGTGCATTTCTGGACACCGATTCTTCTCGTTTCGTCTACAATGACAATGTTAAATATTTCCTAATGGTGACCGACATATGGTTTCTGACTGAGGGTACGAATAACGGATACATTTATTTGGCCGATGCTAGCGGACTATCCTTTGGTCACCTTACGCGACTTAGCCCTTTGGGTCTCAAAAAATATTTATATTACATACAAGAGGCAGCGCCAATACGTCTGATGGGAATCCATTGTTAAATGCGCCACCCGCTATGGAATTGCTAATGAATATGATGAAACCATTTATGAAAAAAGAGATGATAGATATGGTAAATATTCAAAATGAAAACACATTAATGTTGAGCAGACCTAGCTTATATGTATGTAAATAGAATTTATACAATGCTTATCTCATATTAACGAGAAATATTTTCGCGTATCCATAATTTATTGATAGCAGCAAAAAACTCGCAATAAAAATTAAACTGATTTATACCAATATTTCTTTATTTTACACTCAAAGGAATTTTTTCTCAATTTACTCAACTTTTTTAGATACATTTTCATTCATCGCTAAAAAGTGCTGCCGAACACATTCCGGTAGACGCGTTACCGAACGAGATAGGTGGAAAAGCCGGTTCCATGTACGACCTTGCCGAAATTGAAGTGAAGAAGCTCGAGGACTATCGCGAATGGTTTTTGATGGACGAAGCAACTCGTCGTGTAAACGAAGCGTTGAGGATCGGCAATAGTAAATCGGCGAGCGATTTGTTTGGCATAGAGGGTAGCTTTAAGAAGCTCGATATAGATTGATCAGAATATATTATTTAGTATATTATTAGTATGAATTTTTAGAATTGTTTAGCACACTGTTGTACATTTTTGGAAAATATAATACAACTCTATTTATGCAAAACTCTATTTTGTATGTTACAATGCAATTTTATGTAATGACATACAACATGCACTTTGCGTCTGAAATAAAAAAAAACCTCTTATGTAAAAGTGTTGTTTTTCTATGATTAATTAATCATTTTTACGCCGATTATAGAGCGTCTTACAGAATCAACATCATTACTTTAACGAGATATCAATTTCGATTAGAAAGGTATATAGCGTCAAAAAAGAAGAACAATTAAGAAATCTCATTTTATCAGAAAAAATAATTACTTTTTTATACTTTTGTTAAAGAAATAAAATTGACTAAAAGATCATCTACCTAAAGACATAATCAATTGTTTTTGCAATACTCTGTACGTTAGAACTGTTTAATTTGCATGACTCGTCATACGAACGAGCAATTAGAAGGCGAATTAAAAAAAAATGCGATTGCTCGCTTATCTTTTGCTATACGCGTGATGTGGATAAGTCAAGGCAATCAAGATGTAACAGGTTTTTATATTGCAACATATAAAACCTGAATATAATTTCTTCCTTTGCTGTTACGATATATATACCTATTACCTATATATGCTCGTGTTAGAAAAACTATAATAAGCTAACTATGACTGTTGGGCAAGTTTCATAGTAGTTTCTATCTTACAATTAGAGATGAAGCAGTTTCAATCTTGTCAGTGTTCAAACTAACAGACGACGTATAAAGAAAAAAAAGAAGAAGAAGAATTTGTAATTCAAATTTATCGTATTGTAATATTGAAGTGAGAGCATATATAATATTGATCAAGTGAGAGAAACAACGAAGAAGTTCGTTCTAAAATATATATCTATTGTGTTCCTTATTTTTGCAAAAAATAAAAAATTATATAAAAATCCCTATTAATTTAATGATTTAGTTGATTTATATTTAACAAAATTAATGATTCAAAATGTTCAAATAACCATCCTATACTAAAGAATATCCAGCCAGAAATGATATCGAATCAATGTCAATTCGTCGTTGAAAATCGATGTCAATTCGATCGGGTAAATCGCCATCGAATTGATGTTGATTCGACGTCGATTTGATCATTCATTTCTGGCTGGGTAAATATATGTATATTAAATAAAGTGAGAAGCAATTCTAATAGATTATCTATAATAAAGGAGAAAAATTTATAGCAGATTTGAATCAACAATGTCTTATTGCACATTAATTTACATATATGCTTTGATTTAATATTATTTAGAACAACTGTCAAACTATTAACTTTGACAATGACAGCTGTTTGATATGAATATAATACACTATGCGAATCGAGATAACGAATCAGCAACGCAAAAAAGCGACAAGATTACATGCGAGAATCGACTTTGTATGCCTTTATTATAAAAAGATGCAAAATATTTACATTTATAATACAAGTAAAGAAAAAATAAAGACTTTCCTTATTATACAATTCGCAAGTAAGAATTCGAACGCTTCAGTCGTTATTGAACGCTTTAATAACGTATTCGATTTGTTGATTCTATCCGACTACTCGCAACTCTTTTCGATTCTGACGATGAGTCAAGTCTGGTCCATCGGGTTCATAATTTAATATAATTTACAAATTAAACTATGATATTCTTTTATCTGTCCGATTTGCGTCTAGATACACAGAGTGTCTCATCGCTGCTGCACGCGTGACTTCGACTGTGCGGTATTATTTAGCGTAATTTATATATACTGGTTGTAACAAAGTATATTTTGTACCACGGTTGAGCTGAATTTCAACAATGTCAATGGTAAAATCCATGACACTGGAAGAAGAGATGAAGAAAAATCCCGAACTGAAGATGTCAGATGTACAGATTCTAAGAGAATGGTGCGACAAGCAACCTCATTTACCAAAAATGCAGGATATCCAGCTCTTTATATTTTTGCACTGCAATTACTATCAGATAGAGCCGACGAAGAACACAATTGAGAATTACTTTACTGTTAGGACACACGTGCCGGAATTTTTTCCAACAGAGATCTACTTCAAGTTAAAGAACTACAAAAAGCCTTTCAAATTGTGTAAGTATAAATTTTGTTTTTTTCGATATCGATAATAGTTAAAAAAAAAATATATATATATATATATATATATATATATATAATCTATATATGTATATCATTTATTATCTAAATATTGTATAAATAAATCTCAGCTATTATATAAAATATGTATAAACTTTCTTCTTATAAGTAATTTCTAATATAAAATTATAATCTAAATTAATCATATAAAAGTGAAAATCTTGTGCATAAAAATAATTTGTATTATAAATGAAGAATTGAAACGGATTGTAATTTTGAGTAGAGTTTGAAAATTGAATATAAATATTGAATATTTGAATCTACAATTATGGTGCAATACAATGCAGTCTCATAATTGAATTCAAATACAATAATTATAGTAACATTTATTTGTGTGTTAAAACAAAAGGACACATCTTCATTTGGAGAAAAAAACAAAGGAAAATTATAACATAATGATGGGACGACTTTTCGATTGTGATCCGTCGAATTTCGACTTCAATGATCAACTAAAGGCTGGCTTCATGATATTCGACAAATTGGTTTGGACCCACGATTTGAGTCCCGGATTCATCTACATCGGCGATGCTACTGGCTTCTCGTTTGGACACGTGGGACGTATAAATCTAATGTCCTTAAAAAAATTTGCATATTATATACAGAATGCTTTACCGGTGCGCCTAAAGGCGATTCATGTCCTAAACATGTCACCAGCTGTCGAATTATTATACAGTATGCTTAAGCCTTTCATTAATGCAGAATTGATAAAGTTGGTAAGATTTTAATTCAACATATTTTTAATTAATTTTCTTTTACGTAACGCATCAATATAATTATGGATTTTTGTAATGACAACACTCTGTCTGTGATTGCAATTAAAAGATTTGTACATCGATAAATAAACAAAAATAGTTATTAAGTTAAAAAATATTATACAAGATGCATTACATTGTAATTTAATTAAACCAGTTGAAGATGTTTAACACTTCATTTCTTTCAGATACACTTTCATACATCAATGGAGAGTACAAGGAAGTATTTTCCAATAGAAGCACTGCCCAATGAACTCGGCGGAAAAGCTGGTACTATTCAAGAATTATCGAATATGGAAGTAAAAAAATTGAATAATTTCCACGAATGGTTTTTGGAAGACGAAAAAATCAATCGAGTAAACGAATCATTGCGGATCGGCAAGAATCAAACTTGCAACGATTTGTTCGGCGTGGATGGTACTTTTAAAAAATTGGAAATAGATTGAGACACAAAAAATAATTTTGGGATAGAGTATAGAGTATGCCTTCTATATAATTATTATTCAATCGAAGAGATACTTTTCCAGAAAAAATCTATAGAGGAATTTCACATTGTGCACTTCTTTTAAAATAAATAAACTCACTGGGTTTAATCATATAATCGTAAAGCTTGCAAAAAAACCTATAATTTAAAAAATAAAAATTCTTATATAAAATAATTGTAAAAAAAAACACAAGTTATTGTGCCTTTTTCATTAAACTTTGATTATAATTTTCTACGAAATTTTACGATACCTGGTATAGCGCCAGATGCGATAATACATATATTTATTTTGTTAATAAAATATAATTTATATATACTTTTCTCTATCATTGTTGATGTTAAAAATACGAATCATATATCTATCAAGTCGTGTCGACTTCACCGCTAAATATATCGTGAATTGACAAAACAATGTTATTTTTCTTGCATTCGTTTTAATACTTATTTATTAAGGTATAATGATGCAACCTTTGCCATATCAATGACAAACATTATTTTCACACAATGTACTTGCATATCTCTTAATGTCATTCCAATAGATTTACCGAGCGAGGACATACACGTTTCACTTTTGTGAGAAACATGTTTCTCAAGATATGTATAGTCATGCGCATAATGAAAAGATGTTAGATATAATTATCACATGTAGAATTTTACACGTGTATATGTGTTCAAATAGAACTATATATGTAACGAATTATTGATATTATGATACGATAGTATGCATATATATTATTGCGAGAAGTATTGGACACCGATTGGAATAAATATATGTTATATTTTTCTTATAAAGCTCTCTTATATTATATGTACATACATGATATATGAAAAATGCATAAATATATATCATTATAAATGTGCACACACACACACACATACACACACACACACTTGTTTAAATTGCATGTTTCTCGTTTCTGCTGCTTGGGAAAATTATGTATTCGACATTTCTTCGGTGTCTAATGAAACCGATGATGAATTTTCAACGTGTATGTTGTTTTCCATACTATTCATCGCGAAAATGGCACGTTACTGTCACGCTATACTCATCTGTTGACATTTCGGTCCCGCGGGGTGCAACTTAAGAAGTCTATTATATTTCAGCACAGATCTCAATCAGTACTCTTCGAGTTACCGAGTGACATCCTTTCATCGCATCCTTGTAGAACATATTCGAGGTAAAGGGAATTCATTCAGACGCGCGTTTATTCGCTAATAAATATTGAGTAAATTAATAAAATATGCCTATGATAAAAAAATGTGTCTAATAATAGAACACATACTGTACAGTATATATATATATATATATATATATATATATATATTAGATAAAACAATTTTTTTCGATAATTCGAAGAATATTGATTGAGATCTACATTGAAATATATTGTGTGTGTGCATATATATGTATATATATATATATATATATATATATATATATATATATATATATATATATATATATATATATATATATATATATATTATACAATATATTTTAATGTAGATCTCAATCAATATTCTTTGAATTATCGAAAAAAATTGTTTTATCTAATTAGCACATATTCGAGATAAAATTAATTCATCTGAACACGCGTTATTCGCTAATATTGAATAAATTAATGATGAGTTACACCTATATCATAAGATTGCATCTAATAGCCTAACATAGAGTGTATATCTCATCAACACAGATTTCAATTAGTACGAGTTACTAAGAGGAATCTTTTTATTTGATTATCACATTATAATAAATAAAATTTATCTAAATGCGCATTCTAATAAAGATATATATTTTAATTAATTTTTTAATTAATTTGTAATTTATAGTAAATTAATAATCTATATATACAATCATTACATACACACACACACACACAATACATAATGTCCCATTTTACCTTTTTGATTAAAATTTCTCGAAAACCAAGACTTCCAAAAATATTTCATATCAACAAAAGTTGTAGGATTTTAATTTATTAAAAAAAAAGAAAGAAATTATGCAGTTGCACGTTGCAAATTGCAATTTTTTTAAATTACTTTTTAATAAATTATTTTTTATAAGACTATACTTTTCTTACACAATTGATTTATCTCATTATATATCTATACAAAAAATCATTGAGATTATCAAAAAAATGAATTTATATTACATGAGAATATATTACAAGAGATTTCATTTTTTTTTGTCAAAATATATCAGAATAAAGCATAGAATCTCGTAAGGTAAACCATTCATTTTTTGACTATTTCACTCCAATAATTTTTTATCAAATATTATGAGGAATCGACTTATGTAAAAATTATAGTGGTTTCGTTTAAAAAAGGTAATGACCTTAAAATCTTGAAAATATATCTCTACCTAGAATAAGACTACCTGGAATAAAATGTTTATAACAAGATATACATATATCTCTCTCGAAATCCTACAATTTTTATATGAAAAATGTTTCGATAAAAGCCCTTTCATTTTCGAGAAATTTCAATAAGAAAGTTAAAATAATACACTCTATATGTGTATATGTATATATACATGTATATATACATGTATATATACATGTATATATATATATATATATATGCATGTATATATATTATATACATATGTCCCTAAAGTCTGTTACCCTAATATTTCGGAAATGAATCAAAATTTCAAAAAATCGATTTTCAAGGGGGGTCGCCCCCTTTGGACCCCCTTGAGGGGCGACTCCCTTCGACCCCCTTAAAAAAGCAGCCCCTTGAAATGATCAAACACGTGTTTTGCAATTTTTCGAAATTTTGATTCATTTCCGAAATATTAGGGGTGGTAATGGACTTTAGGGACACCCTGTATATATATATATATATATATATATATATATATGTATATATATATATATATATATATACATATATATATGTCCTCGGGCCAGTCCGGTACTAAATCCGGTTTCCAAGATATTGGGTTATTTATTTTTCGGCTTTAGTTGTGAGTGGTATGTGACGCAGAGCGATTCAAGATTCACGGTCACGGTCCATGGGAGTAATATATATGTAGTATATATATATGTAATAGTATATATACAATATATGTAATTAGTTCAATACATTATTGTAATTATACACGCTGGCTTAAACGCGTTTGTTTATCAACATTATTACATATAACAGAGAAAAGTATAGAATCGAAAGGATCTGAATAGCTCATCAGTTGGAAGAGCAGTCGCCCGGCAAGCGAAAGGTCTCGGGTTCGATTCCCGATTCAGCGACTTTCGGATCTATATTTTTCTCTTGCATTTACTTATTTCCGTAGGGGGATGAAAGGATTATTGAAATTAAATTTCAAATATGAGATTATTTCATATTTTAAATCTTGGCCGTGATCAAGTAAAATTTGGTGCCTTGTGCACAGATACTTAATCCTAACAAAAAATTTAGTTTTGTTAGGATAACGCACTGTCATCCGCGAGTTGGCTCTTATTGCTTGACATTATTGTAATGTTTATGATCTTTTGTTAGACATCTTACAGAAAAAAAGCGTGACTCATTTTACTAGCTCATCGCAATAGACACGTAAACAAAAACACATATGACCAAGTCAATTTTGCCAGCAATTTTGCTAAAGATATTAATTAATTTCAATCCTCTATACAGGAAGAAGTGCGGAAAGTGTGAATCATGGCTTCGATAGATTTAGTACCATTTGAAGAAGAATTGAAAAGAAATCCTGAATTGAAAGAAGCAGATATACAAATGTTAAGAGAATGGTGCGAAAAACAGCCTCATCTGCCTAAAATATCAGACAGCGAATTAGCATTGTTCTTACACAGCAATTATTATCGATTGGAGCCAACAAAGAGTACCATTGATACCTTCTTCACGGTCAGAAGTCACGTACCTGAGTTCTTTTGCAATCGGGATATTATAAACAACAAAGAGCTCAAAAAAGCGTCGGAGGTTGTGTAAGTATACGCGTGTGTATTTACGATTTTTTCTCTTTGTATTTAATCTATTTAGAAATTATACATACACAAATACATACATAAATATTGTCTCGTACAAGAAAAATTTCGCGTATAAAGTAAAGATTATCCAATTATCAATAGAACACAACAGATTTTGGAAGGATCTACTAAAGAGGGCTACAAAATCATCTTCGGAAGATTGCTGGATAGCGAGCCATCGCACTTTGTTTATAACGATGCAATGAAATTGCTAAATATGACAATAGATTTGTGGCTCTACACGGAGGGTACCTGTGACGGCCACGTGATATTATTTGACATGAAAAACGTTTCTTTCGGCCACGTTGGCCGTTTGAGTCCTATGGCACTCAAAAAGTTTCTTTACTATTTACAAGACGGTTTGCCTGTCCGCCTCAAGGGTTTTCACTTTATGAACGCTTCTCCGGTAATCGATGTTATTCTAAACATGATGAGACCCTTTATGAAAAAGCAGCTGATGGATATGGTAAGAAATCAAATTATACGTACAATAGATCTATACAGGTTCTTTCTAAAACTATAACAGAGATTTTATGGGAGTATTCTAAAAAGAAGTTCCTATAAACATATGTCCGAAAATAAAAATCAGCATATCTTCCTTTTAAAATCCGATCAAATTATCAAAACTACATTCAAATGAAGTATTTACTACTAATTATTACGCTGTGAAAAAACGATCTGTGAAAAAATCTCCGAAAGCTATTATAATACACTTTTCGATTTTTTCCCCAATTTTATGAGCTATATAACTCCAAAGAAAAGCATTTTTAAATCAATGTTTAGGATGATAGGAACTTTTTTTTTATTTTAATCCGTAGAATATCTTTAAATCTCTGACATAGTTTCAGAAACACCCTGTATATATCAGCATGAATTAAGAGATCTGAAAGCGAATCTATATTTTAAAAAACGAAAAATAATAACATACATAATTCTTTTCAAGAGAATATGCGTGTTTTAAAATACAATATAATTTACACTTTACTGATTAAATATATCACGCGCGCGATATAAATTGCATTCTTCGTATATGTATATTTATATATGTACCTATATCCTTTATAGTTGTTAAAAAAATAAAATAAGCAAGCACAAGTATATAAAAAGCATACGTTTTATATTAATTACATGTGTAAATTCTAGTTTCACATGCATACCACAAATGACACTTTGGAGAAATTCGTACCACTCGAAGTTCTTCCGAATGAATCGGGCGGTAAAGCCGGCCCGATACAGGAATTATGCGACAAGCAGGTAAAGAGATTGGAAGATCACGTTGCTTGGTTTCAAGAGGAAGAGGCTAATCATCGCGTCAATGAAGCTCTGCGACCTGGCAAGGCAAAGACAGCGACAGATTTATTTGGCGTTGAAGGAAGCTTTAAGAAGCTCGAGATTGATTAATGGAATAATAATAATCTTTCAATCTTTTAATACGCACTTTGCGTTTTTATCTTCGAGATAATCCAATGTCCGAAGATAAAAATATAGTCTAACAATACACATTTATCATATTATACACTAATATTTAGCAGTATTTCAGTATCAATATAGCATTGAATATACAGTGTAGCGGTAGCAACACGTGATATTCTAATTAATAATCGTTGAAAAATTATATATTAAATATAACATATATATAATAAAAAAACACATTATACAATTGCACTAAAAGTTTAATTATAGCAATTAAAACATTATTAATATCATATTACTTTAATCAGATTGCTTATTTATCCTTCGTGCCTATATTTTTCATCTCTACGATACTTTATTTTTATATGCAATATTTTTATAATCTTAGACTTGATTACCTTGACAGTCACATAAAATAAGCCGTATAGAAGAAACCATGACCGAATTTTACTATCGACCGCTATTTTTAAGCAAGATAATGAAGATTTAATCTCTCTTCACAGTTATATCAAAAAACTTTTTACATCAGAAAGAATTTTAAATCATGCTTTATATATATATATATATATATATATAGATGCACACACACATAATTAAAAATACTTGTTTTTTGTCTTTAAATCTTGTATTATCTCATGTGGCAATAACATAATGACACAGTTGCACAATATTCTACTTTTACGTAACCAACTGCATGATTAATAATGGACTGATCTCTCTGATTTGAAATTATCGTGTATGTATCTCTTCACACAATGCATGACATTTTATTATTAAAACGCGAGACGTGAAACGTCACAACTTTTAATCGTGACAAACAAATTAATATCTATAATAGTACCTATAAGAAATGCACGATACATTATTAACCGTTAATATAATCATTTTAAATCTAATCAACATAATTGATTATGCCTGAATAAAAAAATATAGCGAATAAAAAAATACGCTAATAAAAAGCAGCAATAATTTCTATTTATAACTTTCGTCTCGCTCACATTTTATGTATCAGTTTGAATGTATACATATATGTATATGTATACAAGTTGCATCGTGGTGTGGAGAGACCTTTACAATATCTCCTTTTCGACAGTTTCTTATAATACTTTCACCATCAAACTATCCGCGCAGTAAACGACAACACTCGTATGCGAACATATCGATCCTGATAAACAATCCAGACTTCATCTCGTAATGAAACGTTTAATAGTAAGTATGTATAAATTTATCATTTATTAATAATATAAATTTTAAATGCATCTTTGCGCCTTGAATTTAATGATATTAGATATGTTTCTTGCGATAAATTTCTGCATATATATTTTTTTATATAGATATATGTCATTGTAAATAAGTTAAATACGGTAATAATACAATGTTTTTAACACGAAATTATTTAAAATAAAGTAAGAAAATAATCACAAGATTATCCGCGAATAAATGATTCCATGTGAAAAGATTCTTCCAAATTAATACACGCAGTGCTTTTTATGATGAAACCAAATGATTTCACAATTCGCCTTGGAATTTTAATAATACGTATTCGCTATGTTGCCGCGTCCTTTGCAATATAATGACTAATATATCATCAGATATCATTAGTTTTCCTCTAATAAATTGAATAAATCGTCAAAATTTTATCACTCTGATTATTAGTAGTTAAATTGTATATGTAGAATTTCATCACAAAATATTTTAAAAACTTTCTAAAAAAAAAAATAAAATACTTTTGCCAAAATTATATCTTTTAAATTTAATCTCAAACTTTAGATATAACTGTATATACAGAAAATTTACACGATTAAGATTACAATATTATTTGGCGTTATTAATATATATTGTGTATTAAATTATAGATAGTCACCGCATTGGTTAACATTTGCTTGGCGGATGTATCACATATTTTATCGGAATACCAGACAACGACCACAACATTACCTCCAAAACCGTACAGTTTCCAATATGAAGCAGGACGATACCCGGGACACATTGATCGGGTTCATCAAGAAGTCGGAGGTGGAGATGGAATTATTTATGGTAATTGCAGTTTATAAATATATATACATCATTCAAATTGTTCAGGGACGATGCGGATCTAAAGCTTTATTTTCTAATCTGTCTCAATGTTTCAAACTTGCTCATTAAGATTATACCATGATTCTTCATCGATCACGAATCTTTTTCTATTTAATCCAAGTGCAAAAAAGACGCAGAAATTGTAACAGGAAATTAATTCTAATGCAAAATAATTATTGATTCGTCAGATAGTAAACGGAAAAAATCTTTAATGCTACTATAATTAGAAAGAAGATTGTATAGTGCAATCATTTTAATAAATAAACGTGTATCTCTTTCAGGAACATATTCGTATGTTGATCCAAAGTACAAAGTACGAACAGTCGAGTACAGAGCTGACAAAAATGGATTTCATCCTGCATTAATCAACTTTGAAGACACTTTTGCTCAACCTGTCGATTCGGAAGCTGTAAGATTGGCTAAGGAGCAACATATGCGTCTTTACCAAAAAATTGCAGAAGCAAATGCTCATAATATTCCAGTAAATTTGCCACGGGTAATTGTTTTATACATTCATTGATATAATGCATCAAAGATAAAAAAAAGGAGGATTTCATTTTCAAATCATTTAATTTTCAATCATATTTAAAAATTACAATTTCTTGGAAAAGAAGACAAAATCCATATCTTTTTTTTTTATTTTTTAACGCGTTTGAAGAATTTTATGTACGTATATCTAATACACCGATTGTTTAAGATTGTAAATAACGATAATTATATATAATCAGTAATAATTTTCTAAAACTGATCATAATATAAGAAATATGAATAAGCGATTTAATTATTTTTCTGAAAAATACGCGTGTTTACATTTTTCAAGAATTGGAATATTTTTTGGATAAATAGTTTGATTAAATCGCTCGCGCAGTTTTATTTGTTTTTTCTTATACCTTTCCTTATACTTTACTTCGTTACTTGACTTAATTACTCCATAGGATTCAGCCAGCGTAGCAAGAGCGAAGGACATGCACAACGAATTGTACCACAGGATCGTGGAACAACACGCGGCGATTGCCGCGCAGAGGGAAGCTGAACGACTGGCTTATGAAGCGACTTCCGTTGCCAATGACGTTGATGATCATCGGACACGTTAATCGCGTATTATGCACGTGTTGGCATCACGTCCGACACGTAGTGTATATTCTAATAACAAGAAATATATATTACGCGTGATGTCATCGAAATGCTCACATATAATGATTTTCTTAAGCTGATTCGAATAATAGAGAAATGTTTTCGTTCGATGACTTACGAATAAAAATTTCTAATCTTTGCTAATCTATAATATAATAATATGTGCTTCTTGTGTAAATATATAAGACTATAGTTATTTTATACTCTCACAGTCCTCAACATGTATACGGATAATAAAAGACTTTAGAGGCATAGAAAAAGAAAAAATATAAAACATTAAATATGCTATAGTAAAATGAGTGTCGTGTTTTATAAACGAATCTAGAATTTATGATAGATAATGCGAAAAATAAAAGATCAATATACATTTATAATAATAAAAATTGTAATAATAATTGTAGAATCAAACGGAAAATTAAATTTTTATACAAATTGTTTTTTTTATCTTCTGAAACAGAATTTAAATTTATTTCTTATCAACTTGTAAGATATTATAATTACAAAATTATTGCGTATTCCCCATAAATATTCCAATAAACAACAAAGATATAAATAATGCACTGCAGATAAATAATTACTCCATATGTTGTATTTCTTCTTTTGACATATAATTATTCGCAAATTTAACAATCTGATTACGAGAGAGCAGTAACGCGAATAGTTACATACACGTCGTCATTTTTAAATGCCGGAAATGCTATTGCGCTAAACAAAAAAATTGCCGATAAAAGATAATGAAAAATGATAATTTAACAAACACACAATTATTTTGTATGATATAAAAACGACCAAGCTACACCAAAAGCGACATTAGTTCGAGTGAGTATCTTGATGAAAGATGAAGTTCCTGAGCCAACTATTTTGTTTCTTTTTGCTGTGCATCGCGGTAGGAATAATATATATTTTTGTCACGCAATTCAAAAATATAAATAAGCACATTTAAAACATTTAAAAAGTTTCATAAAATAAAAATTTTTACATATACACACGGAATCTATAAATAAATTAAAACTTTTAAATTTATTTCCTGTGTATGTATAACAATAAATTATGTCTCAATAAGAGCAAAAAACTAAAATCTGAAAAAAGAAAAAATCAAATATTAGGAGAGATAAATAAAGTTTCAAGTATCTATAATGTGTGCATTTCTATACATTTCTCAAATTTTTTATATGAAATTCTATATATAACAATGTAAAATATTAAATATATATATATATATTAGTAAATATTAAAATATTATATATATATATATATATATATATATATACATTTTTTGATAATAAAAATGACATTAACTCCTTGATATATATCTATAGGAGTTATAATGTCATTAAAACACGAAATATTTGATGCAAATTTAGTACGATAGAAGAATTTATATTATTGCATGTTATTTACAATATATACTTATCTTATATTACTTACTTTTTCTTCTAGGCATCGATGTGCATGAGCATTGGAAATCAATCCCCAGGGAATCCAACTTCTGCGCTTACAGGACAGAGTAAAGTAGCTTGTAGGAACAGAGGGACTACTACTACCGCAGCATCTACATAAATGAGTAAAATTAAATTCTCTCTAATAATGTGTAGTACATTCTTAAATAATAATTTAAACGGATTAATTTACACACACACACACACACACACTTCTCTCTTTATTCTTTTATCTCTCTCTTCTCTCGCCTTTTATCTTTCTTTCCCCTCGTTATATTTACTTTATTTTGTCTCTATGGATTTTAATTGTAAATCAAGCAATGCCATAAAATCACTTTTCCATAAAAAATAAAGCGAAATTTACTTTAATTACATTCAATTACATATATTTGATTTATGTTCGAGCAATGTCACTCACCTATTAATTTTTCCTAACTTTATTTATTAAGCACTTCCATTTTACAGTTATTGGTTTAATTTTTAATTTATTTTTTATTTACATTTTATTATTTTTATAGTTTAATTTTGTTTATTTTTAATTTTTTTATTCTATTATTGGTATACGAATACACTTTTTATATTGATTTAAACAATTATATCTATCAAATTGAACTTATTATTGTATTTATGCGCGCAAAATTACCAAACGTTTCAAAGAGACGCACTCTTATATTAATTATTTTCCAATTAAAAGATATCTTTTCATACTGACAATTTCGATACTCATTTTTAGCAAAAATATCACTTGTTTAAAGATTATAAAGATACCAATTTGTCATTTATTGTGATCACATGACATCTGTCAGTACGAAAAAATTTATTTTATTTAAGTCCGATTTTTCAATAATAGTTTAAACTTGAAGTTTTTAACTGTATACACACATGTATTCTCTGTGCAAAGTTTAAACTTCGTGTATATTGATTATTTTTAATTCCTCTTTTTTGTATATATCAATTTATACATATACACACACGCTAGCGCACACGCATTTTTAAATTACAAATATAATAAAATTCAATTAATCATGTTTTAGGTAGAAGACAATGGAGAAGTTTTATGACGATGGATTAAAATATCTAGAAGAATCTAAAATTATTATGTACAATGAATAATATAAATCGATTTCTCTATATATTTTTCTAAAGACAAAGTATAGAAATACATGTGAAAAAGTTATTCATCATGATTTTCCGCAAGCTTCATAACTTTACATTGTACTTAAAAGTTTTCAAAACTAATTATATAATATAAAAATTAAATAAACATAAACAAGAAATAAACAAAGCAACATTTTCAAATTATTATTTTTATAATATTAACAAATAGTAAATGTTTTGGCTTAATAAATAACAAAAAAACAAAATTGTATGGATTTTTATTAAATAATCCTGGCAGTCATAATATAGGTGTAATTTTACTCGTACACATATATATTTTTCTTGCATGTAAATTAATGTAACAATATGCGATTTTCTCATATAATTGTTCATAATCTTAATATCTATAAAAAAAAAAAAAAAAGAACAAAATTGAAAAATTGAAAAATTATAATTATACACAATTATTGTCCTCTATATATATACTATTACTTAATTTCATAAATCTGCTTTCTTATATAAACTATCTTTTATATACATAGTGCATATATATATATATATATATATATATAGATTTCTAAACTATAAAAGATTATAAGCATAATTTTGAAAAGTGCTTGTAGAGATTCACTTTAACATCGAGTATTTTGAATATCTTTACAAAAAGAACTGAATCACATACATATAAATAATTTATAATTTATGCACTATATACACATAGCTTTATTAAAAATTAAAGATAATCAAAATAACATTGAGATAATTAACGATCATTTTAAGTATTATATAAAAATGTGTGTGCATATTTGCATATATATAAAATATATAAAAATCATGTACTTTTATATTGATAATAAATTAAAGAATTAACTTGGAATAGAATTACGAATATGGGTGCTTATCACAGAAAGTTTTCATCTCAAAAACCTACAAAATCTTGACAAATAATTGAAAGTTTTTCAAGGATTATAATCATTTGTATTTGTACATTGTATAAAGATATTGCCTGTATTCTTATAGTATCGACAATCATTCTCAAAATGGATTCTTTCTCTAGGATGATATATTGACACTCATTCTATTACTGTATCATTATATTATAAAGATTGCGCAATTATTTTATGAAAAACTCTATAAAACTTGTTGCATAACATAATTACATGATTGATACATCTCAGGGCAGCTATTATGTATCTATTTGGAAACATTTCTGATTAGAAAAATTTTATTTTTCTCTAGATTTCTTACATTATATTATCTAGGAAAAAATAAAATTATTTCAATCGGAAACCTTTTCAAACAGTTTCATAATAAGTACCCAGATTCGACAGTATAAATTAATGCCTCAAAGATTCACTTCATTGTATTATGTTTATACTTTGTAAAAGTATAGTTAATATTTTGTTTTATAAACGAAATCTCTGATATATAACGGTCTTCTAATTTATTTCTTCAATAAATGTAACATGTCTTTATTTTGTTGTTGCAACATTATATCTGCGTTTTCAGTTTTATCAGTAATATTATCAATCAGATCGTTTTGTGAGTCTATTTCTTCGGATAAACCAATTGCCAGATGTTTCAATCTCGCCAATGATCCGCTCATCTCACTTAGATTTTGCTCTAAAGCTCTGGTTACTCTGTCATTGGCAGGCTTAATATCTTCACGATTGTTGTCGTTGTAACTTTCTTGTATCTTTGATGATGAATATGAATTGCTAATGTTGCTTTGTACTTGTTCTAACGTATTGGATAGCGCAGGGGATGTTATGGATCCAGAACTGGAAGACTCTGATAATTTTGTCGATGGTATTGGCGCATCCAGAGATTTACCACTGAGATAATTTTTAGACTACCAAAGACACTCTTTATGCCCTGTATATGTTTCTGACTAAATCTTAATGTGCTATTAATATCATCTAGTCTCTTTTCTGTTCTCTGGCAATTGTTCTCTTTGTCTAATTAATTCCTGAAAGCAGAAATTAAATATTAAATGTATCATATATCACTGGCCAAGCAAAACACATTGTGTTAGAATTATCTTAAGCCTGTTCTACAAATGCAGATGTGTTTGGTTGTACGATGTCGTAAAAAGCAGTTGTAAACCATTACTACCGTTGGCAAACATACAACTTACATCTACGTTTATACAATTGTAAAACAGGCTTTATGCTTATCGTATGTTTCATATATATCTCGCGATATTGGTTGTACTATCTGTACAACGGTGATACAATGTACAGACTGATATATCGTTACCTCAGCTGTAGCTACGCCAATTTGTTCAGAATCTCTCAGAAGCGAGACGGATCTTTCCGAAGATTGTATGGTGCGTTCCTCTATTTCTTTCTTACGTTGCACCAATTGTTGACGTTTCTGTGTCATGTCATCGTCAAAATTCTGATAATGCCCAGCAGGGAAATTCCTGGGGGGCGCACTCTTCAGAAATGTCTCATCGTCTATGTCGTCTTCCAACGAAAAGAACGGATTCTTCGGATCGCTCAGATAATTATGACCTGCCATTATTTATTCGATTCGACTTTTCGCTACGCACGAGATCGGCGGACCTTTCGGTCGAATTTATTCTCGACGTCCGTTTATCCTTTTTCGCTCGACGCTTCTCCGATGACAAGATATCAATGTATATTATACATATCGTATATCGTATCACGAGAATCGAGAATGCACGACACAACTCCCACAACCGAGTTTCGGATTTCTAGATGCGAAGGAAACTGCGCATGCGTTGATATAACATAATGCAGATTCATACTACATTCGAGATCCGATATATCGATACGATATATCTGATATCCAATAGAAACCTTTCGCGTTTCTAGGATCTCAAAATATTACTAATAATTAGAATAATTAAAAAACACACTTTTATTAGATATCGAATATCGGATAAATGTAATAATATAATCGCGGATGTCGGACATAGAATGAATCCTGCATAAAACCTTGTATCTATGATATACTGCAACTCGAACAGAGTTCTCTCCGAGACTGCGTTCGAAAATGTACCGTCAAAAATAAAATATATTTAACAATTTAACCAACAGTCATAATACAAAAATATCTAGGCACGATGCATTCGAAAATGCCTAGTGTAGATCTCAAAATATTAAAAAGCATTCTTTATTGTTGCTTTTAGCTTGCAGAATATCAAAATTTAAAAATTTCTATTTTACATATATATAATAATTATGTGATAATAATATATGATAATTATATATATATATATATGTATGTATGTATCACAATAAATAATAAAGCAATTTTTTGGAAAACTTTATTATTTTGGAAATAATACTACTTGAATTAAAATTTGTTTAATCTATTAAACGTTATGAATAATAAAATAATGAAGTTTTATTATGGTGTAAGGTTGCCAAAAATTTGCATCATTTCAAAATCACACAGATAGCTGTATAATATATTGACATACCTTTAAAATATCTCCCGTTTTTAGAGAAAGCAAAACGCGGTGGTAATCGCAATAATTCATTATTATGATATAATTGTCGTATTATTAATGATTGAATTTCGTAGCTCGATTTGTGAAGTGGAGTACTGGAAAGCGAAGCGCACGTGTATGTACATACGTGACGTCAGACGACGCTGCCGTGGCGTCACGGGAAACAGCCGTTTAGCGTCAGCCTGATTGGCCGAAAGCGGCTAGTAAAGCCAATCGTCGCAACGGTTTGTCCGCAATGGTCGCGTAAACTTTTTCCGGCCATCTTGTTATTATTTTCGAAAATCTTGAGGTTGGATTTTCGGGAAGACGCAGTAGTAGTAGGTGCGAACGCCTTCGGCACTTTGTTCCGAGCGACTGGCGAGAGTAAGACGCGGCTCGTATGAGGTCAAGAGCACAGAGTTACGACGAAGAACAGTATCGGTGGGTATCACGCGAACTTGAATCTCTCCTCGCCTCGCTACTGTGACTGTCGCAAGAGTAGAGCGGAGCGAGCGAGCGAGAGAAAGAGAGAGAGAGAGAGAGCGCGCGCGAACGAGAGAGAAAGAGTACGAGAGATAGAATGGGAGAGAGGAGAGAGAGAAAGAGAGAGAGAGAGCGAGAACGAGACGGTGAGGAATGACTGCGTTGGAGTGCGTGAAACGAGGTACGAAAGTGGTCGTGCGCGGGAATCGGCGGTTGTGTATTTGCCGCTTTACGCTTGTGATCTTCCGCGATATACCGCGATCCTCGGTGTGAAACGTGTGCCCTTTTTTAATTCCTGAACGAAGAATCGTCGTGTATGAGAGTGAATACGGTAAGTTGGCGCGTTGTGTTCTTCGCGCGGCGCTTGACCGACGCAACGGCCGCGAATACTCCCTACTTCCCGAAGCTTAGGGGCTGGGTCTGGGCCTAAACCCGGGGCCTAAGCCTGGGCCCGCGGACGCCAATGATTCCGCAAATTCTTCGCGATTCGTCTCCTCCTTCTCCTTGCGCTCCCGACTCCAACTTGTTTACTTTTCCCTGTGATCAATTTATCTTCGCCAACCGTTCACATAACCTTGCTTCCGATTGTCAAATGTAGGTTAGATCGGTTCGGAACGGTCGTCTCTCCTGCGGCGCATCAGTCCTACTCTTTATTCCGCTGCTCCTGATTTAACTCGCATTTTCCTCTCTTCCTTATCGAATATTTATTATCTTGTCCTTGCGTTGTCGCGCATTTTTCACGATCCGCGATCCATTTCGATTCATTTTCGATCCAATACGGACACGTGCGACGCAAACACCTTTGACTTTACGATTCCCTTCGATTCCCTCCAACGTTTCTTTCTTTTGGCGTAAACTTTTATCACATAATTCTGCTAAATTTCACTTATTTTGTATGCGCAACATTTCCAATTACCAACACGACAGGATACTTATTCGTTGAAAAGCAAATCTCGGGGGTGTCAAAATTGGCTCGTTACATATTTGCTTCGTTCAATTATAAGTACGTATTCAACTTTCTGCACTGTGCGCGCCAAGGTTCACGATTGTTAATTGTGAAAGTTTAGAATTTTAAATCTATAAAAATCAAAATGCCCATGTACATGTGTAATTAACATGCGTAAGCATTTCATTATTAAGAATAACATTTTTTACATGTTTTTTCTCTTTCTCTTTCTCTCTCCCTCTATTTTTCCATTTAGAAGATAAAAGGTACGGAAGAATATATAATTACGCGATACAATGGCAACTTTGGCTGAGCAAGCATCTAAATTATTGGACTTCAATCAGAAATTGGATATAACGCTCCTCGACAATATAGTAGGATGTATGTATACTGGCATAGGTGAGCAACAAAGAGTCGCCCAAGAAGTGCTAACAACCCTCAAAGAACATCCAAATGCTTGGACACGAGTAGATACCATTCTAGAATATTCACAGGTATAAATATATTTATCTTTTATCTCTCATTATCAATCGTGCATATATTTATTCGCAAATAGCTCTATTGTTGCGTTATTCTACAGAATCAACAAACAAAATATTACGGCTTGCAAATATTGGAGCAAGTTATAAAGACACGATGGAAAGTGCTACCGAGAAATCAGTGCGAAGGTATAAAAAAGTATATTGTAGGCCTTATCATAAAGACAAGCAGCGATCCTGAGACAATGGAAGCTTCCAAAGTTTATCTTAACAAACTCAATATGATCCTTGTGCAAGTGAGTAGCTAATTTTACTCATTTATATTTTGTGCCAGGAATATATATAGATTATTACCATTGCTCTTTCATTCTTAGGTATTGAAACGTGAGTGGCCGAAAAATTGGGAGTCCTTTATCAGTGATATTGTCGGTGCGAGTAAAACTAATGAGAGTCTCTGTCAAAACAACATGGCTATTTTGAAACTTTTGTCAGAGGAAGTATTTGACTTTTCTAGCGGCCAAATGACTCAGACAAAAGCAAAACATTTAAAGGATACAATGTGCAGTGAATTTTCACAAATATTTCAGCTTTGCCAATTTGTGATGGATAATTCACAAAATGTTCCATTAGTAGCAGTCACATTAGAGACGCTACTAAGGTTTTTAAATTGGATACCTCTTGGATATATTTTTGAAACTAAATTGATAACTACTTTAATATTCAAGGTGAGCTTGTGTGTGTTTCTTTTTCTTGTCTTTATTACAAATTTGTTTCTACTATGTTATTTAATATCTAATAATCTTTGTTTCTAATATATTTGCAGTTTTTGAATGTACCAATATTTCGAAATGTTACTCTGAAGTGTCTAACTGAAATCGCGGCCGTTACCGCCACTGTGCCGAATTATGACGACATGTTTGTTATATTATTTATCAATACGATGCAGCAATTAGAACTAATGCTCCCGCTAGAAACCAACATACGCGAAGCATATGCAGCTGGCCAAGACCAAGAACAAAATTTTATCCAAAACCTAGCTATGTTTCTTTGCACTTATCTCAAAGATCATGGCGAGCTAATAGAGAAGAAACAATTGAATGAAACGCTAGTGAAGGCATTACATTACCTCGTTCTCATATCTGAAGTAGACGAGGTTGAAATATTTAAAATTTGTTTAGAATACTGGAATGGATTAGCCGCCGATTTGTATAAAGAAAATCCTTTTGTTACCTCTTCGCCACTTTTCATGTCTAAGAACATGACGGTTCCTCCTCGGAGATTATTTTATGGTCCAGTTTTAACAAAAGTACGATATATCATGATCAGCAGAATGGCAAAACCTGAAGAAGTGCTTGTCGTAGAGAACGAAAATGGAGAGGTTGTCAGAGAATTCATGAAAGATACCGATTCTATAAATCTCTATAAAAATATGAGAGAAACTCTTGTATATCTTACTCATCTCGATTATTTGGATACGGAAAGAGTAATGACAGAGAAATTACAGAATCAAGTTAATGGTACAGAGTGGTCCTGGAAGAATCTCAACACGGTACTTGTCTATTTGAAAATATGCTTGTGATAAAATCTTAAGCGACATATACAGCGATTATATTTATCATGTTTTATTCATTTATTAGTTATGCTGGGCAATAGGCAGTATTTCTGGTGCTATGCACGAAGAAGACGAAAAACGCTTTTTAGTAACTGTAATCAAGGATTTACTTGGTTTGTGTGAACAAAAGAAAGGAAAAGATAACAAAGCTATAATTGCTAGCAATATCATGTATGTTGTTGGCCAGTATCCACGATTTCTTCGAGCTCATTGGAAATTTTTAAAGACTGTTGTAAATAAACTTTTTGAGTTCATGCATGGTAAGAATATATATATATATATATATATATATATATATATATATATATATATATATATATATATATATATATATATATATATATATATATACATATATATATATATATATATACATACACGCACACGCCGCCCCCCCCCTCCCCTCTTTCTCTGTCTCTCTTTCTTGTAAAAGATCCCTTTCTTAATTATATAATGCAAGTTGATTAGAACTAAGTTAATTGTTGTAGAAACACATGATGGAGTGCAAGATATGGCCTGCGATACTTTTATTAAAATAGCACTGAAATGCAGACGACATTTTGTTACTATACAAATTGGAGAAGCAATGCCATTCATTGAAGAAATTCTTTCCACAATTAGTACCATCATATGCGATCTTCAAACACAACAAGTAAGATAAAAACACATTTATCTAGTATATATTCAATTACTGTATATATAATAAGCTATGTATTTTTATACAACTTTGTATATTACATAACATATTGCAACATTTATCTTTACATCAATATACTTTTTGTTTCTCTTTGTCTCTCTTTCTCTCTAATGTAATATTGTATACTGTAATGTAATATTGTATTACTGCAATAGGTACATACATTTTATGAAGCAGTTGGTTATATGATAAGTGCTCAAGCTGATACTGTAATACAGGAACAATTGATTGAGAAATATATGCTTCTTCCTAATCAAGTTTGGGATGACATTATAAGCCAAGCATCCAAAGTATGTATCCAAAGTTTATTAATAAATATTTATTTGTAAATTTTCAGACTGTACTTTATAATGCATTTATGTATAATTTATATTTGAATAAAAATATTAATTTTTTTCCAGAATGTGGATGTCTTGAAGGACCAAGAAGCTGTAAAACAACTCGCCAGCATCTTAAAAACAAATGTTAGAGCTTGCAAAGCTCTTGGACATCCGTACGTGATACAATTAGGGAAAATATACTTAGATATGTTGAATGTTTATAAGGTATAATTTTCTTTCTATTTGTGTGAAGTTTTTAAAAAGAAAATCGTTGATACACTGAACAAGCGAATTTGCTTTAGGTTATGAGTGAAAATATAAGCGCTGCGATATCTGTAAATGGTGAGATAGTAATGAAGCAACCTTTAATCAAGAGTATGAGAGTAGTGAAAAAGGAAACGCTGAAATTAATCTCAGATTGGGTGAGCAGGACGAATGACCATCAAATGGTAAGTTTTTTTAATTGAGTACATTTTTACAAGATTTTTTTTACTCTACAAATGTATTTATTTTATTTTACATTTTTATATAAAATTTCTTTGTTTGTTAGGTGTTGGAAAACTTTATACCGCCATTGTTGGACGCCGTTTTACTGGATTATCAAAAAACGAATGTTCATTGTGCTAGAGAGCCTGAAGTGCTTAGTGCTATGGCCACCATAGTGAATAAACTAGAAGCCCATATCACTAGCGAGGTGCCCAAAATATTCGATGCAGTATTTGAATGTACTTTAGAAATGATAAACAAAGACTTTGAAGAATTTCCCGAACACAGAACGAACTTTTTTCTTCTCTTACAAGTAAGTGTGTGGGTGTATGTGTGTATCAATTTGCTCTTCATATATAACTTGACTGCATTTTTAAGTTGTCATTTTATTTTCACTTTAGGCAGTGAATGTTCATTGTTTCCCTGCATTTCTTTCAATTCCGCCAGCCCAGTTTAAACTGGTTCTTGACTCAATTATCTGGGCCTTTAAACATACAATGAGGAATGTAGCAGATACAGGATTACAAATTCTTTATCAACTTCTGTTAAACATTGAACAGCACGAGCAAGCGGGTCAAAGTTTTTACCAAACATATTTTACAGACATCCTACAACATATATTTAGTGTTGTCACGGATACATCGCATACAGCAGGTAAAACAAATTTAACAATTTGCACAATTGATTAATATATTATTATTATTATTATCTATATTTATTTAATTGATATTATTGTGATACAGGCCTTACGATGCACGCTACAATTCTCGCTTATATGTTTACATTAATTGAACGTGGGAAAATTCAGGTGCCACTTGGCCCTGTACCTGATAATACTTTATACATACAAGAATTTGTTGCAAGATTGCTTAGAGCAGCCTTTCCGCATTTAACTGATAATCAGATAAAAATAACTGTGCAAGGTTTATTCCATCTTAATCAGGATATCACTGCGTTTAAGGAACACCTCAGAGATTTTCTCGTGCAAATCAAAGTAAGCGACATACAATATTGGCAAGATTTATCTAAAAACGTATAAGCATGAAACAATATTTGTTACTTTTTTTTTAAATTTAGTAATGTAAGAAAGATCTAGCGGCTACTTGACTATATTTGGCTCACAAAGGTATTTTTAAAAACATTGCTATAATGCATTTCTTTTCCCTCATTTAGGAATACACAGGCGAGGACGATTCCGAGCTTTACTTGGAGGAACGAGAAACAGCTTTACGGCTAGCCCAAGAAGAGAAAAGGCGGCAACAAATGGCTGTACCAGGCATTCTTAATCCCCATGAAATGCCAGAAGAGATGCAGGACTGAATTAATCATAGTCCGCGTATCCTATCATTTTATGCACATTTGATGAGAAACACTCTGTTAAAGGAATTCTTGTATCCTTTGAGCTGTAATTATCCCTTCGACATCACCGTCATCACCATCATCAAAAATAGATAAAATATTAATTACTTACTAAAACCGAGTCTACAAAAGTATATCCTTGTTAAGGAGGTAAGCCCGAAACGTGGTGACTGTTTGTTTGTCTGTTATAGGATTTTAAAGAAATTCGAGTTTCTGTTGTGGATATAATGGGACAATTGCCTGCTAGCGATGCTATTTCATGTAACGAGATAAAAAGAATTGTTTCTCTCAGAGAGAATCGATTATTTAAGAAACCTAGGATATAAAACTTTTACAGATTAATTCCCATTAATCAGAATTATATAAAAAAAAAGAAAAAAACGGTGAATATGGCAAAAGTAACGTTACCATTCTTCAGAATTATCCTCAAAAACGACTCGATATATTGTATGATAAATTTCTGTATAAGGGATTTCTACACGAATACACACACACACACATACACACACAGATATGTGAGAGATCTATAATACTATTATATTAAGTTTCGTTTTAGCATTTCTATGCGAGTTAAGAGAATGCCTGTAGTCCACAGAATTGTTTTGTGCACACTTTTGGCCATTTAAATTTACCGTTGGATGGATATGAATATGTATGTATGTATGTAAGCTTACTTGTGATAGCTTATACTAATGTATTGATACATGAATTTGTTATAATATAAATAATACACAAAATTTTTCCTGTTCCATATTTTTATTCAGCAAAATGATACATTCTTTGTATAATTAAAGATGTATCTTATTGTTCAGCTATGAGCAATAAAATAATTTCTATTTACAAAAGATAATAAATAATTGATGGAATATATTTATAAATACTCTGAGAAAGAGAGACATAAAAAAGCGCGGATGATAAACTACATCTATTCTACTTTATCTATTTATATATATTAGATGAATGCAAATATATCATATATCTAATTATTTAAATCATTCAAAGCCATGTATAAAAATATACATATATATACATACATATATGTATACATAAAATATAAAACAGCGACCTATATTTAACTTGTTAAATGACTAATGCATTTATTTGTGATCATTATAATTAGATTTCAGTAAATATTTGGTGAGTTAGTGTACTTTATTGAGTGTGAACGCGCGAATAGGATCTTTGGTATAATACAAAATATATTGTGTATAAAATATAGTCTTGGTGATATTTGATTGATATACAAATATAATTCCTGTTGCAATGAATCGTACAGTGACTGTCGTATGTATGTTTAAATCAATGTAGAGCGCGTGCGCGCTTTATAGTATATATAGAGCATAATATTATATTTAATTATACTTGATAGAAAAGAATACAATTGGATATTTTGTGAATAATTTGCATAAAATAGTATCGTCACAGCAGGCTTTGAAGATAATGTGTAAATGTGTGTTTTTATCTAATGATCAATGAGCAGTTGTAAAGTAATATTATTATTATTATATGAGCCATACAATAGATACTTGTAAATTAAAATGCTCGCAACATACATTTAGCGCTTATTTAGGTCCTCTCTTTGATTTGTATTCCCATATATAGTTCAGCAATTATATAAAGCAATATGTTAAAAAACCTATCATTGATGAGAGGCAAGAGTTATAAAAAAGAACAATTAAGTTTTTTTTCAATATACATTCTGTGTTTATATATAAATCATATATCGTACTATTAGTCATGTGCGACATTCTATTAAGGTTTTCTATCAAGTTGTTTAATGACAAATTCAAATAAATGATTTTAGTTCATTATATGATTGCTTTATTGTCTTTTTATCTGAAACATTAGTTTATCCACTGTCACTTTTATAGTTTTAATAATTTATCTTTAGCTTATCAAGAAAAATTGCTAAAAGCAATATAAAAATACAATAAAATTTCAAATATTATATAAATATTTAAAAGAGTCTCTCTACATACAAAAGATATATATTTAATAATTGCTTGTGTAAAATCAATATAAAATTTAAAGCTGAATAAAAAAATTTCAAATATATTTTTGATACAACCTAGATGAGATCATAAAAAAACTGTACTTATACATATATTAAATCAAATACAAATACTTTGAAAAATATTCCCAAAATAAAATAAACATAATTTTCAAGTTTTCTCGTCTCTATTAGAGAAACTCATTTTAGTTAGATTTCTAAATAAATAAGTTAAAATATAATTTATAGTAAAATTGTAAAAATTATTATATCACATTTATTATGATAAATAGAAATATTTATATATATATATATATATATATATATATATATATATTTTCTCTATAAAGAAAAAGAAAATATAAATTTCATTCTTTTGTTTTACCGTCGTCATATTTATATACTATTATATACGACACAAAATCAAGCGATGCCACAGTATATCATGATGCACCTGCGGATACGAAAATTTTGTGAAACCATAGGGCGGTATTCATAGTCCGTTCTTATATTTAAGATCGTCTTAAGATCTCGTTCAACCAATCAAGAGAAGCTATGCGGCCATTTGATTGGTTGAACAAGATCTTAAGACGATCTTAGGGCCATTCTTTTGCGGATCAATCAGCTGATAAGTTGCTATGCTCTGATTGGTCAATCGGCAATTGTCAACTAGCAACGAGGATATTTGTAACCTATTGTAGAATGGTCCTTAAATATAAGAACCAACCGTGAATACCGGCCTTAAGCGGGAAGCACATACTCTTGCATAAGCGTATAAGCATACGCATAAAAGAAATTCGATTGATTGAATTTCTTATGTATACATTTATAGACCAATCAAGATTCTCATGTTTACGCTTATGCGCATAAGTATATGCATAAGAAATTCGATTGGTTGAATTTTTTATGCATACGTTTATAGACCAATCAAGATTCTTATGCTTACATTTATGCGCCTATGCAAAAGTGTGTGCTCCCCGCTTTAGGCTTGTTTTCTGTTTCTGCACTAATGAACTATGTAGTACACACTGGTGCAATAAGTTAATGAGACAATAACTATATTTTGGATTTGTTCTTTATTGCTGCATTGGTGAATTAATACAATATGTTAAAGTGAGACAAATATATTTTGTTTCACTCTAACTTACTGCACCAGTGTACACTAATTTACCAGTGCAGCAATAAAGAACAAACCTCTATTGTAGACCCGGTCTAAGTGCTTTGACAAAAGTGTTTGTAGTGTCAAATGTACCGCATCCAAAAATTACTAGTTCGTATAGTCTGCTACGTCCGCTGTCAAAATTACTTGTTCACGCGTATGTATGTATGTATGTACGTAATACATATGTGTGTAATTAGTAAAAGTAAAGTCATCGCATAAATAAAGCAGCGAATGCTACATAAAATGGTTATTTGAAGTAATATTTTACTGCATTACATGTTAAATATGCGATATTAACGAATAAGAAACCTTTGCGTAGCGGCTCTTTCGTACAGCTTTTACTTTACGTATGTAGAGTGAATTGTATTATAAGTGTCATTACGGAGAAATTAGATATCAAAAACATTTTTATTCTCATTTGAGCTACTCATTTTAATTATCTTTTATACGTGCAATTTCATAAATTGTCAATTGTTTCGATGTAACAATCTTTAACCTCATCGTTCTCCTTCTGTTCTATATTATCATTTATTATCTCATTATTAATTGTGCTTTGCTTGTGAAATATTATATTGTAATTATATAAATTCGTATTCACAAACAATTTAATAATTATTTTAACAATATGGATTTTAAGTTTTTGTAAAATTTCTTGTTTGTATGATTTTGTAGAACTTTTAAATATGTTTTAAAAGAAAAGATGCCGTCTGAAACAAATGCTATGGACAGTATTTCTAAGCAAGAGGAGGATGCTGAAAAATCTAATGAACAATCTGTTACATTAATGACATTAAATTCTACAAGTCAAGAATCAAGTATAACTACAAAACAAGTAGATGCTGATCTAGCAAATGCTGTTAATAGTGACAAAGTATCCACATCGGATCATATTAAAATTAAGTTTTTAAATTCAACTGGAGATGCACTTTCATCTACTAGCTCTATAACTACAAATGATTTACTCGAGAATATATGTCTCCAAGCTCAAACAACAGGTAATAATCAGTATTAACCTTGTAAACTACTTGTAATTTCTACTCTTTACATTTTAAATATATAAAATACTGTTGATTTAATTTTTAGATTCAAATAATGATAATAAAAATATACCTTCAAAAACTAATTCTGATTCAGTATTGCTTAAAGAAACCGAGGAAAATAATGATGCAAGTACTACATCCAATGATATAATAGAAAACTCTAGTCAAAAATCAATTTTTCTTGGTCATAAAAATCTAACTAGAAAGAAATGTTTGTTAGCAGAGAACATTCCTGAAATTTCTAACACTTCAGAATTAACAATGTGTCCTGACAATTTCTTAGATGGGAAAGCTTATAGTCATGAAAAAAGTCACAATATTGTTGATATAGAAAATGACTGTGAACCAATGGCAGAAAATTTATGTAATAACAATGATGATGATGATAATGATGATGCATCAACCACTAAGCACAAAGTAATTGAAGAAACAACACTTTTGCATACATGCAAACAGTTGTCATTAGGAGATAATGATTCTGCTACAAATTATAACAGTCTTACAAATATGTTATTAAGAATGCCTAGCGATAATACGAAAGATCCCAGCATTGATTGTGACACTAACTTATCAACAAGTGAATTAACATCTTTGCCTTCAGGTGCATCTAAAAAATTATCAAATTTGCAAAGTGCTTCATCAACCTCGACGCATTACAATGACACAATTGATTCAAAAATATTTATAAATCCATTAAAGAATAATAATAAGAATTCACTTGAAAATGTAATTGATGCAAATGAATTACCTGTTTCATCTGAACTTGTTTGTAAGGAATCAGCAATATTGCAAAGATGTAATTCCTCGTGTTGCAATGATTCTGCAAGCACAAGTAAGCCATTTAAACTGCCAATTTTAGAAAAGATGTCTAAAACTGCCAATATTCAGCAACCAGAAGTCGAGGAAAATGCAGTAGCGCTTGCAGAGTCATCATTCAGCGAACAAAACCAATTGGAAGTAGTTCGTTGTCTAGATTTGGAACCTCGTTCGTCGAATAGTAGCGAAGAAAGTAATTCGGATATAGAATCCCAGCATGCAAGTACAAGTCATGACGATATTAAAAAAGTTAGTAGATTTCGTTTATTCTATTTATTTTTAGAAAATTTTAGTACAGTTCATTTAATCGAATACATAGTCCAATTACCAAAACGATTATCCAATCGATTTGATAAAGACGAGACTTTTATTTTAGAGACAATGCAGACCTAATGGAGTTGTAACGAAGGAAGGAGTGGAATATTATCAGCTATGGCGTAGCACGGGTGGCCACTCGTCTCCTGAATCTTTGTATGAAACTTTGTACCCAATGCCACCGCCGCTTCCACCAAGAGCAGCGCATCGACCATTGCACAGAAGTAACGCTTTACCAAGTGGGGCACCAGAATTACCTAAACGACATCCTCAGAGGCATCCTACACCATTGCATCCTGAGGATTGTTTTGGATTTGAGATTGTAGACGTTGACGAAGCTTCGAATCTTAAGGTTAAAAGATCATCGCTTGGTTTTTATATTCAATATATACTTTTGGCTATAATATATATATATATATATATATATATATATATATATATATATATATATATATATATGTATGTATGTATGTATAGAAAAAAATAATATGTATTTTATTTATAAATTATTAAACTTTTTTTTTAAGTTAAGGACAGCAGTTACAAAAAGTATCGCGTTATTGAGCTCTCCGAGGTCGCACAGACAACGAGAAAGGCCAGAATCGGCACTGCCTCAATTAGAGTGTCCGCCTACGCCGACACATCGACCCAAACCTTTATGTCCGTTGCCTGTATGCCAAACATCAAATGTATCTTTATCATCGGAAGAACCTCTGCCTCCATGTAATTTAATATAATTTCTATTCTTTAACGCTAAAATTAATCTTGTTAATTGTTCTTTTCACTGAGTTAATTAATCTATCTTGGCGTACATTTTAGCATGGGAAGCGAGGATAGACAGTCATGGTCGAGTATTTTATATAGATCATATTAATCGTACTACGACGTGGCAGAGACCAAATTTGACAACACGTAACACCGGTTGTGATCTACGAAGACAACAGTTGGACAGGCGTTATCAAAGTGTACGACGAACTATTTCACGTCCCGATAACATAGATCGCGAAGTCAGCAATTCAAACGGCAATCCTTTTGAGAATACCGAGCGACAGAATGATACCCGGACCGACAGGAACGAATGCGAACCATTTGACATCACCACAATACCACCAGTATTATTTTTAACACGGCCCGACTTTTTTACCGTCTTGCATACCAATGCAGACGCTATGGAGCTATACAATCGTAATCCAAGTCTGAAACACATGATTAGCAGAGTTAGAAGAGATCCGATAGTTTTTCCAAGATACGAACACAATAGGGATTTAGTCGCCTTAATTAATTTCTTTGCCGATCCAAGCAAGGAACTCCCAAGAGGGTACGAATCAAAGCTCGACAGGACGGGTAAAGTAAGTTTTTTATTATAATAATTCTCACAATCACAAAATAATAATTTTAAAAAATCGAGAGAGAAAGAGGGGGAGGCAGCATATACATGCTATTGGAAGATATTAACAAACTTAGCATTTTTTTTATTTTAGAGATTTTTCATATGTCATGCTAGAAAAGCTACGTCTTTCATTGATCCACGGTTACCTACGGAAGCCGCTCATGCACGTACGTTATTAGATGAAGCTCCCATTCCACCGCCTAGACCACAGCAAGCATCTGTAACTGCTACTCCCGACATACCCGTAGCCTACAACGACAAAGTAGTCGCTTTTCTACGTCAGCCTAATATAATGGATATTCTAAAGGAAAGACATTCCGCATTAGGACAGAATATTGCGCTTCGTGAAAAGGTTAATACTATAAGGGTCGAAGGGACTGCAGCGTTACAAAGATGGGGTCATGATGTCCCTTTAGCATTATTGCTAAGGTAAGAAATAGATATTTTTTATTGATATTATATATTATATACATATTTACACACACACGCACAATATATATGTAATACATGCATACTTGCATGCATATATACTATATAATATAATCTATATATTATATAATAATGTGGTACCATCGCGTTGTTATTATTATTGTTACAGTTTGTTCGAGCAAGAAATAATGTCGTATGTACCTGGTAGTATGGGTAGATCACCACTTGGCAGTCCACATGCATCACCTGGACTAACAAGAGCTTCCGCTAGAGCTCCAGCGCCATACAGAAGAGACTTTGAAGCAAAGCTTCGAACATTTTACCGAAAATTAGAAAGCAAGGGTTACGGGCAAGGACCGGGTAAATTAAAGTACGTCTTATCTTTCAATTATTATCTCATGTATTCGTAAACATATGGCAAAAATTTTATCGAGCAATTTTCTCACATATCACACACACACACACACACACACATATATATATGTATATGTATATATATGTCTGTACAGATTACACATCAGGAGAGAACATTTACTCGAAGATGCTTTCACGCGCATAATGGCCGCATCGAAAAAGGATTTGCAGAAAGGTAAACTGGTAGTGATTTTTGATCACGAAGAAGGGCTGGATTACGGCGGACCGTCCCGAGAATTTTTCTTCCATCTATCGCGCGAGCTATTCAATCCTTATTACGGATTGTTTGAATATTCAGCCAACGATACTTATACGGTGCAAATCTCGCCAATGTCAGCTTTCGTAGACAATTATCACGATTGGTTCAGATTTTCTGGCAGAGTTTTGGGCTTGGCATTAGTCCATCAGTATCTACTCGATGCATTCTTCACGAGACCGTTTTATAAGGCGCTTTTAAGGATATCGGCGAGTTTGAGCGATTTGGAAAGTTTGGATCAAGAATTTCATCAAAGTCTAATGTGGATCAAGGAAAAGGATATAAGTATCGAGCCGTTAGAATTAACATTTTCAGTAACGGAGGAACTTTTGGGACGAGTCGCCGAGCGCGAATTGAAACCAGGTGGGAGAAATATCGCAGTCACCGAAAAGAATAAAAAGGAGTATCTCGAGAGAGTAGTACGTTGGCGTCTTGAACGCGGTGTCGCGGAACAAACAGAATCACTGGTTCGTGGCTTTTACGAAGTGGTGGATCCGCGTTTAGTGTCTGTTTTCGACGCTCGCGAATTGGAGCTGGTTATCGCGGGTGCTGCTGAAATCGATCTTAACGATTGGCGAACGCATACCGAATATAGAAGCGGTTATCACGACGCGCATCCAGTGGTGGAGTGGTTCTGGAGCAGCATAAGTCGATTTACCAACGAACAACGTTTAAGATTACTGCAATTTGTTACCGGCACTTCGAGTATACCTTACGAGGGATTCGCGGCTTTGCGAGGATCCACGGGACCGAGAAAATTCTGCATCGAAAAATGGGGCAGGCCAAACAGTTTACCAAGGTAAATTTCATTTTTTTAATCCGGCACTAACGGTACCTATCTATGTACATTAAGCATCCTACTTTGCATCATTGTCTTTATTTGTTTCAGGGCTCATACATGTTTTAATCGCTTGGATCTTCCACCTTATCCTACACCCGAGATTTTATACGAAAAGTTGCTGTTGGCAGTGGAGGAGACAAATACATTTGGTATAGAATAAAGTTTAAAGACGAATTGGATTTATAATTATAAAAAAATTGTACAGTCGATAGAACGTGTATTCTTTTGCACTTTGTGCTGGAAGATTTTGTATAGGCCTAACAGCTTACAAGAGTTGTATCATTACACCAACTCGCTTTATTCACATTGATTATAAGATGTAAATAATTAAACAATTTGCAATCTTTCAGAATTTTCGGTCAAAAATGTAATATTCATGTGTGCGAAAAATTGAACATTTTTTTGAAGAAAAACTTCAACTTTTTTTTACGACTACTGTTGACCTTAGAAGTTTGCACTCTTGTTGATGCAATCGTTAAGTATATAGAGATCTCGTAAATTTCACATATTCTCTTCTTCCGCTTTATTATCATGTTAGAGCAGGAGAAAGCACTATTTCATTCTCTATTTCTCTTTCCTTTTCTCTTTCAGTTTTTTTAAGAAAGGCATATATATTGGAGTATTGATCATTTTTAGAAAACGTCTCAATTTATAATCAAAAATAAATCGTACATTAATTTTAATAACAATAACGTATTTTAAAGATCATTATATTTCTTCAAAGTGAGCTTCTATGGTTAAAGAAATCAATTTAGATAAATATAATAGAAAATGTATGCTGCTGTTGCCATTACTATTATCGCTCTTGCTGAGACTACTATTGCTACTAATTATTGAGACAACTATTAATATTACTTATATACTATTACTACTACTATTACTGTCACTAATACTGTGTGCTAATCATGATTATTATTTTTATCATTAGTATTATAATTATTGTTTTTGCTTACAGTCGCGCGGATCTCGATATGGCGATAGATGTAATATTAAATTGATTATAATAGTACATCGGTGTTTATTTATAGCGTTATTAGTCGAGTTTCATACCATGCATGCATTAATAAACCAAGCAAAACTTAATTTTGCTACAAGGCTATCCATATTTCTACTATCATTATTTCGTATGTAGTATGTACATCGAGATCCGAGTATGCTGTTGGTACAATTTTTAATTATATGACCATCACCTGTTTCTAGTCTACGAGTTAAAATTTTATGTGCAGCTGCCTTTTAATATATGTTTTAACATTCCGAAGATTCTTGTTAGTCATATTTAAAAGAGTTTATAGAGCAAATGTTTATGCAAAATATAAATATCACATTTGCAAGTTGACTGTTTCAAGCTGTTAAAAACTCACAAAAAAGAAGCACTTTTATCTTATTTTTACTTTCTGCGCTTAGATACAAGATGATGTATAGATTCTTTTGACAACTTTTGCACATAGTAAAACAGATGACATTAAGAAATATCACAATTCATACACGAGAATTATAGACTTATTACAATAATTTTTTACTAAGCAAATATGTTATTATTTATTATTAGATCGATATACATACATGAATACACACATACATATATACATGTATCAAAAGTTATGTATTTGTACAGCTGTCATATAGTTGTTATATATTAACCATGAATAAAATACAACAAAGAAACAATGTTTTCAACAAATAAGCCTTAACAATAAATATTTTTAATAAATAAATTATTTTGTATTGTGTGTGTGTGTGTGTGTGTATTGTAAGATATTATCATAGAATTATGAATGGTTACATTTTATTGTGCATTTTTTTATTTACATTCATGCTATGTGTATTTAGCCAATTATTATTTATCTTCTGAATAATTTTACAGATGTATGTGGATAATGATATATAGTGTTTAAAAATTATCATTTTTTTCTCAATTATTTTGGCCGATAACATCACCCATACATGCATATATATGTGTGTCTGTCAGTGAAAAAAATTCCTGTACATATAATTTAATAACATTTTTTTAAATATACATGCGTATGTTTTCCTGGCGAAGAATTTATAATTACTTATAATGTCAATTTACTTCCAATATGATCACTGCATTCCTACATGCTCATCATATATACAAAACTTTATATATATATATATATATATATATATATATATATATTATATATATATACTTAAATTTTTCAAACAAATTAATAGTATTTTTAATAATGTTAATAATAGAAAAATCCGATTTATTTTTAACATTTTGTTAAATGTTTTATTTTGTCAATTGCAATTAAAATTTTTCCCGTTCTGATATTCGATATCTAAAATACATAAATTTATTATTATTATTTAATAAAAATATATATTAAAATGTAACATATATATAAACCAATAAAAACTTATTAATATATATATTCACATATAAAGATATATAATATATAATCGATAAAATAATTGCTATATGTAATTAAAAACAAGAAAAGAAATTAATAAAATTATAAAAAAGTATTTTTTTTAAAAGTCAGCCATATTTTTAATAATTTTAATTATTTTATTTATTTAAATCAGTTGCTGATTTTTTATCAAAGAGAGAGTTTAGCTAACAATAAGAAATTAAGATTTTCTCCTCATATCTTTTCATTTTTAGAATTCAATATACATATATTATTATGCATGCAAAAATATACTTTTTTATGATTTTATTAATTCTCTTCTTATTTTTAATTACATGTAACAATTATATTATTAATTATATATATACAAATATTTTTTTTATTTTATCATTACCTTTATTTCTGGGCATTATTTCCTTCAACTGGATTGAATGTTGTGATTTTATTTTTAATTTAAGATTTTTAATATCATTTTGAAATAGATATTTCTGCTTTGTTTGATTTTCAAGAATTCTCTCCAACTTGATTATATCACTTTTATATTTTACTTCTAATTGCAGCATTTCCTCCTATAAATAGCAATAATGATAATAAATATATATGAAGTAAAAAAAAATATTGAAGAAATATATTAAATATATGTGATTTATATATGTACATCTGACATGATGTGTTGCTTTGATAGTTTGTGAAGCTTGGATTGTTCTTCCACTAAAATTGTCAGAAAGCTTAACTTTTGTGTATGTTCTTGAATCAGCCTATTAAGTATAACTAATTCTTCTGCATAACTTTCTTTGACATCTGTAATAAAAATATAAAATACAAATGTAAAATATAAATACAAAACAAAGATAAGAATTAAAAAAGCAAATTAAAATACACGGAGATATATTTGCGTGTGTAACTATATGTGTAACTTACGTTTGATTCGTTTAGTAAAATACATTGTTATCTCATTTAAGTTGGCTTTAATATCATACATCATCCGACGAAGTATTGTTTCGTATAATTTATTTAATGATATATTTTGACCAAATTTATTTATTATTTTTAATTTTATTTCATTTTTTAAATTGTTATTATTAATCCGCATATGATTACAATCGAGCTTTATTCTCTGGAGGTGCATTCGAGCGCGTCTATAACATGTATAATCCATTATAATTAAAAAATCCATATATAAAAAGCTCTTTTATCTAATATTAGTATATACATATATGTGTATAATAAATTTACTTGTGTTTGGCATGTAATTCAAGTGTTTCCTCTTGCAATTCTTGTATTCTCGCATATAATCTAGACAATCTATTTTTATCGAATACAATGCAATCATGCAATTTGAATGGAATCTCGGATTTTTCAAAATATTGCAACTGATGCAATTTCATTATTACTGTGACATCCACATCATTTAATTTTTTTTGTTTCTCGAGCTGTTGTGAATAGAGTGTATAATTATGCAAATGACATTATTCTTCTAATAAAAAGAAAATATAAATGATATAATACCATTAATGTATTTAAATCGTCTTCATTCTTCTTCAAACTACTCTCTAAAACTTTTAGCTTTTTTGTTTGAATTTGAATTTCCTTGTGAAGAATCTCCACAGTTTGTTGCGCATCTTTGATTTGATGTTCGCACGAGTATCGTTTCTCTCTCATTAAAAATGCCAATTCATACAATGTCTTGTCGCATCCTGGAGGACATACGTTTTCGTCAAAATAAATTAACTCCCCGGTGTCAATACTATTTGTTTCATCTGAACTTGTTTCAGTTGTGGTCGTGGTGGTTTCTAAAATAATAAACAATCTTTGAATTATATATGTTGGTAAAATTTTTGAAATTTAGACAAATAGATCCTCTGAGGCATTCTCAAAATGCTTTTATTACCGTCCTCTTCCTTCAATTCTTTATACTTCTTTTTATATATTCTACATAGAAAATTACGAAACTTGTTATCGTTTATCCTAGTCATGTACTCGAGAAAAATATTTTTGATCTGGTTACGTAATTTTGTAATTTCCTTAATTTTAACATCAACTTTCTCGGTAGTTATTTGTATCTGAAAATTTTATTATATATAAGTTATTCTCTCTTTCTTTCTCTTTTTTTATATACATATACATATGATTGTTGCTGGATAATAAAAGTAGTAAAATTTATTAACTTTTTGTCTTATCAGCGCAACTTCTTCTACTTTACAGTTAACTTGATCACGCAATACACTTTCCCTTATTTCATATTCTCTTAAAATAATATATTCTTGACGGAGTGTTAATAAAAATAAATTGATATTAACATTCTCGGCAACAATATCTAATCTATTGCATTCTAATCTGTTTAACTTTTCGTCTAAATTTTCGCAACTAGTCTGTATGTATCTTAATATGCAATCTTGTTTGTATATTTGGCATAATATACGAGAAATTTTCATTTCTCGTTCCCACGGGCTGTCGATGCCATCGCTCAAATAAAGTATATTATCTTGAGTAGTAGATTGAATTTTTAATTTCTTTTCGGAAACTAATATCGATGGCTCGCTAGAGATTTTTGCATGTTTTGGAAATGTATCATCTAGAAGTAATACTTCGTATTCCTCATCCGAACAAACAGGTGTCTGTTCAGGAAGAACCGATAATCGTCGCTGTGCTCTGTCTACTTTCAATATGTATTTTTCAACCTGTACATAAAAATATCAAGGAGTTATATTATTTATGTGCGCGCGTATATCATCAAAATCAAGTTGACAGTTTTATTATTTTGTATAATACAAAATATATTAATACACACCGTCATTTTTCTCTCGGGAAATTCTATATTTATATTTAACGTAGGAATATCTGGGAAAGGTTTTATACTTTTCAATGGTATTTCGACATGAATATGTTTGAGAGATTTTTTTAAACGTACAACTTCCATATGCAAATGTTCTTTCTCTGTTCTTACAGCTTTCAATCTCGCGTTGAAAGCTTCTTGTAGGTAATAAAGCTACAAGTACATAGGTATATAAAAGCTTTTTCTAACTGATATAGTTTCTTGTATTGTAAATAAAATGAGCAATCACATAAATGAGTAATTATACAAACCTTTTTTCGACAATTTAATAGCTGTTTATATTTCGAGAAGAGAGTATCTCGTTCTTCCGATAACAAACTAAAAGTTGACGATGTTTTTAATTTGTAATCACCAATAGTTTTTTTTGCTTCTTCTATGGCTGATATGTCATGCATATGATTAATAGATTTATCCGGTTTTTCTTGGTATATGATTTTCCACTTAATAAAACAAAATTTTGTAATTAAATTACAATAAATAAGAATACTTTGCAATATACATATATGTGTTACACAAGATTTTTATATTACTGTACTAACTTCTTTCTCGCGTTGCTCTAATCTTATTCTTCTCAAGTTATATTTATTTAACATTTGATTTAATTGAATACCCAGGCTGCTATCTGTATCTTTGTAATCTATATCCTTTAGGAAAACTGCAACCGATTGCTCTCGCATTGTACTAATCTCTTCTTCCTTTTCTTCTTTTTTTGGTTTTTCTGGTTTCTCTTCAGAATGTTGCATTTTATCTATTACACTAAGCGTATAATAAATAAAAATACATTTTACATAGACGTGAGTTGCATTCAAGACATATTCAATATTCAAACATAATACCTATTTTCATTCGACCTTATATCAATGTATGATGTATATTTCTGCATGTGTGTATATTTTATCATTTCGATATGCGGTAAAGTAATATCATTATTCAAAATCGGTTGACGTAGAGAATACACTATATTATCTGGCTTCCTATATCAAGATAGTTTTATTAATAATAATAATAAATTTTTAATAGATTGTTATTAGATTAATAATAATAGATTATTTGTTCATATTCTTAAGATAATTTTTACTTACAACATTTTGCAAATGGCAAACGGTAAATGTACAATAGGTTGAATAAAGTGTTCCAAAAGCTTTTGCAATCCAAGTTTACTTTTTTCTACTTTAAAAGCTAATTTTTCTCGTGCTGTAATCATTTCTGCTTCTAATTCTTCATTTAAATCAGCTGTAATTCTAAGGTCCAATTCTAATTCTTTGCGAGTTATTTGATGAGATTTGGGTAGAGCATTATTCCTAATAAAATATGTAAAAATGTGAATGCACCATCTTATTGTAATTTACGCTCAATAATTATTTCTACATTTGACATATAATTTAAACCTCTCTATAATATTGCTATATTCTTCGCTCAATTTAGATAATATTTGCAAAGTATGATATTTATTCTGCTTTGCTATAGTCGCAACCCTATCATGTTCAGCTTGTTGAATCGTCTCTTCTAAGGTCGCATGATCGATTTCTTCGATATCTTCAACGCTAATGTTCGGCTATATTTTTGGAAAATGTATCACGAATTCGTTAGGTTAGTGTTCAAGTAAAAAAAATAACACATTACAATAAATTAAATGTTTTAAAATATAAAAAATAAGAGCAGATTGCGCGAATTCTCACCAAAGAAAAAGTTTCTTTTATTATTTCAAACTCGATTGCTTCAAATGGAATGTCATCGTTTACTTCATAAGAAAATAAATTTCCATCATATCCGCATGTAAATAATGTCTTTTGATTATGGCTTGTGATAATTTTTGGGATATAACCATTAAACGGATCATGCATCGAAAGTATCCAATAATCGGATAGATCTGTATAATTTTCAGGTTTCCATTTACAAACCCGTATTTGTCCGTGTTCCATTCCTAAAAATAAGTACTTCTTTTCCTTGCTAGTAAAAACACATAAAAAAATAACAAATTATTATGTAATTGTGTAAAATGATATGCTTTTCTTCTATGATATATATATAATAATTAATTTTATTTATTCTTACTAAAATAAACAGCTTCGTATTTCTATGTCATCTGCATCATGTATTATGGTACTTTTAACAGGTTTCTCGACAATAGTTTCACTAATTTCCGGACTTGGATATTCATATATATAGCCTGCATCAAATCCTGCCATTAACAACCAAATAATGTCACGACTAATGTACTGCGCTATCAATATTTTGTTTGGTATTTTTGGAATATATATTTCTGGTAGTAGCTCTTCTTCTTCCATATTTACTGTAATTTTTATCATTGCTTTATTTTCACAATTTTTATTAATATGTACATCATATCTTGGAGTAAACTATAAAAATTAAACATAAATAATACACTATATTACTATATTATTAGACAAGTTATAAATAATATATGATATAAAATTACTGAGAAACGCTTCTTCGTTAATTTCCATTTCAGGGCTTTCAGCGATTAATCGCGCCATTTCTTCACGTTTCTTCGCTATTTTTTCTTTCTTTTCTTTCTCTCGATTTAATCGAATTAATTCGTTTCGAATAGTAGATTTCATAGAATGAAATTTAAATGCTTTTGATTGACATTGAACAAGTTCGTATGAAGCAGTAGTGTACGATTGAAGTGTACTCGGTAATGTAATTTCTACACAATCTCCTTTTGCGCATCCTATAATTATTGTTGTTTCCTAAATTCAAATTTAATTAAGAGCAATAATTGTGCATATATCTTCAATGAAAGAAAAAAATAATTATATAACACATATATTATTTACACTTTGCGGTTTCCACACAAGACATGTGACTTCCGAAGGTACTTTGATAAAACCAATTGGTGTAATGACAGGATAAGTATTAGTAGCTGTAATAGTAAAGCTAAATACAGTTGAATCTTCACCACCAGTTACCAGTAAGCTGAAATAATGCACAGTTTACATATACAACTTTTATATGTATAAAACATTTTTTGATGAAAGCCTTGATTTTCGAAAAATAACAATAATTTAAAATGAGACACCCTGTATATAAGATTGCACTTTTAGTACCTGCACGATGGATTTAAAGACATTGCGGTTATTGCCATTTTGTGCGGTTTCATAACTTGAATCAGTCTAACATAGTCTCCCCGTATATTGTTAGCGGAATTAGCCGCTGATACCGCTACAGCAATTATACGAATAACACCACTCTCAAAAGCACATGCAAAAGTCGAGCCTGTTGCTTCAATCTTATTTTATATATATATATATATATATATATAATACATACAGGGTAGGCCATTTTAATCTTTCCACTAAAATTTCTCAAAATCCAAAAATTTAAGACAAAAATGTTTCAGATAAAAGTTGTATGGTTTCAAGGGGGACATGAGATGGTGTCATTGATTTGACCTTGAATAGCCATTTGAAGGTTACGTGAAGATCAACTTCAATTTCTTAAATGGAACACTATATTTTTTCTTGCATACTTTTGTAGCTGACTTCGAGATCTTTCCAAAACACTACAATAAAATATTTTTTCATGAAGTATTTTTCGAGTTATTAAGGCTGCAAATTTGCAGTATTTTGACATAAAATACAAAATATCTTGGGAAATATTCATTTTTCGATTATCATACCTTAATACTTTTATGCACAGAATAATGAGATAAATCAGTTGATGTAAAGAAAACACATAGTTACCTTTAAAAAAAAATATGAAAATTGCAATAAGCAGTTAGATAATTTTTCTTTAAGACAACTATGTGTTTTCTTTACACCAATTGATTCGTCTCATTATTCTGTGCATAAAAGTATTAAGGTATGATAATCGAAAAATGAATATTTCCCAAGATATTTTGTATTTTATGTCAAAATACTGCAAATTTGCAGCCTTAATAACTCGAAAAATACTTCATGAAAAAATATTTTATTGTAGTGTTTTGGAAAGATCTCGAAGTCAGCTACAAAAGTATGCAAGAAAAAATATAGTGTTCCATTTAAGAAATTGAAGTTGACCTTTACGTAACCTTCAAATGGCTATTCAAGGTCAAATCAATGACACCATCTCATGTCCCCCTTGAAACCATACAACTTTTATCTGAAACATTTTTGTCTTAAATTTTTGGATTTTGAGAAATTTTAGTGGAAAGATTAAAATGGCCTACCCTGTATATATAAAAAGAATTTTATGTGTATAATTTACAGAGATATTTAGATACATATGCAAAAGATTTAGATTCTAGAAAATAATTAAGGTTCTATGAAATTTTTATCAAATTGTAAAAATTGGGTGATATAAAAAGAAATGAACCTTTTCGTGTTTCATTATTTACATTTTTACATATAATAGAGTTTGCAATTGATTGTATGTATGCGTGGGAGAGCACACATTTCTGCTATATATTAAAATATCTTGTAAGAAATAAATATTTATAAATCAATAAACTTTTTTTTTACAACTAATTTTTACCTGGCATGGAAACCAAATGATTTGACTGCCACTGTCATCAAAATTATGTGCCAAAATTAATCTTTTCTTTATATAATTATAAATATGCAGCTGTCCAATTTTACTCAATGTAACTATAAAGGGACCCCATGTTGTACAATCCATATCGACTATAACTCCAGCATGACATGTAAATATTTTTTGTGGTAATTCTGCTTTTGTAGTATGTAAATCTATTAACCAAATCCCACCGTTTCCATCCTAGAAAAAAATATTACATATTTGAAATATGATGCGAACGTTACGCAAAGAACGATTTAAAATATTGCGAGCCTCCAAGTGAAACATAATCTTACCTGAGCATACCAGAACATACTTTCTGGATTATTTGGTTCTTGTTTACGTATGCACATAAGTATCGAATTATTTGCTTCATCGCCTTCATTAACATAATATTCATAGATAGGTTGAATTTCTAAAAAACGTTCTCCAGTACGAGAATCCGCTTGATCTATCGTTTCGTAAAACCAAATTCTAATCCATCCATCCATACCTACAATTCATTCATAATATCTATTCATTTCTATCATGGAAAAAGAATTGAAAATCTTGCTACATAATTATAAGAAATTTTTTTACCAACTGATATGAGCTCTCCATTTATATACTCAAATTGTGTAATTGCTTTAGTATGACATGGTTGCCGATTTTTCTTGCATATTTCAAGAGTAATCAGACCTTCTTCCCACAGTAAGATATTTCCCCATTCACAGCCTGACACAACCTGAAAAAGATATAATAGCTTTAAATAAATAAAAAAAACCAAATGTGCATTTAAATAATACTCACTTTTCCATCTGGCATAATATATACACCGATAATGTCAGATATTTCTGTCTGACCAAATCTACCAATTTCGCCTTTCAATTTAAGCCCAGTAAATGTTTCAGAGATTTTCCAAAATTTTATATGTCCCGAACCACTGGTCACTAAATATCCAGGTAATGATGAAGATATTGTAATATTATAAACATTCCGATTATAAGATTTGCACTTCAATGCAATTGTAGACTTTTGCCAATTCCAAAGAGTAATTGTATAATCTGGTTCTCCCCCTTGCGATACTAGTAATAAACCATCGGCACTGCAAAATAAACATAAAACATATACATATGTTATATAGATAAAACACATACATGATAATACATAGAATTATTTGCAACTATATATTATGGATGATTTTATTTCCTAAATTTTTACGATATATATACCTATAAGTTAAATGAGAATAGGATTTCAATGTGCCATTATATAAAATTGTCACAATGTCCATTGAAGGCCATTTATAAATAATTATTGGAGGTTTAATGCCATTTTCACCAACAGCAATGTGATCAAACACAGGATTTTTCTAAACAGACAGAGTATCATGACAAATAAAAATTACACTTTTTTTTTATATTTCACTAAGTTATTCTTTTTGAGAAAAATATACTTGAAGTTAATTAAAGAGAATTAGCTTATTAGTTGTTTTATTTGAATTTTTTCCCCTCCCTTTTTCTCTTTCTTTCTCTAATTGTGTTAAAACTATATCTTATTTTTAACTTTCTCAAAATAACGATAAAATTAATGAAATCGCCAGTGAAGAGTAAACCATACAAATTTATTAAAATTTCGACCTAACTGGCCAGTACAATTTAATTAGAAACACTACGTTTCGACCCTTAGGTATGGGTCCTTTTCAAGTGTAACTATCTAGATGTTAATTCGACAGCAGTAAAATTACTAATAATTTTAGTAAGTAGTACATTAGTAATTTTACTGCTGTCGAATTAACATCTAGATAGTTACACTTGAAAAGGACCCGTACCTAAGGGTCAAAACGTAGTGTTTCTAATTAAATTGTACTGGTCAGTTAGGTCGAAATTTTAATAAATTTGTATGGTTTCCTCAAAATAAGTAGTATACAAAATGTGAACAATATATATACTGTCACATGTCCAATTCCATCACCAGTATATCCTCTTCTAAACCACAGCTTGTTTGTTGTAACATTCCAGAAATGTAGTATATTACCAGAAATAAAAATAATGATGTTTGGTTCTGCTACACAAAGATTAAAATATTTTTGACAATCGTATGAAAATGAATGACTTATATATTATCTAAGGAATATATTGTCCATATTTTATAACATTTTATATCTTATTAAAATTATTTAAGAGATACTCCTTCAAACTCTGAAGTTTATGCGTATATAAATTGATATGAAAATAGGAAACAAATTTTATTATATTATTAAAATTAGAAATTATTATTAAATAATTTTCATCATAAAATTCGTGTAATATATGACAGAAAATGCTCTAAAAAAGATCATTAAAAAATGCAATCAAATGCAACATATACAGTTCATATATTTTGCAATATGATTTAAAAAATTGTGTCTATACTCGGTATACATATATAAAAGGATACTGAAACTCCAAAATATTCATAGGCACTGTTCCATTTTGCACGCGTTTTGCTCCTGATATATATTTGCTCGAATCGTAAATGTAGTCTTCGTCATATACTTTTTCATCGTTTTCTTTTTGTCCTACTTTCTGATGGTTTTCCTTCCTACGAAATTCAAATTTATCTTCTTGCATTTTAACGCTTTGTTGTTCCCTTACGTTTTCATTTTGGCAATGTTAAACTTGAAAATCCTGTTATATATAAACTTTGCTCAAAATAGGTTCAACGAAAGTTACACTTTTATAAAAATACGATGCGCTTTTTCATATAATACACATTGTATGTAAAGTCCTAAATATCTAGACCTCTAAATTCTAATTAATTGTATGTACCTATGTACTTACAAATTACAATATAGTTTCTATAGATACATTTGTTTAATCGATATATCAAATATATATATGTATATCTATAAGGAAGATCCTAATTCATCTTTGTGACCCAGTCGCAGATACGACTTTCGCTTATCAGCGGGTTGGGTATAATTAATTAATATTTATATTTTATCCGTATATTCGACAGAAACAAAAAAAGTTTTTTGAGACAAAACACGTTTGAACGCGTCGAAGGACGCTAATAAACTAGAGATCCTAATTCAAAATATTTTCGATTTTTCAGAATCGAAAAATAACTATTTGCCCATGTCGACAGTCGACAGTCGATACCTAATTTCATCTGGTTCCGTGTTCCATCTATCTATTTTATATATCCTATGGACGTAAGTAGTACGTACATAGTACATACATATGTTCACAAAGTGAAGTTTGACGTTTGACGAAAATTATTCATTAGGAAAGCGAGGAAAATCGAAATAATTAAATAAAATCATAAAGGATATCTCTTTATTATATAGAGAATACGTGTTGACTCTGAATCAAAAAATCATATCTACGAAGAGGATATTAGGTTCTGAAAAAAAAAAAATTTTCCAGTAAACCATTTCGATTGATAAAATGGATTTTGGTGCTTTGATAAATGTCGCGCAAGAGAATGAAGCGAAAAAACAAGTAAGTCCATTTTGTTGATCTACTATCTGCAAGATTCGAAAGTTAGATAGCATAACTTAAATAGAATGTAGGTCGATTATAAAAATAGGTTAGATTAAATACCTTCTGTTTTGCATCTTTAATGATATAATTTTTTTAACAGGCTATTCCGTGCTATCAAACAAAATTTGCACCACCAAAAAAGCAGACTAAACAATCTAAGACTCTTTCCGATAATATTAAAAAATTTCTCGCTCGAAAGGAAGAAGAAGAGAGACAAAAAACCTTGGAAGAGAAAAGAAAGAAGGAGGTGATTTTATTAAAATAATCATGCAGCTGTGTTATGCACTATGAATAATTTATATGCATCTTTTATAATTCTGTGCATTAGATTCATTACTCTCGCATTTATATAAGAAACTATACTTTCAGAATCTTCTGGCTTTACGAGATTCTAAAGCCCAAAGTCGGATAAGTAAACACTTGAAAGTATGTAAAGCAGCAAATAAGTCAGTGATTGCAGATGCCATTGATAGCGAACATACAGCTATTACTATAGCAGGTAATATTACATGATACTTTATATATAAAAATTATAATTTTTAACAAATAATATATAATGATATTTTTATATAATAGATTAAACAAATCATCATGTACTCTCTCTTTTTCTATGTTTTCACATTTAAAATATATTTTAATAAAATTATTAGGATCTATCATTGGGAGACTAATATTGAAGAAAATGTAAAAATAAAGTTCCAAACAAAAAGGTGCATTTATGTAAAAGTTTATTCTTATTTTTCATATTTTCAATTATCTTTTTTTTTTTGCAACAATTTTTATTTTTAATATGCTTGAAAATTTATGTCAAGATATAATAGAAATAAAATACTGTTGACTGAACAATGTTAGAGCAACATGGCAAATAGGTCCTATGCAATTACAAAATAATAAAATAAAACAATGATACATACTGGTAAACTTCAAGTACACAGAACAGATTGATATTAACAAAAATCATTTGGCAATTGGTTTTTACATATTATCACATCAGTTTAACGGTAATATCCTTATCCATAATGGGCAATATTTTTGCCCACAGGTTATGTAATATATTCGAGCAATATAATGCATTAATTATCCATCATCCCAAATTGATGCAGAACAATTTCACGGATTTATACAGCGATGGATACTAAGGCATTGATTAAGGTCAGCCATCTAATTTTAGAGTAGTCTAGAGAACTTACAAGTATAAAGTTTGTGCTGTTTTTATCATATTTGTCAATTTTCTCAAAATTAAAGCAATATAGAGCTATAATTTTATTTACACTTATTCTATTAATGCAAATCACATATGCATGATGCTTCATTGTTATATCATTTCTTTCTTCTGTCAGTCAAGATTATTTTATTCTTATATACTTTCTAATATTCAGAAGAGAGAATATCAAATATGATTTTTAAAAATGTATTTTGTTCCTTATATATTTGTTTATTATTGGTAAAGAAAATAATTAAAATTTGTTTACAGTTTTGATGAAATATATATGTATTTCTTCTATATTTTTCAATTCAATTTAACATTAAAAATTTCATTTTGATATTAAATGTAACATATAAATATAATATGTTTAATATGATGATTATAATGAAGTAAAAAATATTTTCATAAAATATTTACTTTATATATTTTAAATTATATTGCTCCATTATATATTTTCGCCATGATTTCTCAAAAATCATATATTATTTATTTATCTATTTATATATTTTTTCTACTGTTTTTTATATTTAATATTAGATATTTTATTTGAATGTATTGAACAAATTTTATGTTTGGATGTATTAACAATTTGTGCTTGAGGTACTTGGAACTTTCTTTTTATATAATAGATGAGAGATATAATTCACTATTTTCTCTAAAAAAATGATATATCCTTATATTTATGCATAAACATACCAAATGTATTATGTGATTGTACAAGAAATAGATAAAGATATTTGTCAACTAAAAAGATGTGAATTAAAAATTTGTTTAAATAAATATGTAACTACTTTGTTATGAAAATATGACAAGGTATAATTTTTTTGAGAAATGTTTATGCCATACATGTTGCATTCTACATTATCTATATCTTGGTCCCTCGTATTGTTAGGAATATATCACGAGCGACTAATCTTGATGCAATTGTAATAGCCGATATTATTATTTGCCTTAATCTTAATATTTGAGAGAGAGAGAGACAGAGAGAGAGAGAGGGGGGGAAAAAGCGAGGAGAAAGAGAGAACCAGAAATTATGACACAGAAGAGTTGAGCTTTATTATGAATGTAACAGAAATCACTTTGAATATCTTCTTTAAGATTATAGTATAACATAGAGTTGTAATACTTTTTCTGAATTGTCTCTTTTTCATTTATTATAACTCTACATATAATAAAATGATAATATAGATATAACTAATCTACAGATTCATATAACAATTTTTTTTAAATTACAGAACATTTTGTTTTATTTATTCTATACATGATAAAGCTTGCATAAAACATATACAGAGATTAATTATGTATAAATAAAATATTCCAGGTCCTTCTCAGCCTGATGAAGATGATTACGGATATGAATCGCAAGAGGCTTCTAAATTTTATAATCAATTAATGAACAAATATAATAGTTTACCTCCAGAGAAACCTATTTTTAATAATAATGAGAAAAGAACAATAAAAGATATTGCATCTACAAAGGTATATATCTAATAATCTTTCAATAAACATAATTGAAGAAAAAATATTTGTTAATAATATAAATAGATATTAAGTAGACATTCTGAATAAAATAATGTGCTGGTTTGGATTAAGTATACATTATTATATTACTATGATTCTAACTATATTAAATATAATTTTGTTTGTCATAGGATAGAGTAAAACAAGCTTTAAAACAACAAGAACTTGAGGAGAATAGTGGACATAGGCGAAAAAGGAAATCATCCGCTTCGAATGTAAAAGAAACTGATGTAAAAGAAATTGATGAGAAAATGGAGAAAAACGTTGCTAATAAAATCAAAGAAGAGAACAAGGACGAAAAGCCCAAATCGAAAAAAAAGTCATTACCACCGCCTATGGCTTTTGCGGACCTATTAAAACTTGCAGAGAAAAAACAGCACGAGCCTGTCATGATAGAAGTTAAACCAAAAGTAGAAGAGGAACGACCAATGACAAAACGTCAAAAAATGGAATATATACAGGAAAAAGAAAGAAAGGAGCAACGAGAGAAAAAAGATTTAGAGACAAATAAAAAAACAAACATTGGAAATACAAACAAACCTAGTAAAACACAATTAAATAAAATGCTCAAAACTGATGAAAAATCTCCAATCTTAAATTCATTATTAAATAAAAGCTGCTCTTCTAAAGCTGCAACAACTATTTCTAAAAAGGTTATTGACAAGTCCAATGAAAAACAAAACGCAGAAAATTCCAACAAAGTTTCATCTAAGAATGAATTATTAGAAGAACGAAAAAAATTAGAAGCCGAGAAAAGACAATTGGAAGAAATGCGACGCGCTATTGAAGAAGAAAAAAAGAAATTAGCGCAAAGTAAAAATAAACAAGAAGATGTAAAGTTTCATTCTTCTAATAAAGAAATGGCTAAATCCAAAAACAGTAATAGTGTAGATAAGCAAATTTCAAAGCATATTAAGCCACGACAAATTCCACCTTCGGATTTAAAAGTACACTCGTCATCAACTAATAATAAAGTAAAACAATTTCCACCACCTGATGTTAGACCCATTAAATCTAAAGAAATTATGAAAAAATCGCGTACATCTAATAAACGTGAGTTTATTTGCGAGAATATTAGTTTCAGTTATAACACTTGATTGCAAATTAGAGAAAGTTAAACATGTGAAATAAATTTAATTTACAGGACGTATCTGCGACGAGGATGAAGATTCAGATTTAAGTGATTTTATAGATGATGGATCAGATGATAATGAGGAAGATTATAGTAAACATATTAGTGAAATATTTGGCTATGATAGAAGCAAATATAAACATTTCGATAATGAAGATGATACTGCTATGGAGAGTAATTTTGCACAACAACTAAAAGAAGAATACATATCCACTAAAATAGGTAAAATATTATCAGTGTTTTGAATTTGATATTTTGTGTATGTACAAAGTATGAATAATTCGATGTATATAAAATTGAATATTTTCAGGAATTATGGAAGATTTAGAAGATATGCGTAAGGAAGCATTAGAGAAAAAGAAAAAGGACCTCTCAAAGATGAGGCCAAAAAAATAGTACAAAATATTTTGACTTTATACATATTTATATTTATTATCTCTTTTACGATTTTGATATATATTGAAAATATTTAAGTCGTAAAAGTATACATAAAAAAAAAAAAAGTAAATTTCTAGATTTTCTTTTATATTCTCTTTTTTCTCTTTAAACGGGGAGCATACACTTGCATAAGCATATGCATAAGAAATTCGATTGGTTGAATTTCTTATGCATACGTTCATAGACCAATCAAGATTTTTATGTTTACGCTTATGCGCCTATGCAAAAGTGTGTGCTCCCCGCTTTATTATGCTTACGCTTATGCGCCTGTGCAAAAGTGTGCTCCCCGCTTTACTGCACCAGTGTGCACTAGTTCACCAGTGCAGCAATAAAAAATAAACCTATAGTTTCAGTGTGGACATCACGTTACAGGACATCCTGTATATAAGTTGATTTTATGTATAAAAGCTTAGAACTATAAAAGTCTTTTTATTTCTAAGTTATAGTTATAGACATATTCCTATGTCTATGATTTATGATAATTACATTAAACCGGGTCTACAATAGATGTAAGTTCTAAGTCTTAAGAAATTGATCAATCACAGTCAATTATTCCCCTCATTCTTGATTGTGATTGGTGAATTTCTTAAAGCCTAGAGCTTACTACATCTGTTGTAGATCCGGCCTTATCAATTTTTTGAAAACAAATGATAAAAATGCAATTTCTTTTTCAAAAAAATGAGATCTTATTGGAGCCATCATTAGGCTAGTTCTACAATACGTCGTATGTCGCAGTCGGATGTCGGAACGTAAGCGATTGTCCAATGAGAAAATTTCTTTTTCGATAACAAAATTTCCTCTGGACCATCGCTTATGTTCCAACATCCGACTGCGACATATGACATTGACTTATTGTAGATGCAGGCCTTAGCTGCGTTCCGACATACGACATATTGTAAAACTACCTAAGAATTAGGATTTAGGGCCATTCTACAATAAGTTGCAAATATCCTCGTTGCTAGTTGACAATTGCCAATTGACCAATCAGAGCAAAGCAACTTGTCAGCTGATTGGTTAATCCGCAACTATCAACTAGCACGAGATATTTGCAACCTATTGTAGAATGGTCCTTAGATTGGACTGAAATATATAACCAATCAGAATAAAGAAAACTAATATTAAGTTTAGTGAACTTTGCTCTGATTGGTGAATTTTCACTCTAAACCTATAATCCGTAGATTATGAATACGGCCATAAGGATGACATGCACATATAAAAGCATGTACATATGTTAGCAGACATCGTTACCGTTGACATTTTATTTTATTCGATGAAATATTTGCGTGCAAAGAACTAAGCATAATTTTTTTGTATTGATCAATATCCTTGATTTGTTATATTCCAATCGAAAAGACAATTAAAACATATTTATAAATTTTTTTATTATTGCGTATTAAAAATTACTTTGTAAAATTTCATATTTATATGTAACCTATAACGGCGTTTAAAAATATATACATTGCCGAACAACTGTGATTACTGTGAACAACAAAAATGGCGTATCGTGGTGTGAAGGGATCTGATCCGTTCGTGTCAAAAACTTCGCGAAATGAACGTTTTGCGCAAATGTCAAAGCAAGAACAAATCATTCAACAAAAAAAGTTGGAAATTCAAGCAAAAATGCAAGAGCAGAAAGCAAAGGAAGCAGAATGCATGAAAAAGTCTAATTCGTCAGGCTCGACCACAACAATTAGTAAAGGCAATGGTCTAAAGTAAGTCTTGAGTTCATCATATGTTATTCAATCGATTTAATCTCGATGAAGTTTAACATTATATAATTCACTCGTTTAGTATCTGTACAATGATCTATTAAAAAATATAAGGAGTAGAATTAATTATTTATTTCTATATTTATAGGGAGGAAGATGAAAAGTCTATCGCATCCCTTTCTATGAATGTATTTGCCAATGATGGTAGTTTTCTTGATCAATTTAAGAAAATAGCAAATAAAACAATCAGCAAGCAAGAAATTCAGCAAGATAAAATTGAAGATAAAAGAAAAGATGAGAAAAATTATGAAGCTGTCAGAGAAAGAGAGAAAGACAAAGAAAGAAAGCGCGATAACGAAAAAAATAGAGATTGGGACAGTAGAAGAGATCGTAGGAGAAATGATTCACGTTGGGGAAGAAGTTTGGATAGAAAACACAGTTCCTCCTCGAGTCCGTCACCTACAAGGCGGAGATCGTCGCCTAGTCCTGAGACACGGCATAGCTATAATCAATCACAGAATGGACAACGTGCACAATTTAATCAATTTCCAATTCAAAGTAATAATCACGCCTCTTCCATCCCATCTCTCATGTCTCAACCAGTGCAAATACAAATGACAAATATACCGCCCCCGAATATAAGAAACTTGACACCGAGCGTTCCATCCACACATTTACAAAGGATACCAGTGTCGAAGAATTTTAACAACAATTTTACAAATATAAATGATCATTCTAACAGTGTTAGAATGCAAATCGCACCGCCGCATATTATACGTCCTGCTCTCCCTCCAATCCAAAGCATTCCGCCAAATACAAATATTCCACCACCAAACATGCAATTGTCCCAATCTATGTCCAATCTATCCCAATCTAACTTATCTTCGTCATCGAATGGACAACAGCACATGATACAAAATCCACAACAATGCAATATACCACCCCCTTCGTGTAGCACTAACTTACAGCATCCAAATATTCCACCACCTAATATACCACCCCCGAATATTTTACCACCAATGTCGCAAATGCCACCGACCATGATACCTATTACAGGCTCGCAAGCCATTGTGGTGACAGTACCAAGCGTAGCCAATGTTCCACCTCCAAATGTGATAACATCCATGATAATGTCAGCACCTCCACCAGTGCATACTGTTCCATCGACGATTAATTCGGTCCCACCACCAAATTTGAATATTCCTCCACCAAATGTTCCACCTCCTACTGTCATTCCTAATACAGCACCATCGCGTGGTCTTATGTCCACTGGCTATGCTCTTTCTAATCAGGTATCCATCTCAGTGGGCCCCCCAAATGTTCAAATACCACCACCTGTGAGACCACCGACTAGTCTACAGAGTTCCGAACAACAAGGTATGATATCACAATTAAGAAATATATATATATTTTTTGTTATTTAGTAACATTATTTATTAAGCACAAAAGAGACTTTGCTCCTTATCTCTTGTGCAATTTTAATATTACGTATTGTTGTCAAGATTTTTTACGAGACATGATATTTTTAAATGTTACACATATATATATAAATAATTTTTATTTCTATCTGAATCAGTATGAATGTGTGTATGTGTGTGTATAAAATATAAAAAGTGCGAATTCAAATATTATTATACAAAGTATCTGACAAAAGATTCTAAGTGTGTCTAGTAGAGGCTGAGCAGCTGGCACGCATTGTGGCTGACTGTGGAGATGAAATTGAACAAGAAGTGCGGGAGAAGAATGCTCAAGATCCTAAATTATGGTAACTACTGTCCTCACTGGTCCTTAGTATTTCCATTCCCCATTCCTAATTTGTAATACAATTAATACTTTTATAATATCTCTTTGAAACATTTTTTATTTATAGGATATTGTACAAATTTCTATTATACAATTCTTAACAATATCTCAGTAATACAGAAAGTTGAATAGACAACTTTGTTAACTGTCTGCTTAATGTGAATTGTTGCATATGCAGATGAATGTGCTTGCAATCCTGCAAATAACATTTATTGCAAAGATATTAATTTATTATTAGCAATATGCGCGCGTGTATACACATTTTTTACACTCTCTCTCATAAAGCACAATTTACATAATATATATTCTAATTCTTGATAAAATTGACACTAATAATATGCATCTTTACATTGAATGTAATTCTTTCTTGCAATAATGGTCATGATAATGGTATTACATACATATTATATATTTAACACATTTTCTTACGACTAAAAAAAATGTTGAAAATTGTTTTTATCATGTTTTTATTATAATAGAATTATTCCATGTATATATTCTGCTAAATATAATGGATCTGTTCTTTTTAGCCAAACTAGTGCAATCAGTTCAGCTAAAAAGAACAGACTTAATATTTTATGTGTACATAAAGAAAATATTTATATGCAAAACTATGGGAAAATGTTACAAAAGATATAAATTTTTGTAAAAAAAGTTTAAAAATATGTAATTGTTTTCTTATTGAATTTTTGTATATAAAAATGCCATATAAAATTTGTAAACATACCTGTAGGCTATCTATTATCTATTTATTTATTTACTTATTTATTTATTTATTTATTCTAATCTTCCATCTTATGTATTAAATTCTTCCATCTTTTATATATATTTATCTTCAACTGTACTTTTTTTTATTATTTCGTTTTCAACATATTCAGCAAAAAATATATCTATATAAAATGGATAAGTTGAATGAATCAATTGTGTGAATCATTGAATATAATAAAAATAGTATACAATATTGATACAATAAAAAGTTCTAAAGTAATTATATATATATATATAAATGTAAAATTCATTATTTATTTAATAAATCAGTCTTATTTCATTATTTTATTTAATAAATCAGTCTATTAGATGTCTATACTGCATGAGTAATATAAAATGCTTAACATTTTTTTAAGACATTTGATTACATATCTTTTAAGTTATAAATTGTATATATCTTTTGAAACATGTTACATATTCTTTTAATCTTGTGTTATTTCTTAGTTTTGGCATGTATATGCATATATATGTGTATATATATGTGTGTGTGCGTGTGCGTGTGCGTGTGTGTGTGCGCGCGCGCGCGTGTGCGTTGCGCGCATGTGATATATAGATATACGTGTGTACATATGTGTATGTATATGTATATTATATGTACATATATGTATATACATATATATATATATATATGTATATATGTATGTATATATATATGTATATATATATGTATATATATGTATATATATATATATATATATATATATATATATATATATATTATACACATTTTGAAATGTAGACATAACTAAATGTAATATGTTATATCAATGCTTTCAATTTTCATTAATCCAACTAAAATTTTATATTTTTTTATATGCATTCTGCTATATTTCAAATAAATTTAAGCTATATAATTGCTTAATTACCATTGACATAAATAATAATAGTATTTCTTAAAAATTTAATACAATTTTATGTAAATAATGCAACAATTACATCATTTTTATATGCTAATATACTGTTTTATATAGATTTACAAACGTTATGTACAATATTACAGATACACTAGTATCCCGAAAGATAATTACAGACATTGTTAGATACGTTTTATAATAAAATGCACGATTTTTGTCTAAATTTCTCAATTGAAGACGATATCTGTATATATATATATATATATATATATATACTTGATTGTATATTTGGCAATTGGTGCCAACTAATTTGATATTATATTTTGTAGTACAACTTTTAATTGTTTTTAAGTTTCAAGAATAGATATTAAAATTAGAAATTAACAAATATAGTCGCGAATCTTTAATTAAACTTGGAATGAATAGCAATATTCCAGCGAGTATCATGCGATACGGGATTCCAGTGTATCAGTGATAAGAAAATATTACAATTTCAATGAAATGCAATTACAGTAATCAACTTGTTTATATTTTATATGAACGCGTTATGTCTTTTATTTTATTTTTTTTATAAAAATATATCTAGGAATACATGTTGCTAGACAGCGTTTTAAGTATCATTTTAATCAAGGTTTCTGCACCAAAAGCAAAGTGCAGCGTATCTGCAGTACAGGGGATTGGTTTCAAAATTACGTACGGAGAAGTCAAAGGATAAGGATAAAAAAAATAGTGGCGCAGAACTTTATTGTCCCGAAGAAGCTCTTAGTGATAATGACGAAGCGGATAAATTACAGAAATCTCATGCAACTTTACATGGTGAATAAAATTCAAATAATACAATTATAGTTATATTCTTTGGCATATAATCAAATCGAGAAAAAATAAGAACAAATTCAAGCATAATATAGTGATTTATAAAATATACGCGGCGCCTTATAATGTATATACTCCATTTGATTCCTATTGCTATTTTTTTACATCGAATTGATTAAAATACAAATATCTTGAATGATTTTGATGATATTTAAAATAAAAAAGTATTATATATAATGCATATATACTGCATCGATAGCAGATCAACCAAAGGATGATAACAGGGAAGAACGGAAAAGAAAAAGACGTAGTCGTTGGGGCGATCCGGATGCTAAAGTTCTCCTTACGGAAACAAATGTGTCTTCTGGTAATAGGCCAAGTGCTGTATTTTCTCAACCTGGTATAGCTATACCGGGGCAAATTGGGCAACCCGCTGTCATAATACCTTCTGGCTCATCAAAGGGACAAGATATTAAATCAAAAAATCCAATGCTTACTAAGATTTCACGAAACGATCCTGCACTTATCCATTATGCAAGACAGACGTTTGGCACGCTCGATCTAAATGAAGAACAATGGAAGAAAGCAGAGGACCATTACAAGGTAGATTATTGTAACATTGATTTTTTATACACATCAACAAGATGAATATGTTTCAGATAAATCTCTTATACCAAAATCTCTTGAGAAAAAGAGAAGAAGTGAAACGTTTGGAAGCACAAGGAAAACATAAATACGAATATGATAGTGATGAAGAAACGGAAGGTGGAACTTGGGAACACAAATTGAGATCTGCTGAAATGGAGGCGACACAAATGTGGGCTGAGGAATTAACTGCACAGGCAGAAGGCAAACATCATATTGGCGATTTTCTACCACCAGACGAGTTAAAAAAATTTATGGAACAATATAATGCCGTAAAGCAAGGAAAAGAACCTGATTTAAGCGACTATAAGGAATACAAGTTAAAAGAAGATAACATAGGTATATTCCAAGAAACTCTCTTTGTGTGTATTTTCATTTTTATACAACATAATTTATATAAAACAAAAATTTGATAATTATATTCTTAGCTTTTACTAAATACTAATAAAATCTTGTTTTCCTCAAATTTGTTAAAATTAATGGATCTTGTAACTTAAACTTTTTCACTTGTAGGATTTCAAATGTTACAAAAACTTGGATGGAGCGAAGGACAAGGTTTAGGTAGTGAGGGTAGTGGTCGTATTGAACCAGTTAACAAGTAAAAGTTTAATTTTATACATAACAATATTAAATTTGTTCTGTTTTCTTACAAATATTTTCAAATTTTTTATTAATAAATATTTCCAGAGCAACAAATAGACTCGATAGTGCAGGTTTAGGTTCTGAAAGACCAGATGGAGTATCTAGGGACGATGACGAATTTGATGCATATAGGAAACGAATGATGCTTGCATATAGATTTAGGCCTAATCCACTAGTAAGTACTATCCTCTTACATTAAATGTCGGAAGTTGTTCAAGAGTTTATATACATATTTATACTTAAACCGTTGTTTTCTTTTCAGAATAATCCGAGAAGACCTTATTATTAAGTCTAAGAGATGTAACTCTAAACACATATTCTTTTTATTACAGGACAATTATAGAGTAGATTTTATTTTGTATATTTAAAAAAAATTATATATTTCATTTTAATATACATTTCTTATACAACTTTCACTTTTCTCCGAATGAAAACGTTTCAGAGAAAATTACTTTGATGTATTCAAATGAGATATATTAATATAGAGAAATTTATGAACAAAAATGATATTTTACATATTTTTTTCCTTTTCTTTTGTTATCTTTATATATATATAAGAAAACGTAAATACATCTTTTCTCGGTTATTTGGTTTCTCGTTGGATGTGCCATCGATTTATCCTTTGCGAAAATTTATCATTATTTATATACAACAGAAATTTTTCACGACTACATACTATATTAAAAATAATAGCGTTATTTGCATTTAAAATCTATATTTTGAATTATAATGTGAGAAATCCCTAAAAGGAAAACGAGAACCCATTCTCGCAAGTTTGCACGTGCGCACGTATACCATTATCAATGAAATTTTTTTAGTAAAATATATAATTATTTGGTTAAAATTCTGATTATACCTATATAGTAACCCTTCCCTCAATACACACATAAATATATAGATCTTCTGGACTACAAGTTTAATACTTTGCATTTTTTAAGATGCAAGTATTAATTTATATATAATTTTTGTCGACAAGATCTTTGAAAGTGCCCTTTATCATATTTTATAAAAGCTATCATTTTTAATCTTTCTTCGAGTATACTTGTATCATTATATATAGCTTGTATATCGCTATCTTTAGCAGTAAATAAATGTAAAACGTAAAATGCCATTCCCGCTGCATATTTCCCAAATCTAATCAAATGTTGAAATAATATTTTGTAAGGGAAGAGAATGTTAGAATCGTAACCGAATCTTTCGAGAAACTTGGATAATGTTTCATAATATTCATTTATCAATTGATTGTAATATTTGCTTCTTATTTCCTGTGTACAACAGCAAAATAGTATATAAACTATATCTAAAACGGGCGATGTGTAACGACATAACTGAAGATCTAGGAAACGCAAATCATAAGGAGTCTTTCCCTCCTGAAATGGAAATATATTATACATATATGTGTATATACTGAAATAAATGTTAAAAAGCAAGACTACAACTATTGTACTATTTTGTAATAGCTTATTTGATGTGTACATGCGTATGTATGTCTAATCGATGAATATTTAATAGATTTGAGAATAATTTTTGAACATAGAAAGATGGAGAATACCTGATCATATTTGAAAAGCATATTATTAGTCCAACTGTCACCATGATTTACAACGGCATAAGGTTCAGCAGCTTTTCCATCAGTCGCATCAATCATATTCTGTAGCATATTATCTGAGAATTGTTGAACTCGTTCGGAATAATGTTTATCTTCATCTACTAAAGCCTATATATATGTATGTGTGTGTGTGTGTGTGTATTATATGAAAAGTAGAAAAAGAAAAGTATAATGTACACGACGCTTAAATTCAAAACTCCTATATATGTTCCATGTCGAGAATTTTTGAGATTTAACAAAGGTTACCTTTATTACAATGTTGGTGAGATTTTTGATAATACTTTTATTATTATCATCATAAAGTTGTTGACAAAATACGGGTTCTTTCATCTGCTTTAATTTGTCGAAATCTGTTGGATTCGTCGAACGCGTAATAAAGCTATATGCATGGAATTCACCTAAGCATTGGAGTGCCAAAATGGCATGCGGATAATCTAAAATTTTTGAATTTTTCATTACGAACGCTTGCTGCGTTAAATTTTCCAACATCAATACCTACAATAAATTTTATGTAGTTATTGAAATATTTTCTTCTTGTCAATAATTATTTTTTTAAAGAATAATATATAAGTCCTTTAATATAATCTCTTTTACACTCATTATAATAATATATATATGTATAATATATATATAACACATGTAAAATTTTTGAAAATTTATAATCAGAATAACCGAAAGTAACGATTGATAATTTTACCAAGTTATATTAATTTAGTTTGTGATTAAAATATTTTTTATATGATTGATTTAATTATATATATATATATATATATATATATATATATATATATATATCTGATAATGAGATGGCTGATAATATTTAATTGTAAAAGATATACGGCTTTTATTAATACACACATACTCGTATACTTATATACATATTTTTGCTATATATGCATATATATATATATACTCTATTATCGCATACTATATATATATATATATATATATATATATATATATATAGTATGCGATAATAGAGTATATATATATATATATATATATATATATATATGATAAATTTTATATATATATATATATATATATATGTACTTGAGAAAGAGAGAGATATTATATATATATATATATCTTATATTATATTGTTGCTAAATATAAAGCGCACGAAAAAATTCCAAAAACATATTTTTGTCTTTTAGGACCATTGTTTTAATTGTTGCTTTGTAAAGCTTTGCGAATAAAAATCAAGAAATTGCAAATATAGATAGAAAAAAGTATTACACACACGCACACGCACGCACGCACACGCACATATAATTTACATGTGATTATATATTTGACTTACACCCTTTATTAATACGTTTCACTAAGATTTATATTAAGCAATGATTGTTTAAACATAGCAAGTAGAATACAATAATTACCTCTTTCCCAGGTTCATCATTAGTATAATACAAAGTAGGAAAGCGATAAACAATTTCGCCATCTTCTTTTAAAGTTTTTTTAAAGATAGGTAATACCTCTCGATAGAAGAATATTTCACGTTGGAACATTTTTCTAACTCTGCTGGATGGAATCAAATCGGATGTAGGCATAGTCTTCAAAATAAGCTCGATATTCTTGGTTTCGCCATTTTCAATGCCTTCGATTGTGATACGATAAATAAGGCCAACATAATTATCGCCTTTATTGGTACCTTTAGTTATATGAAATTTAGGAACTGTCAACTTGGTGTTCTTCACATACATTTTTAAATGATCATGTAACTGTTTATTTAAACAAATTTCTTCGTTTGTCATTTTTTCTTTCGCCTATTCGTTAATATTTTTATCTTGCAAAAAGATCTGTGATTATATAATATATTTTATTTGTTGCGTTTTATTTGTTTATTTTTATTATAGGATCAACTTTATCTTAAATGTCATTAAAATATGGGGAATTAAATAAATAATAATTTTATAATGCGACAACTAGAGCTGATATAAGCCCGATATTATACACTGAGATGATTGTCAAATAGCATCACTTTATTATATCATTTTCGTTATCGCATTCTCGATTCTTAATCTGCGTGTGACGTCACACACGTATAATGCATATCATGCACTTAGAAAATAAATATTGATCTCAATATATAGTTTTAGTATATGAAATAAATTTCTGTATGTTTTTCTCTCTTTCTCTCTCTCTCTGCCTTTTTTATTTTTTAAATATACGTATAAATAAAATGTGAAATTATTAAATTATATTTTTAATTGCGTATTTGGCGTATACTCGTTAAAAAGGTTATTCACTTTTAACATTATACATATGTAGAATCGAAACGTTCGTAAAGATAGAGCTCTATGTATATATAATGCTTATATATATATATATATATATATATATATATATATATATATATATATATCCGTTGGAGTATGTTTACATCAAATATAGAGAAAGGGAAAAAAAGAGAGAGGAGTGAGGCGTGGTGAGATACTGACTACCATTTCTCTAATTAAAGTGCCTTTACCCATTTTCAGTCAAAAAATAGTATTTCATATAAATTTTTACTTGTCAATATACAATATAATTCTGTGTAAAGATAAAAAATGTAAAAAAATTGTTGTTATCTCAAGATTATTTTACAAAATATTCTTTTTAATATTCCTAAATATTCTTTTAAACAACTTAACTTATTAATTTTATGCGCCGAATTAACTTAATGTAATTAATTTAATATATGTCGATAATAAAAAAATAAAAAATTTAAATTTGAAATATCTACATCAAATATACAATAAACAAACTATATAAATTTGTTGGCACATCGCAAAATAAAATTATTAATTAGAAGAGATTAATTAAATTGAAAAAATTGATTACAACAAAAAATCTTTATATTTCAACGTTTTTATATGGCGACCCTATACAATTTACGAACTTACCAACTTGTACTAGCTTATACTTACGTAATCATGACTTTCATACGTTGCACTTTCGTTTTCGAAAGTGTGATGTAATTCACTATTTAGATAGAGGAATCCAATGAAATATGAACTATCATCATAAAAATATTATAAAGTTTGAAAAAATCTTGTATAGCATTATGAAAAATAAGAATTATAGAAAATGCTTATTAATTATATGTATATATGGTATATTATTTGGAATATTATAGAAGTATACATACTGCGTGAGAATTGTGAGAATATATCATATTTTTGCATATAATATATTATATATATATAATTTTACATTAATAATATGTCATTAAACTTTAAAATATTTATTATACTAATTATTATTTTATATGTATAATATAAATAATATTATATATAATATATGTGTTTCGGAAGTCCGGAAATGGTTGAATATCTCATAAACAATGCATTTTAGAAAAAAGTGTTTCAAATAAAAATTATAGAATTTAAAAATATCAATTTAAAATAATCAAACAATACAAATCTTATCGTTTTGACCTTGAATGACGTTGCCAGAGCATAAAGGCAAAATCATCTTGATTTTTTTTTAAATTACATCACTATATTTTTTCATATAAATGAATTCTGCGCATATATTATTATATAGAGAATTTACTATATATACAGTAAATTCCCTATATAATTATTTTTCCAATTTCTCTTATTGTTTAATTGTAATTGCGACAATTTGGTTACACTTGAAAACTATTTTACGTTCCAGCTTTATTGTACATATGAAATTTTAATTATGTCGTAAAATAAGCTTGTATCTTTGCTCATCTTATATATCTTGCATATTTTGATCAATTATAATGAGACATTTTCATGACCGACCAATATGATCAAAAACACCACCATGTATTTTTCAAATATGAACTGATTTGCGAGAGCCTATGTATTTTCATCAATCTTGATTGCTCAACGACAGATTGAGGGTATATACATAATAATCTTGGAGATTGTATCATAGCGGGTTGGAATATTTCAAGGCGATATAACCATTCTCCGACAGAGAGACGTAATTCGTGATTCGGCCTTACTCCAGTATCCTTAGTATTATAAACGAGTAAACTTCGCGCCTGAAGCTGTCTTATTGTCTCGCTCTCGCGCTCTCCTATAATCCCTTTAATCTTTCCAAATACAAATATAAACAGCGCAATGAACCAGTGATGAGATTGTTGATAGACATAATCAAGTGTCGATCTCTCGTACTATTATATGTATATATCTAATAATTTCTTTTTTTAAATTTTTTCTTCTCTTTTTGTTCCACGTATTTTTCGTAATATATTCGATTCACTACATACTTCTTTGTTTCCTTTACTTTCCCTCGTTATCTTTACCTTGTAGCACGATCTTTGGAATTCCGATACATTCGATACGCATTGTTGACCACCGCGAGATGGGCATCATTTATCGGTTACGGAAAAAGATCTCGCGTAATTTTGTAATTTACATATTATAGGTATTCTTGTGCGTAGCTATAATCGTCTCATAGTTGTAAATAGATCAGATGATTACGATGCGTTACAGTTTTATGAATGACTACTGACTACTGTATCAAATAGGACATTATGCATTGGAAAAATTAGGTATTAAATATAAATATTAAAGTTCTTGTGCCCAAATATTAGGTATATAACAACATAATTGATATTCTATGGACATTTATTAATATAATATGAGATTGCAAGCTATAATCGAAAGAACAAGAAAGTTTCTAAATAATTTTTAAAGTTGACAATTTAATTGTTAAATTTTATTTTGCAAGAAAAAGATCTTATATATTCTCGATAAAGAATTTCGAGAATATCGGAGTTGTATTTCGATTGAAATTTGTCAAGCGATATGCGACAAATTATATATATAAAAGTTGTTTTCTCTGCTAATGGATAATAAGATATCTTGCATTTCCGTAGATGTGCGCGTTTGAAGAATACGGCGTGAAATAATCGCGATGAAAAGGAATCCGAAGTGGCGGTTGATATTTCCTGAATGAAACTTTATAATCGGAGCAGGGGCCGGGGGCCGGTCCCCTTTCATCGGAATAACGCTCTCTCGGTTTCATTTCTGCAAAAATTGTCGTCTCAACTCGTTGCGCACGCCTCATGTACACTGTACACGGCAGTACCAGGCAAATACGGAAAAGGTTCCCGCGATTCCTGGCAGTACCCCACCTTTCCGTTACCTTTATCGTCACCTGTATGGGTCGAACGAGAATGGGACCAGGACCGCAGGCTGATACGAGAGTTGGAAAAGGAATGGTAGTGAGAGTCCAAGTCAGGAGGGAAAGGATTCCGCGCACGCGAGAGAGGCAGACCCGAAGTCTGCGCTCGCGTTCACGCTCACGCTCGCAAGAGCGCAAGCGAACGCGCGCGGACACTTATTCGACTTGATGTTGGATGTGAAAGTGAGTCTGTCCAAGTCTGTCTTGTACAGTTCAACTGCGAAACTGCGTGCCGCGTATACCCGTCTCTCGGTTCGATTCGCGATCGACGTGCCATGCCGTAACGTGTGTGTTTCTGTTCGTTCGATCGTGGGATATATGCGCGCATCTGTGTGTATATATATGACTTTGATTGAGAGCGATTTGGCAAACCGCAGAATCTACGCAGAATCTAATTTAAAGATAAAAAGAGCGACAAATTTTTGTTTATCATTTTGGCCTCCGTATATATATTTTATATTTATTTACCTGTAAATCGTATTCATTCATCACGTACAACACATATTTCACGATCGCGCGTCGCAGTTCTCGACATTTTCTTTACACTTATACCTATCCGTTTTACTTTCATTTACGAGCAATTTGAACAAAAAATTGTTTGTCAATTGTATTTCTCACTTTGCTCACATTTTTCAAGGATTCGATCAACAATATTAGCAACAATGAAACTCTAGGAAAGAGAAAGAGGAAATCAAAACAGAGAAAAGAAAAATGGAAGACGATAACAGGCAGTAACGCGCAACAAAGTGAAAGATATGTACAACATTTTATACGGAGGCTCGATTATCATTCCAATTGAATAGTAAAGAAAAAAAGAAAATTGGTTTCCCAAGTCTATACGGCAAAGTAAAGCTCTTTCAAGCAAATGGGACACGTTTCTTTTCGCGTACAAATGTTCCGGAGTGTGTTGTTTGGTATATATGTTTTTTTTCTACAACTCGACGTCTCTTCAAACTATATTACAGTTTTCTGTCTTTGAAAAAAGAGTGAAAATGCGCGCGAGTAACATTCCGTTTCGCGAGGGTATAAAAGTGGAACTTGATTAATCTCCGGATAAGTATGTGGTTTGGTGTATAGATTTCATATATCTTATAGATCTAACAATTAAAATATTCTGCGGTATTTTCAAGTGAAAATCGTTCCGACTGTGCGATGCATCGATACTTTTTCAAGATGTTATTTTATATGCGTTTATCAAGTTGTATAAGAATCTATGCGGAAAAATTTAGAATAGTTACATAAAAATTGTGTTCTTTAATTTGCGTTATATATACGCACGAATAAAATTTGCGATATAATTGAATTTTAATCGCATTTTTACTTAGCAACAAATTATGTAACAAATCAAGGTATTTACAATAATATAGAAAGGGACAGAGTGAGCGTATTACTATAAGAAAAATTAAATATATATGTATATATATATATATATATATATATATATATATAAATATATGTATATATATTTATATACTACATACAACAAAGATAGACAGAAGAAGAAAAAAAGTGAAAAGTGCATATATTCAAAGTCGCGTATATTTATTAAAAGTTTAGCAAATTTTTAATAAATTGACTTACTTGTGAAAATTGGAGAATTTACATGTATATATATATATATATATATATATATATATATATATACATATTACATATCTATTGTATGTAACTGTGTATTCTTTGCATCTTCAAATGTAATTATTTGATCAAGATTTCTTTTCATCGAAACTTACAGTCCGCAAGACTTTGTAATTATGAGACAAACGGTGTTCGTTATCGTGTGCTTTTTGGGCTTTGTCTTAGCGGGAAGTCCTAGATTACCACGAACATCCGCTGATCAGCGCAGCACACGTAGTGCGAGCCATAATAACACCGGCGCTACGCTACAGTCGTCTTCTCGCAATTTTCAACGAAATAGGTGAGAGATAGCATTTGTATTCTGCTTTTCTGCTTTTTTTATCAATATATCTTTTAGCTTCCTTCTTATTTCGATTCGTGTATATAAGTACAATTGAATTGATGAAATTTCTTTATTAGATGGGAACATTTTCTGACAATATTTTAAATTGTATACTCATTACATAAATTAAAATCAATATATTTTCCCTCAAAACTTACCGAGATTCCGCTTACGAAACTTTTCACTCATAATGTTACTATAGTTTGCAAATGTGTTTCACACGTGATGTTATCTTCAACAACATTAAATGTACGCGATATATCGTCTAGTAGGATATAATTAAAGCTAATGCGGCAAATATTTAGTTCGAAACAATAACACTTTTTTATTTATAATAATTTAATTTAAAATAGAATATCAAGAGGAAGAAGAGGAGAGGAGTTGATAATTAAATAAATTGTTCAACGATAAAATATAATAGCAATTATTATATTATTCAGAAAATTATTCATTATTATTAATTGTCACAAAAACATGAAAAAGTTGTAAACGCGATTGATTACATCATTATTAAAGACTGCCTTATTAATAAAAGATAGATAAATACTAAATATATATTGTTTGTTTTAGAGAACAATACCTTTTCAATGTCTTCGAAGTAATAGTATCAACTTTGGAGTCAAAATTGCAGCGAATCGAGAATTTGGACAAGGCGGTGGAACATTTAATGAGAAGAGTAGAGGCTTTAGATTCACGCGTAAACGATAATATTGATAAAACAGACGCGGTAATTACTAAACTCAGAACATTAGATTTGAAACTTTTTAGTGCATATCCTATCATGTCATCGGAAACTATTCACGCAGCGAGAATTACGGAAAATAAGGACGGAAGACATACCGAAGACAGTAAGTGCGCGATATACATCTTAAGCTAATTATATACTTGTTGTTTAAACGATTTCGTTTCTTTTTCTTTATACACAATAAAGATTATATTTAAACGAATGTTCACACGCGAGCACATGCATGAAAAAAAAGCTTCGTTATTGAAGCTCTAATTTAAAGCATGAATTGATATTTTTCGTGTATCCTATTTTCTCTTTATTATGTTATATTATTAATAATTTTGAAAATTTGAAGTAATTATATAGTTATTTATATAATCCATCGTAGCTCCATCGATACGTGTAATTCATGACGATCGAAACGATCGGACTCCTGAAACGCTTGGCGAAAAATTGGTTTCCTTGGATCAGAAAGTTTCCGATATCGATCATAAGCTTGTTAATCTGAAGAATCAGCTCGACAACAATTTTTTACAAAGTGATGATATAAATGCTGAAGCGAGTGAGAAGAAACCTGTCAGTATGAGTGTCATCGAAATCACTAAAGCTATGAGTAACGAAGTGATAAATCATATGACGATTGAAATTGAGAATCTTAGGCAAGCGACAGGTAGTATGGATCGAAAGCTTCAATTTCACATGAATTTGGTATCGGATAATCTCGGAGCGTTATATAATATGGTTAGCGATGTGCACGAAGCTATTGTCGAGAAAAATTATGAAAATAATCAACGACAAAATCATCTTAATTTAACAACGACTGAAGCCCCTCCAACGAAGCAAAGTAAAATCGATCGTCTTGTCGAGCAAATGTATCCAATGCTTACTGTTTCTGAAAAAATGGATCAAGTTTGGAATGTAGTGGTAATTTTAAGTTTTGATACGACAACAGCCGATTTGATGGCAAAGTGCAAAAGTGCACTGTACATATAATGTTGTTTAATATATACATATATATTTCGATCAACTTTACGCACAAATTATATTAATGTTAACAATTTATTGGGTAATATTAGATGGGGACCAAGAGCTCGGTGGATGATTTGTTGCCGAAATCCGACAAATTACTTACTCAGACGCAAAGGCAGGAGAGGGCAATTAGCGAAATTCATGCCGATTTAAGATCAAAAACAAATAAGATTATTGAGAACCTGGAGGGTGTCGAGAGCCGTTTGAGGAAGCAAGAGGACGATGTGGCCACTTTGGCGCAACGTCCGATTCCGGCTGAATTGCTATTAGATCCAACAATAGATCGACTCGTTGAATATGATCCAAGCAGGTACAAATTTCACTCTTAAATTACTTGTATTGTAATATATAGGGTTTGTGAAAAGTGTGGAAACCCTTCAATAATTTTTGTAAAAATGAAAATATAAAAAAACGATAAAACACGTATTTTGATTTTTCAAAAAAGCTACCCTATGATATGGATACCGATCATCCCCCATCCCCTGGTATGCGGAGGTAAAAGGGGGGTTGAAAATTTTAAATTGGAATAAGAATCGAGTAGGGGCTCAGTCGTAGCGACTTAAAATTTTAAGGGTGTGTTTGTTATGAAAAGACATTTCAAATAAGCCCCCACTCGACCCTTAGTCCAATTTAAAATTTTTAATCCCCCTTTTACCCCCGCGTACCAGGGGATGAGGGATGATCGGTATCCATGTCATAGGGTAGCTTTTTTGAAAAATCAAAATACGTGTTTTGATATTTTTCGATATTTTTATTTTGATATTTTCATTTTTACAATTATTTAGGGGTTTCCACACTTTTCACAGACCCTGTATGTAATAATATATGTAATATATGGGGATGTGTAAACGTTATGTTTCTCGACACGAAGAAGATTGGATAATAATGTTGTTGTGTCATAAAAATAATGATGTGATTCGTGGAGCACAATTTGGCACTAGAAAAACAAAAAATTTTTCTTTTTCTAGTGCAAAAGAAACATAATAACTTATACACACACAATATATTATATCATTATATTTTAAGATATGTAACCGAAGATTTTGCAACGGAGATGCCCTTAACATCTATGCTGCCTACCGCTGCACCACCTTTGTCAACTACAACATCGATATCGTCTGTTGCTTCACCCTCGAACAATCCTACTAATTCTACGACACCTATGACAGCAACATCTCTGAATATTACTGCTAAACCAAATAATAGGAATCGGGGAGTTATATTTCCGAGCGTAAAGAATAAGCCGAGCTTAACAAATTCTACTTTTACAAACGAAGTATTAATCAACTATAAAGATGTCAAGGTATTTTATTAATTTTTATCCTGCGCAAGATCTTTCTTCACCCAAAGTTGTACAATCATTTGAGCGTGAGAGATTTATAAAAAAATTTCACCGTACCACAATAATTAATGTATAATAATAATTATTGAGGACATATTATTGGAGGCTTTTAATTTTCTGTTATATTTCTCTACTATATTGTTAATTTCTAGGGTTATTCGTGTGTGGATTTATTAAACGGAGGAATGAGAGACAGCGGGGTCTACTATTTGCAAATACGCGGTACGACATATTGGTTCCTCAAGGTATACTGCGAACAAGAAATTGCTGATGGTGGTTGGACAGTGAGTTTATTGATTGCATTATGTGACGTATACGATTGAATAATCTATAATTGCGACGTTAAAAATTGTATTAAAAAGAATTAAAACAAAATTTTAATTTAAATTATATTGTCATTTATCGAGAGATCGATTAATATCGATATATATGTTACTGTATCTATAATCTGTTCCAATAAGGAAGAGACCGTGTAATCTCAACAATCGATAATAAATCGAAAATGATATATTTACGATAAATTTTAATTTCAAGGTTATTCAAAGGAGGGATGATTTTGGAGAGCCAAGAGAGAATTTTAATAGAGATTGGGGAGACTATAAAAATGGGTTTGGAGATCCTGCTAAGGAATTTTGGCTGGGCAATGAAAATATATACATGTTAACAAATAATGAAGATTATATACTTAGAGTTGAACTTGAAGACTTCGAAGGTAACAAAAGGTATATATATGCAGTATAAAATTTGCAGATTGATTATGATTTGATAGTTTTTCATAACTTTAAAGAATTATGTCAATATGTATATAGTTTACAACTTTTATTTTATGCAAATGTGTAATGTAATAAGTTTGAAATTTATCAAATATATTGCAATTGTGTAATTTGATTTTATTATCGACTATTAGGTATGCTCAATATTCGCATTTTAAGATTTATTCAGAGGGAGAATATTATAAATTAGAGATCGATGGATATGAAGGAAATGCTGGAGATTCGCTAAATGATCCTTGGTATGGCTCAAACAATAGCCCATTTTCTACATACAATAGGTAAGTGATGCACATACACGTATAACACTTAATGAATTACATTTTTGCATCTTTTTTATTATTAGTGTAATGATGCGCAAGATACATGTGTGCTTGCTGCAAAAATGCATTTGATTTAGATACATTTTGTGACTTTAGGGATAACGATAGATCATCTTTGAATTGCGCTTCGATGCTTAAAGGTGGTTGGTGGTGGAAATCTTGTGGACGTGGTTTGAATGGTCTTTATTTAAATGATCCACAAGATCTTACTGCACGACAAGGTATGTTTACAACTTTTTAATGTAAACATAAAGAAAATATTCATTAATAATGGAAGGAACATAAACCAGAGACTGTAAATATAGAAAGTCAAATTCTCGTCTTTGTATTAGTAAATAAGAGTCGTCTTATTTTTAAAGGTATTGTATGGTTCCGCTGGAGAGGTTGGGATTATACTTTAAAACGTGCATTAATGATGATTAAACCAAAAGGTCCAACAACAACGACAACAACAATAATGATATAAACATAAAAACGTGCGTGTGTAAGCTTTAAAACGTTAACTTGATCGAAATTTCTTGCGATTGTTAAATATACAATCTTGCACATATATCGTATTTAAATTATGTATTGCAAATATACACAGACAATTATTATATATATGGACATCAAAAATATCTTGTTTTTTCCTCAATTCTTCATTCACTCTACATCTACAATTTTTATAAAAAATATTACGATTCGAACTCTCTTTGTGTATTTATGGTATAATAAAATGATGCTATTTTCAATAAAAATTATATTTTTGACAATATTTTGCGCTTTAATATCTTGTAAATTTAAATAAAAGTTTGAATCTACAAAGTCAGTTTTGAAATAATTTTGTCATTTTGAATTTGTAATTAAATATATGATGCTGAATAAGTGACAATAACAAGATGAACAGATTCATTATTATATATTAATTATTAATTGAAAAATATCTGTGAAAATAAGTTACACAGAAATTATGTGAAAAGAGAAATATGTCGAGCAGCAAAATGAATATGTGTATATATTTTATCGTTTTACAAATTTTTAAATAAAATATTTCTTAAAATATACGAAAAATGCGATATTGTATATATCGAAATTTTAAATTTCAAAGATAAGAAACAAAATAATCATTTCAATTTAAAAATATGATAAGGCATATATGAGTTTCGATTAATTTGATTAGTGAACAAAGAAAGAGAAAGGGAATCTTAATTTCCCTTAATTCTTAAATAAATTCAGAATTTCTAATAAGAAAAAACGTAAGTTATACAAAAAGCTGCTGATTTTGGTTAATTTTTTTTAGGCTCGACAACACTTGCTATTAATATATATATATATATATATATATATATATAATATATTTTTTATATATTTGCGCTTGTGTATTTAGATGATGTGTTTTAATTAATACATTGCTTATATATATTTTCGAGCCATGCCGATAGAATTAACAAAAGCCCCAAAGTCAGTGTACGCTCGATCCGCTTTATCAGCTTTCCTTTGTAAAAGGTTCCAATTATAACATTTTTTTACAATTCCATCCCTTATGAAAAAAAAAAAATTACATATAATAATAGTTCTTCAATAATATATATTATTTGTTATACCATAGTGAGTTTTTCGTATTTTTGGTAGTTTTTTTTGTAAGGCGGGATAAGTACTTTACTAACAAAAAAAACAAATGTTATATGATATATTATTCCGTATATCTTTTTATTTTCTATTTATTTTTTTATTTTCAAAAATTTTAATGAGCGAATTTTATATATAGGTTGTTCGCTACATTATATATACTTAATTAAGTATCTTATTTCTATTCACTATAGCAGATCCGGCCTGGAAGGGGGTTAAATCTTCTCTTGCAAATTAAAAAAAATTCGTCGATGATCCTGGAATAATAGCTAAGCAAAAAATGAAACAAAAAATATTAGATAATTTTGCAGAACCTCCCCCCCCATTATCGATATCAGGATCCGCTAGTGTGTATATTTGTATGTGTGAAAATAGAAAAAGTTAGTTTTTCTCGATTATAATTATTCTGGATTGCATAGCGATTTCAAAATTCGTTAGATTATTCAGTTGTCGCACGATCGCAATGATATAAATATAAGTGGTGAACAGATATAATAACTCCGCAGGTATAACAAGCTGACGTTATAAACGTCAAAATAACATCGAATGACGTCGTTGACGTCAGCTTGTTACCTGGGAAGCTTTCATATATGATTATCAATAATCTTGGGTATATATTTTTCTATAATTAATAAATAATGAAATAAATCGACTAACCTTTCCCCGGCACCATTTTTCCTATAGAAACCTCTTCGTCGGGAACTACATCCTCGTGAAAGTTTGGAAACACTCGCGTTACTTTTTTTCGTTGGTGACGAGCGGCGACGCTCGGGTTTTTAGTTCTCACATCTTCGACGCGTTTCGATAAAACGCGAGAGCTTTGCGAGTGACCGATGCTCTGTTTTCGCGTCGTCGCTTTTTTTAAGGCCATTTATCAGAGGGGTTCATCGAACGACGACTTCCCCGCGACGCACTCAGGAGTCGCCGATATTCCAGAATGGTAAACGCGCTACAAGAGTGCAAAAATGTTGTGATTGTGAGATTTGCATATAATTTATATTATATAGATTCTACAGATTTCTTAGAATCTAAAATCATTTCTCCTTATATGACATTTGAATGAAAATAAATATATTTATTTATTCATAATAGAAGAGAATTACAATAAATACACTGCAAATAATATTCTATATATAACATCTGATAAATAATAATATTCTATATATATTACATTACCTTTATACATTATTATTATATTCCTTTTCCACAAGCAATTATACAATTTCCATTCTGAGATTAAAAAAAGACGCGAAAAATTTTCTAATCTTTATATAGAGAGATATTTGTCCATTTTAAAGTAATGCATATATATACATATACATACATACATATACATATATATATATATGAATATATATATATATATATATATATATATATATATATATATATATATATATATACATACATATATGTGTGTGTATATATGTATATAGTTATTATATAATTGTCTGTTATATAAATGTAAAAACTATATATATATATACATATACCCAGATAGCCACAGTAATTATTATAACATCATTTGACATCAAAATGATGTCATAATAATTACTGTGGCTATCTGGGTATATGTATATATATAGAGTTTTTACATTTATATAACAGACAATTTATACATATATTAAAATTATTTATTCATAGATTATAATTTAAAGAGTACCTACCACCTACACATATATAAGTAAACTATTTTTTATTTAATTTATCGTGCTTTTGATCTATTTATAATTTGTAATATTTATAATTTATAAAGTTATCATCGAGTTTCTTTTTTCTTCTTTAAATGGAATAAAATTGCGTGGCGGTGGATGATTGCATTTCTATTTGACCCATTTTAAATTGTAATCGATGTAACCATCGTAGGAGTACCGCATTTGATTCTCTTCGATTAGAAACAAAATGTTCCGCCATCCTGCTTGGTGGAAAATCGCGGCAATTCTGCAAACGCACTTGTAAGTTACCAGGTAGCTGTAAAATATAATAAATCAAAGTTAATCGAAACACCTTTTCGCTTTCAAATTATTAATTTTTATTGATTTTGTTTTTTTACTTGAACATGATGAGAAAATAAAATGGCGTTCCATAGAGGCAATAATTTACTTAGCAGAATCGATCCGCATTCCAACAAGGCCTCTAATAAGCTCAAGAAATGCAAATTGAGCATTTCAGACAACTAAAAATTTAAAAAATTATCTTTTTCATACATTCTTATTCAAATTTATGTTAAATGTGTCTATATATTAGATACAAGACCTTGAGTCAAATAATGTATATCAAAGATTGAACTTACGGCTTTCGAATAAGAAACGAGTTGCAAAATGCAGGGCGTTATCTTGCCCCAAAATTCTAGCAAAATATTCATAGTGATATTATGACTCTCGCTATTCGATGCGTTATTTTTTGATAATTCTTCCAAATATATCGTCCAAAGCTAAAAGTGAAACAAAACTTTGTTAATATTAATCAACATGTTAATATTAATGAACGCGTATGTATATAAAATTGTAAAATTTAATCTTAATGTATAGTTACTTGACAAAGAATAAACGCATGAAAGAGCGACGACATGTGGAGAACCGAGGTTTTGGATTGTTCTGGAAATCCTGAGAAAATCACTTGTATGTGATCGGCAATATGGCAAGATACTTCTTGCGGTATCGGTTGTGCTAACGGTACGGTTGAATGAGTATGACTATTCGTATTGCCAGCATACATGGCAATATGCGTCAACGATCCTAGCAGTAACCAAGATAAGAGTCTAATATGGGAGATACAATCGACGTATTCACGAGCACTAAAATATAAATATACGTGAATCCAAATCAATGCGCATCTAAATCGATTTTCAGAATTAAGATCAAGATCATTAAAAACTTTACGTCAATCTTGTTAATATCAGATAATGAGCAACCTAACAAAGAAAAGAAAAATATTAACATACCCTTGTTGTATAGAAGATGGTGCGGTGTATAACCACGGTAAGTAACGCGCGACAGCTCTGTTCTCTCTGTTGTTGCCCCTCGTAATTTCTAAAGCTACATATTGAGCAAGACCACACTTTAACATTCCACCTAACGTATCTTCGTTCAATCCAGCTTGCATACCTTTGCTATAACTCTGAGGAAAAAAAACTTGTTTAAAAATAGCACGAATGTTATCAATTGTCAATCGATTTACATTACACATATGTATATGCATGCACATCAGACGCGCGCATTACCTTGATCTTGCTTAAAGTGTGAAAATCAGCTAAAAATTCAAGAACATCTGATAACTGATTCTTTAAAGATTCAGAGGCGTTTGTATTATAGATCGGTGACATATCTATTTGAATATTATTTTCCATCGCGATAATAGTATTAGGCAAGGACCCCCCAATATCCTACACATTAACGGCATTATATTAATATTTTTTATTAGATTGCAAGTTGAAAACTACACATACGCTACAATTAATGTCATAATTAATTACCTGAAGCACAAATTGAAGAAGTAACAAAAAATTTGAATCCGGTATTGTAATTTTAAATTTAATAGCTTGAATTAATTCAAATACAATTGTCCTTCCAAAAAAGTGTTTGTCACGATCACGAGTAAATCCTCTGTGACATAAGTAGCACAGATCCGTTAAATAATTATATCGCAATGTTGAATTTTGTATGGCGTAACTTAATACTTTGGAAAATGGATCCAACATTCCCTAAAAGAATAATTGGGATACAGCAACATGTCTAGTGTGTAGAGATGTATTATTATTAAGGTTAACAAAATAGACAACCTAATATTTAATTTCAATAACCAAGAGGAGAGATAACTTTGGGTGAAATTAAATTCGATAAAAGTACCTTTGACTGCTGAATCCCTGGTACCTTCAATATAGAAATTATAATTCGTAAGAGAGGAGTGATATCTTCAATGGAAGAAAGCATAAGAACAAGTCTTCGAAATAATCCATCAAACTGCGCCAACAATCCGCTCCATGTAGCTGCACCAGGACCCAATCCTGCTTCCAATGGTAAACAATCCAAGTAACACGCAATATTGTACAGTATTATCGGCAGCCGTTCCAATGGCAATGATTTTTTCATATTTAACGTCTGAAATTGGAATTGGTAACATAAAACATGTATATAATTTATTTTCTCATATATTTAAACGATTAAAAAATACGCTTATAATATAAATTGTAAGTAATAATTTTGAGAATTTAATAATTGAGAAAATTTATTTGGCGCGTAATGTGCAATCCTCACAATAATTTCTTACTTTCTTACCTCGAGTAATAATTGCAGAGGCGCAATAGGATTTAATTCATTAAAATCGACTAAAGCTTGCGCGACACTTTTAAAAAACTGCAATCTCGTCGTTTCTGCAAATTGAAAAGAAAATATATTAAAAGAGGCAAGAACAAGAACTTGTTGTTGTTATTATTGTTATTATTATTCAAAATCTTTCAGATATCGATGTTGAAATAGACGCATTAGTAAAGTTTAATTGATAATTTTAGTTGAAACTTTCTACAGTTTATAATAAGCGATTAAAATGGGAGATTATTTTTGGAACAATTTTTTTAAAGCAGTTGATTAGTCACAATGTAACGGGCAAATCACATTAAATCTTTACCGTTTAAATGAGTCTGAAACATTTGCATAAACACTCCATTAGGTGCTAATTGGTGAAGAACACATCTAAGAAACTGATGCGCTACGCTAACCGCACCACCTGGCAGATGCATATTTGTTTCGCTTTGCCAAGGATACATTGCATTAAGCCCAACTCTGTATAAGTGTATTAGTATTAGTATATTATTTTATTAATATTTTAGAGTATTATTACTATATAAGACCAGAGGCGATAAAAACGATAAAGACTAGAGTAGAGAGTGCATAAAATTGTAACTAGTGTGTATATAAAAAGCTTCAAAATGTGTCATATATAAAAAAATCAAATGTGTCTTATAAAAATATATTAAAAAAATCAAATAGGTCATATATATAACAATACTTTATTACATCTTACTTGGTAACTACGCCGAGTATTTCCGGCAATAATGGTGCCGCTAAAGATGGTTCTCGATGAATAAACGTTCCCAAGGTTATTATACATAATCCGAGCTCTTCATCGGAATACTCTTCTTTTATCGTTCCGCACTCTGAGCACCTGTATCATAGTTGATTGAATTCGATTCAGTACGATGCAAAAATAACTGCTAATAACATCTAGCGTGCCAAATTATACCTATCATAAACGCAATCGTCGCCGATGCGAAATAAACTCTGCTTTAAATTGAAATCTGCATGATATGCTTGTTGAGAGACAAAGTCTAAATTTTGTTGAACTTGTGGGCCGGACCTATCGGATAGGAGAGCAATTTACCACTTGTGGTATGATAATTATTTGAAATTGTAAATCCGTATATAATATATATTTGTGCAATCGGCGCGTGAAAAGTCGCCCCTTTACGCACATGATGGGATTTTAGGAAAGGCTCCCTTTCCACGCACCGGTCACACAAAATATCGTAGCCAACATGTGCGGGTCATAAATCGGCCGATCGTGCGGATTGTCACACGCGGCTTCGCCTCGTGCGCCCAATTTCCGCACTCTCGGCCGATTTACGATGCACTTGTTAGCTAATACTATTTTTGTGTTAAAAAAATACTACTAAGAAAATAAGGATATATATATATATATATATATATATATATAGGTGTGTGTGTGTGTGTATACACACATACACACACACGAGGATTAGTCCAAAAATAAATTTCCCTACTTTCCCTCCCCCTCCAAAAAACCGACAATGAACAGGTTTCTTGGGTAGAGATTCGCCCATTGTCGTTTCTTAAAAAACTTACTGTTGGATTAATCGTCGTATATTAATAACGTAGCAATGTATTAGATATATGCTATGGAAAACGTTACCAAGACTCTGTCCGTCTCGCATGAGTAATCGCATCTTGATCTGTAGTCGTAATTTTTCGCATCCTGTCACGTTGAATACGAAACTGATCTCTCGATTTAATCTTCTGGTCGTAATCTGCTACTTTCGAGAGAAAATCTCCCGAATCAACCGCTGGTGGAGATGATTCTAGAGCCACTTGTTTAATTAATCTTCTCGGACTTGGTGATCTGCTCGAATTAACTTCATTGCACGTCGGTACGAGTGACGCTGACTGTAGACAAACGTAATCGAATAAGCGTTCATTCTTTTATTAATATATTTTATTATTAAAATTAATTTTCATTTAATAAACATTTTTAAAAACACTAAACATTTATTTTTCTCGATATATTAGTATCAAACCTTTGTTTTAGTTAAAAACGATAAACATTTTTGCAGATTTATCTTTTAAATCTGTCTTAACAGATTGTCCATTTCATATAAATTGGAATTGTATATTAAAATCCAGCAAAAATTTATATTTATAAAATAGGAGAGGCATTGCATTACCATATTTTCGGATGTTCCGCTATCCTGTTTCGTAAGTACTATGTCACGAGTGTTATGTTTTGCATTGTCATTTGATTTATTTGTATCTGAAATATTTTTAAGTACATTAATTTGTAAAGTATTTATTCGTTTGATGACAATTTTCAAAAAATATACAACTATATATTAGTCTCTATCTCTATAAGATATTTACACGAAAACAAAAAAACAATCAAAGTTTTTTTAATAGATAAGATTTAGAGAAGAGTTTGTGTTGCCTGTTATGTACAATGGAAATTTTTTCAATAAAGGCTGTGTGGCAAAAATTAATTTAAAGAATGCACGTCTAAATGTATATATATATTTAGACGTGCATTCTTTAACTTAATTTTTGCCGTACAGCCTTTATTGAAAATATATGTATACATACATACATACATACATAGATACATATACATATATATATATATATATATATATATATATATATATTAGAAAATTAACGTATACCTTCGACATCCGAGATATCGAGAGCCTGACGTACTCGTTCGACGAGACTGGGAAAATCTCTCTGAGGACCACCAACCGGCAGTAATCGTTCTGGCGTTGGAAACTCCAGCTGAGAAACGCTATGTAGACTCGTAATGTCGCTGGACATGCAAGTCTCACTGTCTTGCTCAAATGAAGAACCTAAGAAAAAAAGGAAATTATAATCGAGTCTTTAAATTATTCTTTTCTTTTACTATTAGAGCTCTCATTTCAGTTATTATCTATTTAATTATTTTAAAAATTTTACTCACTGACTGTCAAAATGTCCATCTTTGAGAGTGGTGATTCTGGAGAGCCATATGTGTCTTCGCATTTCAATACACGTTGCGTAGTTCGCGATCCTTCAAAGAAATTTCATTTAAGAGTGTTATACGCAATATACGCAAATAACATCACTGTCACGACAACGTAAGAATATCAAATATTCTTACATGGAGTTTAAAACAGAACAATATACCCTGATACTCGTAAAATCGGACCGACTTGAAACCCATGTGAGAATATTTGACATTTACGTTTAGCGTGATAGTGTGTTAGATGTTACGTACATATACATATAGTACGTCATGTTTTATTATTTATATATTTAACGCATTTGCACAAAGTACATTATTTGTATTATGAATAATACAAGTAAATGTGCGTGAGAACTTGCATGTGATAAAAAAAATATTAAGAGAAGATATCTCAAGCATAGATATGAACGTAAAGATACGAGATATCAGTAGAGTTATAGAGTAACGAATAGTATACTCATGCTTGTTTGTGGATTTTAAAGTAGCCAACTTTCAAGTTGTAATATTGTAATAAAATAAGTTGAAATTTAAAGTAGACATATAAAGTTTAGATACACCAGAAGAAATTTTTCTCTTTGTTCTTGTTATATCGCGCTGTAACGTGAATTGCTGATAAGAATCGCTTACCAGTCGCGCGAGCTATTGTACCAATAGGCAATAATCTTTCAACAGTCGGAGTAGTCATCAAGGGTTGCGGACTAATAGGAAAACCTCCCGTTTGTTGTCCATTGTTCTCCATGCTTATGACTTGCGATGATATAGAAGAACTCAGTGCTGGTGAACTTGAATGATCACTGTTGGTCACTGTAATCACTTGACAAGGTGAAACTGGCGACGTCGCTGTAATTGTTATTTGTTCTATATGTTTTTGTCTACCTAAATGCTTCGCATTCAGCGACTCGGTGTTATTAACAGTGCCTGTAGATTTTACAAGCATTTTATCCTCTTCCTTTTCTTTCTCCGTTTTCTTTTCTTTGCCCTTTTCCTTCTCTTTTTCTTTTTCCTTCTCTGTTTCTTTTTCCTTTTCTTTCTCTTTTTCCTTTTCCTTCTCTTTTTCCTTTTCTTTCTTTTTTTCTTTTTCCTTTTCCTTCTCTTTCTCTTTTTCCTTGTCAAATCTAAAAGTTTATATAAAAAGCATATATATATATATATGTGTGTGTGTGTGTGTGTGTGTGTGTGTGTGTGTGTGTGTGTGTGTGTGTGTGTGTGTGTGTGCGTGTGTGTGTGTGTGTGTGCGTGCGTGCGTGTGTGTGTGCGTGTGTGTGTGTTAATAAGAATAAATATTTATCTTTAACAAGTTACATTGAACAACACAATTAAAAAGATGATTGATGTTGGATACGATAGAATTACGATAAAATATAATAAAATATAATATTTAATATTAAATATATGTATAAGCATGGTGGGGATTATCAAAGACTGAAACTTTGTAGAAATGTAGAAAAAATAAAAATAAGAAAAGTGCGTACAAAAGCGAGAAGAAATAATTTGTACTAATTTTCAATGAAATAATTCAAAGTTTTACATCTTTAATCATTGTTGATAAATAATTTGTCGATTGTAAAAAGAATAGAACAAACTTGATTACATACAATTATTTCTTTTGAGTCTGTACGCAAAAATCGAAGAATTACCTTTGGATATGAGAAATGCTCGTAGCAACGGCTAAAGCGCTCGATAAATCATAAGGTTTTGACGAAACAGTATCTCCATTATACGGCAAATGTCCTTTTCCATTCTTTAGCGATGGCATAGTTGTCTTAGATTGAATTTTTGGAAGCTCCTGTTGTCCGGTTAGAAAGGTACCCGTTACCATCATTTTCACTCCTTCGTACACGCTCCATTTTTTTTGAGATCCGGTTTTATTTCCCTGGAGCAAAAGATGACATGTTTTTAAGTTATCGACAATTTTTATTTATTTATGCTTTCATTTCAAATTGTTTTACTTTATTAGACATCAAATTCTTAAAAACAGTACGTTTATCAAATAACGCTTTGTTTTTCTCTATTTTTTGTCCTTAAAGTAATATTTATCGATTGCTTAAAGTAATTATTATCGATATTTTTCTGCAAATATTAATTCCTTTATGTTTAATTATAAAATATTGAGTTTTTATTTCATCCAATTGGACCTTTTTTCTCCAATAAACACATATCAACTAAATACTAAACTAAAATCTTACACGCATGTTAATTTACAAAACAAGTATTGTATAATTACTGACCTGACAAACTTCGTCTTCGTTTCCTAAAAACCATATAGGTTTCGTGACAGATTCTGTTCTTGACTTAATAATGTTTCGATTATTGGATTCAATATTCTTTCCGTCCGATATCGACATACGTGGCTCTTGAAGAAGCATATTTTGGGGAGCCGTATCCTCTAACTCACCGAGAGATCCGCCGCTGTTGTCATGTAAGGTGCTGTCAGATTTTGGACTCTCAGGAATCGCGGCCAGTTCAGACTCCGTATCATCCGCATTGATCGAATAACTTTGCAAAAGCATTCGCAATAACGACAAATTGTGACATTGAGAACAAAGGCGTAACAATAGTAATATGTGATACGCCTATCTTAAATATTACTGAGAAAAATATATGTAAACAAGAAAGTCAATCAAAGTTGAAAAGTGTAAATTATGTATAAGTTATGAAATAAATATTTTTAAAAAAATTCAGTACAGCGTACCGTCTTTCGCGTAATATTTACCAAGATTTATGTCAATACTGCACAATACGTCAATATTGCTTTTTCATAATTTTATGCCATACAAGTTAATGTGTTATAACTATATGATTTCTTTCCATTCGTCAAATTTTTATACAAAAATTACAGATTGTTTCAAACAAAGAAAGAGAGAAGGGGAAAAGAGAGACTTGTATGCACCGGCGACAAATTTACCTAGTGAAATGTTTGCTGAAATAACGGCAGATTGGACCATTATTTTCTTCCCAATGAGTCTCCATTTGTCCGTGCATTCCTCCAGGACTGCGCTGATGCACCGAGACCATTGATGAACGCATTGGCGGAGTTTCCGTGTCCATCTCCCCCATTGCATTCGTTGTCAACTCATGCTCCACTCCAAGAGAAGGCTGAGATACATCTGAAATACTTATTTTTAGTACACTGTATACAAATTACCTTGTCATGTAACATTTTTTTTAAATTTTTTAATTTTTACCACGTGATCTGGAAGGTGGCGCAGCCATAACTACAGTCGCTGGAATTCTTTTACATTGATGATGTTGCGTGTCAAGTGTATTCATCACTATCTTTATTAATGCTTGAAGTTGATTGCACCACGGTTGTTGCCCGTACTGACACTGAAGGAACAATTTATTATTTGTGTAAAAAAAAGCTTGTATCTATTTGTTTTGTAAAGATGTAAGGATTCATAAATAATGTAGTAAAAATGTAGTTCTTTGAAAAGAAATCACTTTTTCGCGTATTTTTTCATCTTAGAAATATGTACAACACATGTGCATTTTACTTTACTTTTTGAATAAGCTTTCTTCACCTTGTATAAAATAACAAGCAGAGACATCAACCAAGATCGCCTAATGTGTGGTTCCAAATACCAAAGACTGTAACTTGGTGGTTGATGATCAGTGGGAGGTGTAGTTTGCGGAGGGCAAGGACAATGTTGTAGTATTGCCAGAACTGGCGGCGTCATTACCCAACCCATGACATGATTCTGGTCTAAGAGTTGTGGCAAATTGGCGATAAAGACGTTAAATACTGGTGATAGCCTATAATTTTATATTTTATTGTTATAAATTTTACCAGACCGAAAGATGAAAATAACAAATATTGTACAAGTACAAATTGATCAGATTGATTGCGCAATTTGATGAATTCATTGACAAAATCTTTTTTCGTTTGTTTGTGAAAATTTTACATAATTAGATATAATTTGTGTTTGAAAATTAATAGACTTGTCTAATATATTATAATTTAAATAATTAAATAATTTATATATATAATTTAAAATGTGTGCATACACAAGGTGTTCCAAAAGTTCCAGGCCTGGATATTTCGAAAACTAAGCAACGTAAAAAGAATATAATAAGATAGTCAATATAATAAAATCAATCAATTAGTATTAAAGAAAATAGATAATTGTTAAAAAAATATGTAATATTCAATATGCAGCTGCATACTTTTATTTATAAGCAACTATGTGCTGTTTTACACTAATTCATTGGTCTTATTATTTCGTGAAAAAAAATATTAAGGAATGATTACCGAAAATGAAATATTTTACATTTTATGTTAAAAAATTGTTAACTTCTAACCTTTATAACTTAAAGAGTACTCCATGAAAAAGAATTTTATTATAGTGTTTTGGAAAGCTCTCAAGATAAGCTATAAGAATATGGAATAAAAAATAGAGGGATCCATTAAAAAAATTAAGTTGATCTTGAAATAACCTCTAAATTGGACCCCAAGGTCAAAGTCGAGGTCATCAATAAATGCCTTATTGTGAGCCCTACAAGTTATTGGAAACATTTTTTTCTACTATGCTTAGCATTCAAAATATTCAGGTAGCCCGGAACTTTCGGAACACTCTGTATATAAAATGTGTATACATATATACATTATAGTACTTTGTGTGTATAATCGCAAAAAAAAAGTTGTATAGAAATCTCACCTTAGACGTTGTGGAGCAGTATGAAAAGTGCGCTCAGTTTGATTATATCCTAAAAGAAGATACAGGTGCCGCAAAACTATGCCCTGTGTTTTTGATAATGGTTTTTCGTCCGTCGGATAAGCCTAATGAAATTGTATCGATACGTAAGTTTGGATACACTAGATTGAAAGAATGTGTTGTTCGAAATATTTTATGAATATATATATATATATATATATATATATATATATATATATATAATCTTGTTCGATTATTTTTTCTTAGTGTACAAGTGTATTTCTGTATCGTTCGAATAAATTGACATTTCACCTGATCCTGTCTCGAAAGAAATTGCATTAACAGAAAGATTAATAGGTGCATCGTTTCTTTATCCGCTTCTTCCAGATCCACAATTTTGTGAGTGTATCCTGGTAACGCGCTAGCTTCATCGACCATGTTCAGTGAATGTATATGACCATCTGTAAGATTTACCAATATTAATTTTCTGTTCATTCAACACATTAGTTTTATACAGACTGAAAAGAAAAGAACAAGTTCTACTATATAAGAACAATGTATAATATTAACTAATTCTACATCTATTTGTAATTTTTTTACGAATCAAAGAATTAGTTTTGTAATATATTTTATATATGTATATATATATATATATATATATATATATATATATACATATATAAAATAAAATACGAGTTAACGTTTAACAACAAAGGAAAAAACATGCGCATTACATTTCATCTCAAAGGCTCAAAGTCGAAGCGATCATTTAATGAAGATCATTTAAAGCAAAGTTATATTTTGAAAATATAAGGAAAATGTTTATTTTTAACATAGAGAAAGAAAAGGGAATACTTTCCGTTATTTTAATTCACAAGAAAAAGGCATCCTCTTATAGTTTCTATCGATAATATGAAAAGAAAATTTCTTTCGAGCTAATCTAAAAATTTTACAAAATAGAAAAAGAAGGCTTTTATATGACTTATACAAATAGGAATGATACAAATGTGCAGAATGTTTAGAACAAGTCTATCGAAAGCAATATTTTGATATTGTACAATTGCTTTAGCGAGCATCGTCAAAGCATACCATCTAGCAATCTAGCAAATTAGCAACTATAGCAATGATGCAACTCTGCATTGCTACTTACCGTTTGATCTGTTCGACCTACTCGAACGACCCAACTGCAGTCGAATGCTTTAACATCCGTATAATACAAACGAGCAACATTTTGGCGCATATACACATATTTATCTCTCGTCTCGTCTACAGCTACGCAGGCAACACACGCTACTCTACCTGGGATACTGTTATTAGGCGGGGTAGACCCCAACAACTGACCCAATCCAAATCTCGAGCTCTTCCTTTTCAAGATGGGCGCGGAATATTGTCGGTTGTACACCTTTTCCTTTTCTGCGTGAAAGATGCGGAAAACAAAAGAAAAAAATAACACATAGTGTACGACATAGTCTGTGGAGTGCGCGAAGAGGCAATAAAATGAATTTAAATAAAGCATAGGAACGCTTATATATATGTTTGTACCTTGTTTAGTATCTTGTCGAGGTATCATCGACGCAGGCGCGGACATTGTACGCTTGTAAGGCCATTTTGTGCCGAAACTCGCGCTCAGCGTTTTTACGGAACTCGTCCCGCTACCATCCGATTGAGATAGCGCTTCATGCGCCCGATGCAACTTCTTCATAAACACTTCGCTATTCAAATCTGTATTTTTCAAATCTGAAACGAGCGGGAAAAGCTCCATCAACTATCATATTTTACTTCCGCAAATGCAATTAAATACAATGTTAATACTTATTAGATATAACAATACTAACCGCGCATATAAGCTACATCTCCCGATTTCTCCAAGTTGATTTGGGCTTCGAGGAATAACGTGTCGAATCGATTCAAGAAAAATTCCCACGTTAAGATACGCCGATCGCTGAGGCTATTGTGTAGCTGATAGAGCGATTGTAATACCATCGGCCGGTCTACGATTACAGAATCGAATTGTGTCTCCAGGCATAAAATTAACGACTGAAATCGTTATAAATAATATAGAAATACAGACTTAAAATACATATCTAAATTAAATTCTTTACAAAAATTAAACGATCGAAACGGTAGATTCGAGCAAATCAATTCTTTATTAAAAATATAGATTTAAATATATAATGATATAAAAATTCGTCTTATTTAATGTCTAATATTTGAAACATAAATTTAAAGATAGTAAGACTCACTCTGATTGCTGCGTCATGAATAGTTCCGAGATATAAGGTTGCACGTTGCGCGACATACACATTATTGTCGTCCATGCTTGTAATCAAGTAACAAAACGCATTTGTTAATGCAGCTTGAAGACTCAATATGTTTCGCAATGGCGTCGAGTCCATGAATCTTGCAATTAATGTAACACGCTCGACTGAAATAATATATATATATTCTCTATATTTAATCTTTCTCTCTATTTAATCTGTCTAAATATATGCGATTACCTGCGACGAATCTAACGCGCCAATCAGAATTGTGAAATTCTTCTTGTACAAGCCGCCAAAAAGTATCAGTGCCACAAGGTAATGTCACGCAATGTAACAATAGTGGAACAGTCACTTGTGCAATATGCGAATGTTCTGCATTTAGGAGTTCCCATAAACTATAATAAAAATGAACAAATATTAAAAATTGAAACATACAATTCTTATGATACTTATAAAATATATAAAATATATGTTACTTTTTTATCAATAAGTTTTCCTGGCACCATATAAAGAATCCTTGATGATCCTTCACGGCCGTGTTAAACGCATCGCCATATAAACACATTACATTCAAGCATTGCAGCATATAGTAAAGGATGTCAGGTTTGTCAATTGTCATTATCTCCTATAAATAAAATTTTTATACAAGATTATTTTTTTTAATCTTATAAAGTTATAAAATTAGTCTTGGTTGACTTAATAAAATTTATTCTTGTATATTTGTAAGTCTATTATAATATTATAATTGCAATTAAACTTTTTAAATACTTGTAGGATTTAACACATAGTTATATGTGAATAAATAAGCAGAATATATGTATATATCAGTATATAACATACAACCCCATATATTACCTTCAATAGTTTATGGATATACTGAAGTTGTTCCGGCAATTCTTCTATCGTAAAACGAAACTTTCCTACAGAGGTATGCCAAAAATCATCTAAATCAGCTTCTGGACTTACAGGTTCATCGTTTTCGCCAATCAAATGTGGTTTTGCTACGCTTACCGTCGCGGTAGCTAAAAGCGCATGTGTATTTTTGTGTACTCGTTCATATAACAGACACATAAATTTCAAAAATTAAATATATAGTTATTAAACAGATGCGATATAAAATATTGTCTTACCGACATCAGTTTCGGATAACGTAACAGTTCTCGCGACAGCAGACATGATCTTCTCCGTTGGCATAATAGCTGCGAGATCCAGCTGTTCCGAAACTGTCTCTACTGTGGCTGTCATAATCTGTTCGAAAAACTGACATAAACGATCAAAATAGCTAATCCGGTAACATAGATTAGCCTACCGTGTTTTGTGATCAGGCCGTGTCGCAGAAGAAGAGACAAAGAGAGAAAGAGACAGAGAGAGAAAAGCACATATACGGACATATATTGTGTGTATGTATTGATATATATACACACACGCACACATAATTAAAACAGTTCAAGTCTGGCATGCGCTGCTTCATTAACGGAGAATTAGTGTGAATAAGCAGCGAGCTTATAGAGACGACATGATATTTGTCTCATTGCAAAACAAAATCTTCATTTCCAGTAAAATCATAGAAATTTAATCCTCAATGAGACAAACATCAAATATGTTATTAGTTGGTGCTTGAGAGAAAGTTTGTCATTATAGAGAATTTATTTATTAAAAAATACATACGTGTGGCATGTGAACTAAAACTCCACCTACGGAATGCATTTCTGGCACTGGCATGCTGATAACTACATCTGATTTCGAATCACTCTTTTTCGTTTCTGGTGAGCTCTTACGGCCATAATCTTCCGCTGTCTCATCCACAATTGTCTGAAAGATATATAGATTTAATTATCTTTTTTCATTTTTGATCTATAATGTTAAGAATGTCAAAAGTAATTTATAAATTGCCATTTATCAATATTTATTCCACTATTATTATAATTAATAATCAAATAAATCCAAGTTTTAACTAACATCAGGAGGATACGCCGGATTTTCCGGTGCCATGTAAGTAATCAATTGCAGACACAATTGATGCCAAATCACTCTCGACTCGCAATAAGTGCATTCGGTGTCCGATACATCGCATATATGACAGTTGTTCCAATTAGATGCAACTATGGATTTCATCAAATGGCAAGCATCTCGGCAAACCCAGGTATTAATTCCAGTATGCTTATCCATATTTTGAAGCTCCATCTGCCAAGACCAAACTTTTTACTTTTCTTTATTTCGTTGTTTCTTCATTAAATCAATAAAAACTAAAAATTCTATGCACCACAAATATATGGATATTTACTTCTCTCTTACCTGTTTCAGCAATATATCGAGCATGAGAATACAACAAGATAAATTAAGTTCGGCATTTGTCGAAAATTCCATATGTCTTGGTGTTGGTACCATATCATCGGACAGTGGTGTCGACTTTCCCGAATCATTTTCCACTATGGAACCTAGATATTTTAAAAATATATTTTCAGAAATCACATAATATTCAGGTCGTAAAGAGATTTGCAAAAGAAATCTCGTTCAATATATAATTAATTCTTGCCACATTTGTCGCAAAAATATTATGAACTTTGAGATATTAATTTTTAATCAACAGAGAATGCGATTGCAATTGAAATATTCATATTTTTTCGTGTGTATATATGTATATTACTCAAACTTTTGTCTTGTACACTCATTACGTATTAATTACGAGAGATATATTTTAATATCGTCAATATACTAGGGAATAGCTTTAGAATATGACACAAAAAATGTATTATAATCCTAATTACATACATGTAATATTTCCATCGTTATCCTTTGTAGATTTGCTTGGTTTTAATTCCGATTCCGCACAACTCATCGATTGCATTACGGCAACTCCGTCACTGAATATCGAAAACAGTTGGTCCAGAGGCATAGTTATTTCCAGCATAGTAAGTGTCTGCAACCAATTAAGAGCCTGTTCTTGTACTTTTGCGCTCGTATTGACAAATCGCTTCGCTACGAAGTTATACATCTTCTTTGTATCAAACCCCAAAGAATTCATATCTCGATCCAAAATTTTGCTGTTAAAACGCAAAAATTTATAAGAATAATTTTTATAAAATTGGAATTTTTGTTATTAATTAATTAGAGAAATTGGGATAACACACAAAAAACGATCTATACCTCAATATTATTTTTAGCTCTGAAAGTTCATGTTCAGGAACATCATTTACTATTGCTTCCATCCAATGTGGCATTACGTAATCCCATACATCGGACGTGATCACTTCATATGGTACCAAACAAAATAGCCGATGAAGTCCGTCTTTCAAATGTGACGTTCGTGAAGCCAAGGTTTCCCTTTCACAAATAATTTTAATTATATTCATGTAATGTCTAATGATAAATAATAGTTATATTCTAAAAATTTTCTATACAGCACGCGCACATAATTTTTATTTTACATATAATTTAAGATAAAAACTTTTCATTTGTCTTGAGCAAAAATAAAAATCTCCTTACCAATGACCTCCAACCCTGACATAATCCGCAGGATGTGGTAAAAGACAGGAAATGAATACTTCATAATGCGTCTTCATAACTTCCGAAAGCCAGCCACAAACGTGTTCCGTTTTCAATTTCTCGAGCGCGCTTTCCGCTTGGCCTGAAATATTATCAATCGATCGAAAAATTAATGATGACAAAATAAACATTAAAATTAATTTAAAAGAACACTATTGTAATTTTTATCATTAGACTACTAATATAATAGCGTCATAAGATACGATCGAAACACAAACAAATTCAACTTTTCCTCATTTTATCATACTAGGATACAAAGCTATCTCCTTCAAAGTATTCATTATACATATTTGAGTGGAAATTTCGAATGTGTGTCGAGTCGTGTGTAGGCAGCTATCTTTGATATACATATTTTGCGTGCAATTATATATTGATAAATTCTTGAATCAATGGCATCTATATATTTAATCTTTAAGACGAAATAGATCGAATTCGGCTAAATATTTCGTTAGGCATATTTCTGGCCCATTTTCCAAAGGCGCGATTTTTATATCGATACATATAAGTTTTAATTCGTAAAATTAAAAAAGTGCTTACACTTTGTGGATTGCACATATTTAGCCGACATACCACGCTCTACCCCGCTCTACCACCTACGTCTGGCTACGTCTACTTGAGTAAAGTGTATATATGCAAAGTGTTAAATTACCAACAGAAAAGATAAGATGTATAAGTCTTTTTTCAATACCATCGAAACAGTAGGCAGTGACATGAAACCAATGAAATAACATTGACAATAAACGGCCCAGTATTTCAACCGGGGTATCCTCATTAGGGGTACAAAGTCCCACAAGCAGCCATACGCCATATCTGCCGAGAAGTTGTCGCTCTTCTAAACTCGTAGGATCGCAGTGACTTCCGAAAGTACTTCCGATAGCTCCACCTCCGCCACTTCCTGAGAATCCCATGCCTCCCCCCTTGTTAACGCCGCTCATTTCTGTCATGTCCCGATTACTGTCGACGTTATGCGGTTCGGCTTCCTTCAGCAAACTGTGAGCAAAGTGAGAGAAGACGCGTCACTTAACGTCTTTACGCCTTTACACGGTGCATAAATACGAATAAAATCGCGATATAATTATCCTCGACAGTTCAAGTAGCGCTTGCCTGACGATCGCTTGAACCATATAAGTTTGTGTTTGCGGATCCAGCTGCGAGATGTGTGGAAGCGCCATGTGATAAACATGATCACCACCACGACGATTATTATGACGGATATTATGACATTGCTGACAATATCGTATAGGATGATTTCCATTGTAACTCGCGCATTCGGTCGAAAAACAAATGCTGATGGCCGATTTGTCGGCGGCTCTGCAATTCTAATTGTAAAATGGAAAATTAATCCACTTGAATCGAATATTAGTTTAAATTTTTAATAATCGAGCGATACACAAATGTGACACGAAATTTATTATTACTCATTCTATTCAGTTATGCTTATGCTTACCTTGTTTTCGCAAACCATGGATACTTGTTGCATCGGATGTAAAATATCGTAAAACATTTGATTTGGATGCTCTCGATGGATCTCGTTGGCACATTCGATACAAAGATAGAGAGGTGGCGGAGATTCTGTGGCAAATGTGATGGAAATGCGATGATCGTAACAAACTTTTCCAGCTTCCGCGTTGCCAGCATTCGGACAGCTGTCCCGTTGACATACAAACGGAATAAGATCGTCTGAAACGCAAATAAGTATAAGTATTCTTTCACATCTCAAGAATATCGTTAATTTATAATAAATTTATATGTAAAAAAAAAAAAGTATACAGGGTGTCCCATTTAAACTTAGACACCAAAATATCTTTCGAACAATGCATTTCAGAGAAAAATGTTTCAGACAAAATCGATTTCGAATGGAAAAAAAATAAGCGTTATTGACTTTTTCCTAAAGATCACTTTTCAAGATTACTTATGTTTTTTTAAATAGAACCATATTTTTATATATCATATATCTATGCATGCACATACATATGTGTATGTATATATAAATACTCACTCGCAAATTTTACCAATACAGCACGGCGATCAAATAGATTTGGATTAAACGACGGCCAATAATAAAAAAGCAATTTTGCAGCTGATGCTCTCGCCGGGGCAGTACCATAAGCGATAACGCAAAGTATATCTTTTACGACTCCTGGTTTTCGAGCCATCAGACATTCCAGCAATTGACAGTGATGCGCTAAAGAAAATATTTATTTTTATATTATACATATTGTAATGTTTATATATATAATTCTTCTCATACAAAACAAATTACATACATCATTACACCAATTTTTGTAATAACAATAGACCTCCGAAAAACTTTAAAATGCCGACACATGGCAAATAATTAATTCAATTCTATAATTTTAATCTATAATTTTATATGAGATACCTGGATTATTAGAATATTGAAACACCATCATTATAACAGCAGCCACCGATTGACTAGCAGCATTCTTATCACCAGCTTCAATTCTTCTTGCTACAAATTAAAATATTCGTTATATAAAATCAATCAATCTATTGTTAATTAATTATAGTTATTTAATATTTGATGGATGTTATGTTATAAAAATAAAAGTAGTAAAATTATTAAAAAATTATAATTTAAAAATTATATTAATTCTAAAATAATGAGTTATTCTACATATTATCAACCTGTTTCTTACTTGGCTAGCGGGCCAATTTCTCGTTCAATCGGAAAAACTCCTATCTTGGTAAAATAATAAAACTTTCTTTATGCACACAATCTCTCTCAGATGCCATTCTCTCTTGGAGAGAGAAGCAAAGGTGCTTGTCATATAAGATGTGAACATCAAGTGATACAAATAGGACAAATGTATAGTAAAAGTACTTACTGATAGTAAATGGCAAAATGTAAAAACAGAGGTAATTGACGATTTCTTCATGTAGTTCCATAGGAAGTACCGATATTGTACTAGCAGTTAAATATGATAAATTGTCAATCAAGTCGTGATCAAGAAATGGCAATAGGCATGCTAGACATTGCAACAAAGCTTTTCCAAATGCTAGAAAATAAATATTTTACATATATATATTGTGTACAAAATTATATATATCAGTTGTGTGACAAGAACAATATTGTTTTTTAAAAAAATGGAAAATAAAATTATTGTAATATATTGAAAGTAGATAAAGTATAAAACTCTTGCTTGAAAAAAATTTATCAATGGTTACCTTCAATTACTGTTATAATGACAGTATGGAAAGATATAATACACATATATGTATACATATATTTATAAACCTTGCAAACCAATGTGGATCAATGGCACAACATCAATTAGTTGTGTTAATGCATTGTAAAGTTGTTTATAATCCAAATTTGGATACAAAGCCATTCGTTCTCCATCAAACTGCTGCGATTTGATCATCTCAAATGGCGCTTCGCGTACTTCTTTTAACAAAGCTAAAAAATTTCAATCTTGTTGCATTATTAGATGGATTTCAAATTATAATATGCATTAAGAACAATAACACAAATATTAAAACATATATATGAAAATACCCATTATAATTTATACAATTACTTACACAACAAAGTTTGAGAAAAATATTTTAGCGTATTTGCAATGTCCAAGCCAGAAGGCATCGGCTGAGTCCCGTGAAGTAGCCGTTGATAATAATCATGTAGACTAGTCAATTTTAGACTGTCTGCAATTTGAAAAAAATATTTTAATATAAAAAAATACAGAACGTATATCGTTAAAATTTTAAATATTACGAAATTAATTTAAATTTGTTCTCAATAGATAAAAAGTCATACATATATATGAAGAATATGACAGAAGTAATATATAAATATGATAATTACATGCTGCAAATCTGGTTCCCATCGTGTAAATCCACTTGACAAACTTTTTCTTATATTGTATACAAATATATTTGCATCGCAATAATTAAAATTTAATAAATTATAACAAGATGACCGATTTAAACGCGTTAGTTGTCGAAAAACATTTTGAAATAGGCCTATGTGCAATGAAAACAATCTTGTTCCCTACGTGCAAGCGAAAAATTTTCTTCCTACTTCCTCGAAGGAAACCGAGATCAATGCTGTCAAGTTGTGTAAATTTTTGTGTCCCCACTCCCACTCCATAATCAAATCAAACAACATATATATATATATATATATGTATATTACACCAAGAGGTCTGTTCGTTTTGGCTACACTGGCTACACTAGTTCAGAGGTTGTCTTTTTTTGCTCGGCATTGGAAGGAAAAAGATAATCTTTAAACGGACAGGTTTCGGTCCAGAAGACGCTACAGATGCTTCCAAGTATTGCATCAACCAATCAAGATTATCGTACAGAGAGACTAATTCCGATAAGGTTGGCCATCTTTAATAAATGTCTGGTCGGTGGAGAATGGAGAATGCAATAAATGGCTACGGCGAGAGTTCGATTGAATAAGATGGTAGAAAATGGCATGCAAAGTGTTATTAAATTTTAGTGAAATGTTTACTTGTTCCGGTTGTGTAGAATGGGAGGCTGCATAGGTATAACTAGGGCAAGAAATGCCTCAGTTAATGACACGTCAGAAAATTCGACGAGAACTAATTCGGGTGAGAGATTATGTGATGTGTCAAAGAGATTCGAAGATTAGAAATCAAAGATATATGAAATGTCAACTAACCTTGAAATTACTTTATTTTTATCTTTACATTCGAGATTTATATGGTATATATATGTATTGAGGTGTATGCATCACACACATTTATCTCTGCTTAATTATCAAGTATAATATCTATAAAAGTAAAATTTTTATTTTTTATATATACATATACACGCATTTATAAGTGTGTGTGCATGTATTTTACACATACATAGCATACTGCAGATTAGTTATAATCCAAGAGATTTAGGATTGATTTTTACAATAAATAGAAAGATGTAAATTAAAATTTTTGAAAACTTTTATACTAATTATTTTATATTACAATAACTTTTGATTCCTATATATTGTAAAATTGAGATTTGATAAGATTACTGTGCAAATGCAACTTTGAATTGTGTATAACTGTATACAATTATAAAAAAAAACTTAAAGATTAAAACAATCTTTATACATTATTACAGATTTTTGTATTGTTCTAGTATATTAGAGATATTATAGCATAATATAATAAGAATCATAAACATAAGAAACTTTTAATACAAGTAAATAAAAAATTGTTCTATTCAAATGTGTTACATTATAATGTATATTTATATAATTAATTTAATATAAATTTATTAAAACAAATATACAAATATATATAAAATTAAAGCAATATGAAGATATATAGAAAGCAATATATATATTTGTACATATATTTTGATAGAGGAAAATAAATTAACTTTCGTTTAACTTTGTTTCTGTAGGAAATACCAGAAAAAATCATCTCCTATGTCATGAGGTAATTAGATGGAAATCAGATGTACCTCTAACCGAAGGTCAGTTAAGAAGTAAGCGAGATGAGTTTTGGGACACTGCACCAGCGTTTGACGGTCGTAAAGAGATCTGGGATGCATTGAGAGCAGGTGCAACTGCAGCAGAAGCACAGGACTATCAATTGGCACAAGCCATATTAGATGGAGCTAATATTTCTGTACCAAATGGTTTCTTAACAGAATGTTACGATGAGTTAGGAACTCGTTATCAAGTACCTATTTATTGTTTATCCTATCCAATTAATATTGTAAAGGAAGATAGTGGAAGAGATTCACCTGCTGATTGTTCTGGTAATTAAATTTTGTAGATATTTGTTTGTAGAATATAAGAAGAATTTAAATTCAATTTTGCTCTTTATTATTAATTTTGTGTAGAACCGGTTGATGAAGGAACAGAGCAAACTTTAAAACTTAGACTATCGACTACTTTGGGAGAAGTTAAATTACCTGTTTATAGCAACGACACTATTGCTATTGCAAAGAAAAAATTACAGGTTAGTACAATATCAATGATATTTATAATTCTTATTCTTATCTGAATATTGTGTATGTTTGTGTATATGTTATATATACGACAATCGCTATTAATAATAATTGTGATTCTCAGAGTCAAGAAGGTTTGGAACCATCGCGTCAAAGATGGTTCTTTGGTGGTAAATTATTAGGTGATAAAATGCATATAGAAGAAGCAAAAGTGCAGCCAGGTTATGTAATACAAGTAATTGTAAATCCAGAAAAAATGGATAGCAATTGTGCAAAAGCTAGTTAAACTTGTGTGTAAACGTGACAAAAAGTATGTTATGTTTTATCAGAAATCAATAATAGGTATATTTTTAATCTTTGACAAAATTCGTTAATTGCATGTGAAAATATTTTTAATTTTTTATCTGTTATTAAAAACAACTTGGACAAAATAAAGTTTTGTATTATGAATTTCTATTTAATGAAATTGTGAATTAAAAAAAGTGCAATTATAGTTTTGTTTAATACATTTATATTTATCCATATACATTACTGTGCAATGTAAAAGAAATATATAAGAATAGCATTTAAGAAGAGAGAGAGAGAGAGAGAGAGAGAGAGAGAGAGAGAGAGAGAGAGAGAGAGAGAGCGAGCAAGAGCGCAAATATCAAGTAGTAGCATATCTTTACAAATTTGGTATCTTGAATATTTGCTATAAGCAAATTGACTGAAAAATTATATGATTTATTTATATTTAAAATATATAAACATTTTTACAATTTATGCACTTTCTAATAGTAACAAAAATTTTTCACGTTATAAATTGTATATAAAAGCCATTGTACAAAAGTTACATATTATTAAATTATACATTAAATAACAGTAGTTATTTATGAGATGTTTCGAGTAATATAAAGTGTGTACACATATAAAGCATATAATATTATTTCTTGTGCAAAATAAGAAGAAAGTAACTTTTGATTTTAATAGCATTATTATCACATTACATTACTTACGAATGCAAAGTATATACCAATATTGAAATAGACAATACTGGACAAAAACAAAATATAATACTCACATTGTAAAATATATCTGAATTACATCAGAAGATGTCTAATGACTTTGTACTTGCAACACTACTGAGTTATTCCTTATTCTTTTATAATTTCTATTATAGATTAGTTTTATGTAAGTAAATAATACAAGAATTTATTTCTGTTTATTTTTTTTTAAATACATATTCTTCAACTATATCTCGGTTTCAAAACATTAATCATTTTATTAACATTATAATATATAATACATAAGTCTAAATGCGTTTGTATTACCATATATTATTTTTTTTTTCGAACAAAAACTTAAATTTATAGGCCTAATCATTTAAATAAAAGTTAAAATGTAAAAATATAAGATTTTAACAACTAAATCATATAGAAGACACATATAATAAGACTAAGAATAAATTTGCATTTATCTTATAAAAATAAGAAAAAATTAAGAATTTTATATATAATGTGTGTATACATTACACACACACATACATACATATAAAACCAATAGCTTTGTTATATGCATGCAACACACATACATAATATAATATTGTATATATTAGGGAGAAAGAGAGAGTTCTCAAAGAGTGCTTTGCATCAAACAAATCAATATTTATCAAATGAAAAAATTTGTTCATCATGCTTTTGTCTTTTATATATAATACTTAAACTGTATATATAAAAAGAGAGATGTACACTGCCCAGTCTCGATTAATTTATCAAAATTTTGAAATTGTAATAGTATTTATATTTAATTTTTCGAATTGTATCAGTTTTTTTTTAATGTTTAGTGGACGAAAATTTAATCTATTAAAAGGCAACATAGGGAAGAGGATCAAGAAAATTTATAATTTAATATAATTAACAATTATAGAAAAATTAATCAGTGAAATTATATTTATACATATAGTATGTAATATTAATTATTAAGTATTGTTCACATTGCAGAGTTACAATAATGCTAATAAATTTTTTTATCAAATTAATGTTAAGCGTAGCAAGTGTGTATAATTACTTTGCAACAATTTTATAGGCACCCAAATAATAAAAAAAGAACCAATACCAACTTTTATATGATAAAAATTGAGCGCAATAATCATCTATTCTCTCATCAAATGTTCCATGTGCATAATACATAAGCACATTGTAACAGCTCAAAGCATATTAAATAAGATATCTATATTACATAAAATTTATATAATAAGTATATGTGCGTGCGTGTGTGTGTTTATTGTAATTATGTCTAACGATAATTAGTGTCGATAGAAATTTGTCGGTTTTTAATAGTTATATTTTTGTTTGTAACTATAATATTTAAAATATGGTTCTTAATAATATTGACACTTAGTTTAATATATTAAGCAAAAGTGTGATGTTACAATTGTCGCAAAAAGTAGGAAGAAAACAACTCTTGTATAAATAGAAATGATACAATAATGAAATGTAATTTTAACTGCCTGATAAAAAAATGGTACTTAATAATACTGTATTGGACCAATCCAAAACATTCTAAAATTAACAAATAATTGGCGATAATAGAATAAGTGCCCTGTAAAGATTGTCTTCTTCTATATGCGAAGAAGAGTTAAATAGTAAATTAATATATTTAATAGAAAGAAGAGTCTGTGTGTGTGTATGTATATACATATACACATACACAGACACATATATACCTATATCGCTTAAATACACGATTTACACATATTTCAGAATAATTGATTAAACAATATCGAAGCACTTGTTTTTATTTCAGGACACTGCTATATGGAAAATATCCATTTTATTTTATATTGGTATTCAGATTGTCTTTTAAGATCGTGTTCGTGTGTGTATGCGCGTGTGTAGTTATAAACATAAAACTAAAATATTGTAATATTTTATATAAAAAGCTATATAAAATATTTCATGTTACACATGTATTTGATAATATACATGTTGTTTAGAAAAGAAGGTTGTGTATATAATATATAAGATTCCTAAGATTAATTATTATAAATTCTCTTATAAAATAAAGCATGAAAATATTGAATATAAGTTACACTTCCTAATTGCTTGGATATAATTATATGATATAATCATGTTATAAGAAAATGAATAAAAAGTAGCACATTTTTCCATGGATAAATATCTTTTTTTATTTATAAAGAAACTTTTTGTTTCTTCATAAAAAAAAGAAAACTTCAACATATATAAGTTTTGAAATTACAGTGTTGGTATACATTTTACTTAAATAAGATTTATTCATTAAATTTTCTTTAGATATTTCAATTCATGACATAACCATATTATGGTACTTAAAAGTATAAGACTACCAGACTGATGAGATGCAGCTAATGTTAAAGGAACATGAGTTAACAAAGTCGAAATGCCTAACAATACTTGAAGATAACCAGCACAAAGTACAGCAATCATTGCCTTTCTTCCTCGATTAGGAAGTTTATATTTACGGGACATAATACCCAAACAAGTTATTAATGTTAGAGTAGAAATTCCCTGCATAAAGAAAAAAATATATATACTGAAATATGAGGCAATAAATGGTTGTATATACATAGCTTACCAAAATTCTGTGATTGAATTGGACCGTAGCTGGATTTTCTGTGAAATTACTTAATGTAGGAGACATGGCAAATACATCATCAGGTATCCATTTATCTGCCATTTTTGGGAAAGTATTATATATTAAACCAGCATCCATTCCAGCTACAAATGCTCCTGACAGAGCAGTGAAGAATATCAATCCTTTTGCCGAATAGATTAATCCTTTAAACGTTCTTATCGTTTTTACCGCATTATTTGTAACTTTGGTATCAAAGAAATTGGTAGTGAGTTTTTCAGCAGGAATCAAATGATCCAAAGCATTATAAAGAAATCCGATATATATAAGCAATGCTAATCCAAGATGCGCAGCTAAACGATATTGCGATACCCGCGGCACATCAGAGGGTTCTACAAAACGATCTTCTAATCCAGATTTAACCATATACCATCCCATGAGTCCTTGTAAGCCAATTAATAAACCTAAAGCAACAATACGTGTCTTCATTCCATGTTTTAGCATACCCTTAAACCAAAAATATGTTGCCGGCATTATAAATACAGCTCCAATTAAACGTCCCCACATTCTATGTAAATATTCCATCCACCAAATACGTTTGAATTCTTCTAACGTCATATTTAGATTCGTTCTACACAAAATATATATATTAATAATGTATATCTCCCATAGTATTAAGTTTTTTTTTTTAATATTATTGCATGTATATATTTCTTACATTTTATATTCAGGAAATTGTTTGTAACGTTCAAATTCTGCGATCCATTGAATTTCATTAAGAGGCATTTTTTCTCCTAGTAATCTCCAAGTAACCATAGATAAACCTGATTCTGTGAGTCGTGTAATACCACCTGAATATATATATATATACACAAGAAGAAATAATTTTCTGCTATTTCATAAATTTTATTTATATTATACATGTAATGCTCATCATAAATATTAGATAAATTTTAATTAGATGTTGATATATTAGATTGTGAAACATGAATACTGTTATACTTAAAATTCTATTTTCCATATGTTTTTTCTGTAATAATCTTCATTATGTTACAAATACAATAATAATATACAAAATAAATAATAGTACCTAACGCAACTGCTACAAAAACCATACCGCCACAAGTGAGCAACCAAGAGCCCACAATTTTGTCATATTTATCGCTCCTTTTTGAAACATAACTACGAATTGCGATATTTGCTTGTTTAAACGGTCTCTGTCAATTAAAATTAATATGTTCATACATCTATTAATATCTTAATACATCACAAAATTATTTATATTGAAAATGCAAAATTTGTCACGTGTCATGATATACGCCAGGCATATATAGATGGAAAGAATTTATTTACCTTTTGAAACAGAGATGAATAATATGTCTTGAAGGAAATATCGTTATATCGAATGATGTGGGTTCTTGAATTCGTGAAAAGGCATTGTCGGCTAAGAGTATATTTCGTAATGTTATACGCTCCGAATATCTTTGTACGATATCTCGCGATATTCAACATGTTGTAGTTTATCAAACAGTTTATTATGTACATATAACAGATATCGACTAAATCATACTACACGCATGAGACAAGTAGAAGTTTTTCTCAAAATGCATAAACAGGTGCGAGGAGAATACATTTCCAACTGCAGTACATATACTCCTCTCGTATAACGTGTATGCCGAGTACCGTCAAGTGTTTTCTTGCGTTCTTCTTTTTCTGTATGGCTGCTAAGGCATCTGGGGGATTCGCCTATATGCCACAATGTGCTTGTTGTAGGGAATTTGTTGCAGGTTTCATAAATTATATGGTGATTTCTGCTTTTTTTGTGAAGTTGTATAGATTTCTGTATGTCTTGGTGTTATTGGAGAATGCTAGTATAGGGATGTCCACATTTGCTCCAGGAATAAAGCGGTAAATGGAGGATTAGGGTATTCGAATAGTCCGAGAATGAAAAAAGATGTGGTTTAGATCTTGTGGAGCATGCTGGGGAAGAGACAATGTCTTTTTCCCAGAGATGTTCGTTTGTACAGGCACAGATTAATAGACAGATCGCCAAAGGTTTAGACAGGCCTTTGGGTCGGTAACTATCAAATTCCTATATATTTATATATATAAAATACTATATATATATATATTTAATTATTAATTATGTTGAATATAAACTATATAATTATAATTTATAATATAGTAGAACGAATAAAATGTTCTTATTAGCTATTTATTGTCATGATTATCGACCGATGCCGGGCCCACCGGTCCCACTTGGTAGGGACAAAAATTTACCCAGAGCCGATGGTCTTTAACAGTAACCTTGTCAGTGCTCTAACTTACTGCACCAATGTACACTAGTTCACCAATGCAGCAATAAAGTACAAACCCAATTATTCAAAACGTGTAATTTACGTATGCGCATGACTTTCACTTGCTCCTACACTTCCACGTTGACTCTCGGTCACGATTCACGTAATACTTTGCTTGAGGTTAATTGATAATTACGGTGAGCGCTTCAATGTAATTCACTGTGTGATTTATAAGAGTACATTCTGATATTTATAGACGCTCTGAAATGGCAAGTCTAATCAAGAAACGCCATGCGGACAATAATTACATGGAGGTATTGTATCGTCTTGAATATCTTTGTTTAATGAATGTGTTTTCTAAATAATAAAATTGATTAATGGAAACGCGCGTAACTCATATTTAAATTACTCATTACTCAATACTTTTTTACATAAGTTTATTACATGTTAAATATCATACATTTTATTAGTTTATTATATTTATTTTTTAGATAGAGACAATTAATGGTATACAAGGAAAAGTAAAGCAGCATACAGCTAAAAAAAGAGCTAAGAATGTACAAGATGGAGAACAAAGAAAGGTAAATTGATAAATCTTATGTATATATGTGTATATATATATATATATATATATATATATATATATATATATATATATATAGTTCAATAACATGTGTCCAATATTAAATAATAAATGTTTGTCATAGGTATCAGTTCCAGCACATAGATATTCACCTCTAAAAGAAAATTGGTTGAAAATATCTGCACCTATTGTCGAACATTTAAAATTACAAGTACGCTTTAATCTGAAAACTAGAAATGTTGAAATTAGAATGGCACCAGAAACTCCAGATATTGCGCATCTCCAAAAAGCAGCAGATTTTGTGAAAGCATTTATTTATGGATTTGAAGTGGAGGATGCTTTAGCTTTATTACGTCTGGATGATCTTTTTGTGGAATCGTTTGAAATACAAGATGTTAGACAACAGATAAAAGGTGATCACCAATCTAGAGCAATCGGCAGATTAGCGGGCAAAGGTGGAAGAACAAAATTTACTATTGAAAATGTAACAAAGACGAGAATTGTATTAGCAGATACCAAGATACACATACTTGGTTCTTTTCAAAACATACAGTTAGCTCGTAGGGCAATATGCAATTTAATTTTGGGTAGTCCACCTTCTAAGGTATATGGACAACTAAGAAATATAGCTAGTAAGATCTCAAAACAATAGTTATCTATATATTATATTTGTATCACATATATGCATATACACATTTTTTTTCTTGTATCGAAAGTTTGTTAATAATAATAATAAATGTTCTTAACTGGAATTTTATGTGCACATTCCTTACATTTAAATTAAAACTATTATATATTATAAAATATAATTAAGCATATTGCAAGTAACGTGATGAGAAAAATGTGCTTATACTTATAAAAAAAATTTATAATAAAATACGATAGTATTACCACTGATGAGGTACTATTCCTCGTCGGTGGTATTACCAATTGCGAGGTCTTATATATACAATATATATAATCTCACAATTAGTAACATGATACTATACAGAATGTTTTTAATTTTAATCAACTACCTTATATATATATACACACACACACACACATTATATATATATATATATATATATATATATATATATATATATATACAGGGTGAGCCATTTTAATCAATGCATGTAAATATCTTATATAGTAAAGATGGAAAAATGTTTCAAACAAAAGTTTTTTAACTATGAGGGGAACATAAAATGGTGTTATTGATTTGACCTTGTATAATCATTTAAAGGTCACGTAAAGATCACCTTCAATTTCTTAAATGAAACCTGCTATTTTTCATTACATATTCTTATAGCTTATCTGAAGAGCTTTCCAAAATCCTATAATAAAGTGTTGTTTGATGAAGTACTTTTCAAATGATAAAAGTTTAAAGTTTTTACAATTTTTTAGCATAAAATGTAAAATATCTTGTAAAATGTTCAGTTAAAATCAAGGACATTATCTTATGTCCTCCTCATAGTCAAAAAACTTTTGTTTGGGACATTTTTTTCCATCTTGCTTACTATACGAGAAAATTTACGTGCATTGATTAAAATGACTATTTATATATATATATATATATATATATATATATAAAAATCTCATCTATCAAATAATTTAGATTCATAAAAGTATTTGATATTTATATTTACGTGGTACTTTGTTAAGAACTAATCTACCATCGTAACTAAGAGAAGCAAATGTCCAGGGATCAGCAGACGACCATTCCACTGCATATACGCTATCTTCATGCTCTTCGTATCTTCCTACAAGGCCATCTTCTAATCTAGAACGTCAAATATAATTTCTAGTCCATTTGCAAATTAGTTTTAAGTATTATTACACTGTTAAATATATCTATTTACTTTCTTTTTCCACAGGATTCATCATTTTGTAAAGGAAATTCATCTTCAGTTGACACCATATGTCCAAATGGTTCAGATGAAATAGATGCAATACTGTATAATATTATTCTAGAATCACTACTAGATGTTAAAACCAGCTGATCGTGAAAACGATTAATTCTTATATTCCACACCCAATGTGAATGTTCCATACGCGATAGTACGGGTTCTGTTGGTAATCGAATATCCCAAAATTTCATATATCCATCATCTCCACAGGTGGATAGAAAATACTGACGATTTGCATTAAAATCTAAATCCCTGGAAAAAAATTGTAAAAATAAGAATTGTAAAATAAGAATATGCTCCAATTTCTATTAACATCAAGGATTAATATTTCATAACGTCAAGGATAATAATTTTTATATTTATTACCTAATAATTTGCGAGTGTGCAGATAAAATAGACCAAGCAGCATTGGCTGGGCTTCTAAAATCCCATCCACGAACGTTATTTTCATTTAAAGTTACAAACTGATTGGCACCATTATGAGGATTCCATTTACCATTTGTAAATCGTGGCTGACCCTTGCCTGTCAAAGTACCAGAAGCTGCTACCTAAATAGAACATGGAAACATTATTAAATGTGTTTCTAATGTCTTTAAGATTACATTCAAACAATATAATCCTGTGTAGAATAAAGCAAGGAATTAATACCTGTGGCCCTTTGTTTGCTAAATCCCATAAAATAAAATTATTGTCTACTACAGATACAATCTTTTTACAATCCGTAGGATGATAAGCAATAGTTTTAAGATCGGTACCATACAGGGTTGTATCAATATCTGCTAATTTATCGAGTTGCAAAATGTCATTTGTATATTCTTTTATCTCGGGAAATTTCCAAATAGCTCCTTTCATTTGACAAGTGCCTTCTTCTAAAAAGGTACATAAACTGATAAAAATTATTAGAATACATGTAAAACTGCAAAACCCTAATTATTAGTAAATCCACTCTCTAGTTGATCTGACAATAAAAAAAACTTATAATTTAGAAAATTGAAGATGTATTATACATATGTGTGTGTGTCACATAATATTATTATATATATGTAAGCATTTACCACTCAAATGATTATAACACGTAATAAATACATCAGGTTCAGCTGGAGAAGCTTGTAGGGACCAAATTTCTCCTAATGGATGCTGAAATACTTGAGTCTTTAAATTACCCGTTTCCTCATTAAGTTCCACCAAATGAATTTGATTATTGCTAAAGTTTAAAGATTGTGTACCTATCAAAAATCTTACAACATCAGTTTCAGCTGTTTGAGCAGACAGTGCTCTAGTCTAAAACATAAAAGAATGGAGAATTACTTTAATATAATTTATTTACATCATATTTAAATAAATAATTGTATTAAACTTTATTATTTAGCAAAATAAAAGGAAAACTATAGGTTCTTATTTAGCATTCATAGAATTAATATATACTTGGAATTCGAGTCCATATATAACAGGATTATCATTTTCCATTTTGAAATAATGCGTTGCACCAAATAAACTATGAGATAATTATAGATACATTAGAGAACTTGTGTAATATAAACAAATGTATATATATTTTTTGCTCAGAGTGGAGTTAACCTTTTCACAATCTGTCAAAAACACATATAGTGACATAGACATACAAAATACATAGATGGAACATCAGCTATGACAGATATCGCAAGATTTTGTGTGTTGATTGGCTCAAATGTTTCGAAATAAAAGTAACATCGATAGAGTGCATCTTACGATATATATATGTTCTAAGGATCTAGCAAGATCTAGCACGAAAAATCGCGCCGCGAGTCGATATGTACATGTTGTTTTGTGCAGTTTAATATTTTGCGGTAGTTGTGATTAGTTGATTATTGACTGATCGAAGCGTTGTGGTAATCTGTAGACAGATAAAGCGTTTTCGATTATGGCTACGTCACCAAATTTTGATTTAAAAGAGAGATTGGATGTTTGTTTCAAGGATACAGCAGCTCTGAATTTACTATGCAGAAGTGTATCTTCTGGTATGTTACACATTTCACACACAACACACATACACACATAATATACTATGCAGATCTTATTTTTTTAAATATTTTTTTATTGCGATATTTTCTTAGATTTTAACTTATTGAATAATAGTAGCAATAAAATGACCAAAATTAAGTTTTAAGAAAAAATAAGGTTTGCTTAATAATATAATTATAATTTAATGTATAATAATGTAATATTTAATTCCTTTATTATATCTCTAGCACAAGAAATTATAATTTTATAATTTTAGGTCATATATGTGTTTACTACTTTATTTGATTCTTTTTGTAGCTCCCTTGTGTAATCTATTGTGACTTTTTAAACTTTGATTTTATTTAGCGTATCAGAAAAATTTATAACTTTATTTATCTTATACACATATAATTAAGACTCAATCCATTTATATGTTATGAAGAATATTAAAACGTTTTTTTTCAGAGATAGAATCAGGTTCTATGAAACTTTGCACATTAGTGGAAACACTAGGCCTTTATATGACAGACCAAAATGTTCTTACAAGAGAAACAGGGGTTACAGCTCTTTCTTCTGTTTTGTCACAATTATCCCAAGATTATCTTACAGAATCAGAATTGTATTTTATTACAATCTTTTATTGTGACAGGATAAAGGATCATTATAGTATTGTACCATCTGTATTAAATGGTATTTTAGCACTTGTGAGCATTTATTTTAAAGATAATTTCTTTTTATAACTCTTAAATCTTTTCTTCTGACACAAGTGCTTATTTGTAAATTTTGTTTTAGGTAAACATGACTCATTTACCTCAAAATGCACCACTATCACTGTTAAGAGTTATGTTTGAGCATGTTCAGTGTCAATCTCAACTATTATCAGAACGTCGCAAAATATATTTAATATTCAAAATCTTGATAGAAAACAAATTAGACGACTTAAAATCTATGGGATCAGATTTAGTTTATGGTATTATTAGTTCTATCGATGGTGAAAGAGATCCAAACAATCTTATGTTATTGTTTAATATATTACCACATTTCATAAAAAAATTTCCATTGGGCCATTTAGTTGAAGAAATGTTTGAAGTTATGGCATGTTATTTTCCAGTTGATTTTAATCCTGTAATTATATTTGTTTTTCTTCGCTTTGTGCAATATTTAAAAAGATATAAATATATGACTTAAAATATTATTTGCAGTCTGGTACAGAGGATCTAAATGTGACACGGGAAGATTTGGCAAAAAGTTTGGCTCCTTGCTTATGCATTATTCCAGAGTTTGCAGATTATTGCATTCCTCTTATAATTGACAAATTATATTCCACTCATAGGATTGCTAAACTCGATTCTTTAAATTTATTACGCGAAGGCGTTCAAACATTTGGGCTGTTGAAAGTTAAATCGTATCTACCAGAACTATGGACAATTTTAAAGAAAGAAATTATTCCAGGAAAGGATGTCGAAATAAAAGATGCTGCTTTAGAAACAATAACATCTTTAATTAAAGTTATATCAATTGATGAAGCTGTTTGCAAAAATTTTATCGACACAATAATTATTGACATAAAATTGTCTCTATCTGATGTACAACTTAGTTTGTATAGACCTGCTCAGAGATTATTAGAGACAATAGCAATAATTAATAAAACAATATGTGTGCAAATCTTGCAAGTCGTAATACCTTTATGTATCGGTCAATATTCTACAAGGAATTCATCAAATGATAAAATTTCATTGATAGAAACTTTAAATAATTTTGTGAAAATTTGTTCCTATTATGGCTTTTGCATTCAAGGTAAATTGCATTAAAACATTACAAAATTAATGTTGCATATGATAGGAATTTTTGTAACTTGTAACACTAGATCACTATTTTTTTATTGCTCTTTATGAATTGTGTATGCAATGATATATTAATATATTTGATGTATACATATGCATAACATATGTTATTAATGAAAGAAAATTTAATTTAGATGTTGCAGAATTAGCATGGACAAATATACTTCAAATATATTTAGATGGTTTGAGAGTAGAGAATATTGAGCTGAAAAGCAAAATATTTGTCGGTTTAACAATCCAAAAAGCTTATTTAAATGACGTACAACGTACTATATTCTATAATGCAATATGCAACGAAATTGAAACAGGTTGTGACGAAATGCAGATTATATGTCATACAGCTATTATAGATTTTGCTACATTGTATCTTCAAGAAATATTATTGCTAGTTAAAGACAGATTATTATCAAATATAGGTGAGTTACATTGTATACAAGTGTATATAGTTAATAATCTTAAGTAGTTGTTAATAGAGTGGGAATAATATTATTGGAATGTTCCAGATGAAACGGGAGTAGAATTATTGAAACGTAGGATAAAAGCTTTGTCAGCAGTTGCAAAAATATATGAATTAGGTTATGCAATTCTTCCAAAAATTGTTTTAATGTCGACAAACAATATTAATACTGACATTAGCATTACAGCATTACTGAATATCCAGAAGTTAATTGCCTCAAAGAAATCTGATTTCAATATACATCGATTTCTATATAAGGAATGTCATATTATTGAGAAATTAATTTCGTACAGAACAAATGTCATCAATCAAAAAATGTTGATATCTAATATTTGTCAATTAATTGTACGAAATCTTACAATCGAAGAACAATGCACAATTCTAACAAAGTACGCCGTGACTTTAAATACAAAAACTTCGAAAACTGACGTTACGATAATAATGAATCTTTTCATTCCTTTGCGGAAAGAGATTAACTTTAATATTACCAATGATATGATAGAAAATTTGTGTAATCTAGCAATCGGCAATTACAACCCGGATATAAAGCAAATAAGCTGTAAATTTTTATCCGTTTTATTAAATAAAATGGAGATGGAAGATCTTAATAGAGTTGTACCTTATCTTGAAGACAAGATAAATAATAATTTAAAAACGGATAATGATATCGAACTAAAGCAGCATACAGTTAATTTTCAAATTTGGATAACTAAAGCGTTTGTCACGAGAGGATATTGCAAGTCTCAATATTTTTGGAGAAAGTACGTGCGCGATTATATATATATATATATATATATATATATATATATATATATATATATATATCCAGATAGCCACAGTAATTATTATAATATCATTTTGATGTTATAATAATTACTGTGGCTATCTGGTATATATATAATTATAATATATAATACTTTAATGTTTAATGTGTAAAAAAATGAGCAAATATACATACATAATATAATATATTACTTTGTTTTCACAGCTTACACATTTACTAACTCATGATGAAATGGGTCAATTTGTAAGTGAACAATATCAGATTTTAGTAAGTAAATATGAAGATACTTTAATAGTGGAGAATTTCTGCAATGTAAAAATTTTTTATAAACAAAGAGTATTTGAATATTTGTTACGACAAACTATTAATTTTACAAGTTTAAATAGACAGAATTATCTTATCGCTTTGGTACATTTATTGGAACAAATGCCTGAAGAATTATTGTTCTTGCATTTGACCGAGGTAAGTTCTTTATCTAATTTTTTACATAAAACATTGTAAATGATAATACAATTTTGATTATTATATTTCGCGTTGTTAGTTGGTGCCATTGCTGATCGAATCTCTAGCTCTTAGTAATGACTATTTAATTCTGTGGACTTTGATGTCGCTTAAACTTTTGCTCGATACAAAACACGACATATTTTTTGATAATGTACAGTGTGTTATACCGAGAATTGTGCAACTATCAGCACATCAAATTATGGTAATTACTCGCATTACCTTTAATTTTTTTTTAATTTTATTTTATTTCATTACTTACTATATGTAATCTTATATTGATATTAATAGGGTATTAGAATAGCAGCTCTTGAATGCCTGACGCATTATGCTAATTATCCCACTGTTTTGATCAATCCATACAAGCAAGTTGTATTAGACAAATTGGGGATAGTGATCGATGATCGCAAACGTTTAGTCAGGAAAGTTGCTGTAGAAGCGAGAATACGATGGTTTATAGCAGGTGCATCTGAGACTAAAGAGTAAATGATATTGCAGTTTAGTTTTACGTATAAATGTAACATGATTAATTATATATATATTTTTTTGCATTATTTTATATATTCTAAAAAATGTAAATTTCTTATTGTTAAATATACAATCGTGTTATATATCTAAAAAGTGTGTGTGTGTGTGTGTATATATATATATATATATATATATATATATATAGAGCTTTTATTTGGATATTTAATCACAATTTCCTAAGCATCTTGTCCTCCTCTAGGGTTTCCTTATATATATATATATATATCTCCATCTCCCGGATTTCCCTTTCTTAATTGAATAAAGAATTGATTTTCGTGTAAATGGATTAAAATCACAATCAGATTAACTTAGATATGTTCAGTACGAAGCAAACATGGGCGATGGTGAGAATATAATATTATTCATATCACTTATTTGCTTTAATCTACTATTCTACTATTATCAAAGTATCAAAATTAAATAAATGTGAACTATTGGAGACTTTCTTCAATTTTTAACTAGAATAAAATTTTTCTAATCAAATATTTGTGTGATACATGTATATGCGTATTTGTAGGTGTGGTAAAGAATGGCGCGTATAAATATGATGATAGTACAAAATATATCGGAGATTGGAATCGTAAAGGATTGAAACACGGCGCTGGCTTATTAGTTCTTCCAGACGGGACACGATACGAAGGAGCATTTCAGAATGGATTATGTTCTGGCTTGGGAGTTATCATATTTTCCGATGGAGCAAAGTAATTAAGTCTACATAGCAAATAAATTTACTTTAATATCGCGTTTCAGTCAATTATATCCTTATACACGTCTATAAAAAAATATATATATCTTTTTTTTTTTTAGATACGAAGGAGAATTTATGCAAGGATGGTTCCATGGCCATGGTGTATTTTGGAGAGCTGATGGAATGAAATTCGAAGGGGAATTTCGCGGGGGTCGTGTCTGGGGCTTAGGCAAGTGTGAATCAGATTATAATAAATAATTATGAAAAATAATCTCTTTTAATATAAAACGTTGTGACTATTTTTAATAAAGAGTTAAGAGCTTTTTATATAATATATAATATAATTTGCATATTATATATGTATATATATATATATATATATTTAATAATTGCACTTACAATAATGAGTTGTATATATATTAATTATTGGATAGGTTTAGTGACTTATGCCGATGGATCGCATGGATTTCCAAGGAATGAAGGTTTTTTTCAAGATTGTAGATTAGTAAGACGACGACGTTGTCCGGATATAGTACAAAAGGCGCAAAAAATTTCTATGATGGCACGTGCTCAATGCATTTGAACATAAATAGGTGTATTTTAGTTAAAATACATGATTAGAGAAAACAATGAGACATACATGGGTCATACATAGATAGTTTTGTTTGATAATTCTCGTATTTCTCTTTGCAAATATTTATATAATTTTAAGAGAAATAAAATCATTTATTTAAATATACTTTATTTATATTTTTATTTGAAACCTGAGATGAAAAAAAGAAAGAAAGAGGGGGAAGGAAGAAAGAGAGCATTTTATTCGGTTAATTACGAGCAAAATTTTAATTTCTTACATTTGAGCAATATTCAATGCACGCGCATAGACATAAAAATGTAAGCAAAGATACATAATATATATGTGTATATATATCTTTACATATTTATAAAGTTAAAATTTTAATGCAAACAATTAATATTATTTATGATGTCAATTTTTTGAATTGATGTAATTTTTCGGAATGAAATGTTATTACAACGAGTTATGTTTCAAAAGAAAAAGTTGGAGAGGAGGGATCAACAAGGCTAGACTACTTTCCGCTCAGAGAGGCGTGGTCTCCAAGCCGGATGTTCCAGTTTTGAAGGTATGAAGGTACGGGGTAATATAAATCAATGTGTATAAAAATTCGTCCTCAATGTTTCGGTGCAACAATAAAATCTTATTCAATAAATTCTATTTCAATTTTATATTTTGTTATACATTGCGCTACTCTATACCGAACATTCTATTGCAACTTGAAGATCGAAATTTTAAATTTAGAAACTTTTAATTTAAAAGTTAGATATGTATGATAGATTATATAGATGTATAGACATGCAAGATGAGAAGTAAGTTTTACATATTTTTCTACCTTTCGTCTTTTTTTCTTTTATATTATTTACAGAAAGATCGTCTTTAAAATTTCAAAAAATTTGTTTAAACATACGAGGATTAGCATTTTAATCGTATATATAGAATGTAAAGAAAAATAAATTCAAATAAATAATTGCATGATGCCATATATGTGTATATGAATACTCTTAAAAATTTAATGTATTCTTTTTCAATGTATTTTTAAAAAATTAAGACCCAAATAGCAAGCACATACGTCATTTTGACGTTGATCAAATGACATATCATTATAGACAGATGTCAATTTGCTATATGCTTGGGGAATAAATTTAAATAAATCACAAACAACAAACAATTGGTGTTTTCCATTTAGGAATACAAGTCGACACAAGCGTCATTTTATCTTTGTTCTACATTCTATAAGAATAAAGATAGAATGATGCTTGTGTCGATTTGTGTTGCTAAATGGAAAGCACCAAATATATGCAACAAAATAGAACCATTAAATGAAGTTATTTGAAATAGAATTAATAGAATAATTTTATTTAATAAATTATTAAATTTACTTTTCGAAAACAGTATTTACTTTATCTGCTGTTATTCTTGTGTAATATCGAAAAAACTTGATGAAAATACATATTTTAAATAATATATGTATATATATAAATTAAAATTCTTATAATTATGTTGAATGAGGTATATCAAATTTAACGAGAAGTAAGACGTTTGCGCGCACTACAATGGCGCAATATTAAATTTATCCTTGACACTATATCTCCCACCGTAACGAAAACTGTATATACATCGAAAGATTTCGAGGCTCGTCGTTTGTCCGCCAAGTATAAAAGTACCGATTGTCACCGAGAGTAGCATTCGTATTTTGGCACAGACACAAATAAGATAGTCTCATCACAAGTTTTCCTAAATAAACAATATGGCAGTTAAGGTAAGTACACGGTTCATATATTTAATATAATTTACAACTATTATAGTTTTTTTAACAGAATCATAAGAATAATGTATAAGAATACAAATATTGCATGGTTCAAAATTTAAATTAATGAAATGTAACATTTCAGCTATTCATAATAGTTTGCGTTTTGGCTGCGGCCAATGCCGGCTATGTCGGAGTGTCTCCCTTACAATATCAGATTGCACCAATAGCGCATGTTCAACCCCATGCTATTACGTCGACATCTGATAATATATTACGCAGCCATGGTAATTTGGCACAAGTAGCTACGCAAACGAAAACCATCGATACACCTTTCTCTAGTTCAAGCAAAACTGATATTCGCGTAAGCAATCCGGCGGCTGTTACGTATGCGCATTTTGCTCATCCAGCTACCCCATTGACGTATACTGCTGCTGCTATACCGGCAACGGCGGCTATACGTGCTCCGGCCGCTCTCGGAGTCGCTTATTCACCGGCAGTCGAGGTATCTCATATGAGTTACAGCAGTCCAATTGGAGTTGCTTACGCCTACTGAATAGAATTGATTACATATACTTGCCGACTCTGTTTATATAAAATATATATATATATATATATATATATATATATATATATATATGCATATACCTATTTATAATCATCAAGTATTCTGCAACAATTGTAACTTGTCGTGTATACGTAATAAACTACATTTTTTAAATAGAAAACGCATTAATACACACATTAATTGTGCTACAAAAATCAATCAAAATTTTTAATTAATATATATCTTTTATATATAACTACGGTGACCATACGTGCTTTATTCTAAAGAAGGGCAGTTCTTTTTATTTCAAGTAGTCTTTTTAAAAATTCATTCGTTTCTTCAAAACTTTAAATTTTATCCAATTACTTTTACAATTTTATTATCCTTTATTTCTTACTTAGCGTTTAAACCTATATAGAAAAAAAACTAAAAAAATATGAAAAAACCATTCTGACATAATTAATAGTTCTTCAATAACATATATTGAAGAACGAAAAATGCTGCCTAATGTCAAATGTCATATCTTTAATAAGAAATCAAGAATTTATTGTTTCAACATGTAATCGAATCGCAGTTTCAAACTGCAAGAGTACGTAGATCTCTGATAATCACAAACAGGATCGATAGTAATCGTTTTTTTTGCTTGTCAATGTCCAAGCCAAAGTGATCGAAAACATATTGAAACAAAAAGCCCTTTTTCAAGTTTGTCCCTTTTATTTTTTATCCAAAATTTTCAGATTTGTTATTCTTTATAGTCATCGTATTTATAACTTTTTTATAAGCTGTGAATTTTTCAATCTAGAAATTAAGTATAATTTAATTAAGTCAATTTTGAATGACGAATAATGTGCGCGCGCGCGATATAAATTATATACTGTAAACATCGTATAGATAAAACAATTTTTACATAAAAGTTATTTATTTGCATATGATGGAAGCATTGAATAAAATGTTTACTTTGAGAAATAGAATAAAGTTCAAATATATATATTGATAAGTTTTTTTTATTATGTCTTTTGTTTGGTATTTTCTTATTAAGAATAATTTATTATTTAATAAAATTAAAAATTAGAAAAAAATCTTTTTGATAGAAACAAAATTTAGTAAATATCTTTTCCAATATTAAAAGCCATATTTGTAAAGATTGCGACGTATATGATAATAGGATGTAGCGATGGCATATTTTATATATTTCATTCAACGCGAAATTTAGCCTAGTTTAATTCCTAATCCCAGAGGTGCAGCTCCGATAGCAGCGGGTTGGGCCCATACAGCGGCGGGTTGAGTCCATGTAGCGGCGGGTTTAGCCAATATAGCGGCGGGTTGAGCCCATGCAGCGGCGGGTTTAGTCCATGCAGCGGCGGGTTGGGCCCATACAGCGGCGGGTTTACCCCATGCAACGGCAGGAGCGATAGCGGCGGTCAACGGTGCTGCAACATTTAATGTTAATTAATAAATTAAATAGACAGAAAGAGGAGTGGGGAAGAAAGAGGGAGAAAGACTTATATTTCTTCGCAAATTGATTGTTTACAAGAAAGTTGCAGAGCGAATTTAACTATTATGTATTGCTTCACAAGTAGCAAATTGACGTCATTAAACGTCAAAATGACGTGTGCTTGCTTCCTGGGTTGATTGAGAGCGACGCACACCACACATACCATTACATACTCCATTATAATTTTTTTCAATGCTATTGTATAATATTTCGTGCTTTTTCATAATGAAAGATTTATTTATACCTTTTAAAAGAGGAGCAGTAGCAATAGATGGCAATGCAATCGCAGCTGGTGCCGCAGTCAAGCCGCCGAAAACGCCAATATTTGCGATAGCCAAAAGGCAACCACAAATTATCAACAACTGCAAGTTTAACAATGCTGATTAATCTTCGAAACATTTACATTTCTATAAAATATCTCATCGTTACAAATGAATTAATATAAATTTTGATTGCGTTACTCTGTATTTATATATATTGGAGTATTTTATATGTTATAAAAGCTTTTATCGATATACATATAATGCGCTCCTTCTTCTATAGGATTAAAATACTATAGTAATTGTGCTTAGTGTATGAATTGTTATCATATTTCTTTAATTATTACAATAAATTATGAATTTCTTAACAGAAACAAATTCAAAAGATGTCCATATAGAACACACATATATATACATATATATGCATCCAAATAAGGATGTCATCTTTTGAACTTGTGTTCTGTTATAGTGTTGTGTTGTAGCATATTTTTAGGAATATATACGTATAAATAATAATTGACAATCTTGAATCAGAATGTTGATTTTGCACGCGTAACTTTTATTATTTTCTGTAAAACTAGCGAATTTGTGCAAAAATAATTAAATAAATCTTAAACAGAGGCTGTTAGCCACTCCGCAGAAACTTACTTTGAACATGTCGTCCTGTTTTTCTATTTTCCGTTCAAGTACGAGAAACGTATTGAATGCTCTATCTAAATCTAACAGCCTATTTATACGTGTGTTGCAGCGCAAACCTGTCTAGTATACTTGCGGTGCATTTTTTCCCAAAAACTTGGCGTTTATATGTATATGCATACTATTAGCGGACGTTATACTCATAGTAAGGTGTTATTGCATCACATTGTGTTGTAATGTGCATTACCTCTTGTTAAGCCATGAATAAATTTTATGACGTAGATATATGATCATATCGAAGAAAAAATAATATTACACAAACTTTAATTAACATTTTCAATCTTTAATTGCAAAAGTAGAGCTTCAAATGTTACAAAAGTTAAAAAATCATGAATTTATTCTAACAGAAGATGAAAAATAAATTAATGTCCTTTATCATAAATTTTGACGTTGCATTATTATAGGAGTACGGAAAGAAAAGATAATCGTCGCAAAAACAATTTTATTTTCTTTGGTAATAAAAAATTTTAATTGTAAAGATTACAGATAATATATTACAAAAAATGTAAACCACATAAGAATTTGAATAATATTAATCGATCAGTTTTTTCGATCTCTCGCTTAATCGCGACAACTTCATCCATCTACCATCTGCTTAAGGGCCTGAGCACAAAGATTGTCGTAGTCGTTTCCGACAGAGTCGTAATAAACGTAAATCGGAATTTTAAATTAAGACACAATGATTTACGTAAACGTAGATCGTATTCATATAGCTGTTTACATGGCCTAATGAATATGGCTTACGTTTATATAATCATTGTGCGTTGACTTACATCTACAATTTACGTTTACGACTTTGTCGGAAACGACTACGACAATCTTTGTGCTCAAGTCCCAACTGTGTTTCTATAGTGTGCTATATTTTTATTTCATTTACATATTATTATTAAACACGGCTAAAGTTTTATTGACAATAGATTAAATAGATAATTTTATTTTTATTTCTTATAATGTGTTTTATAACATATATAATTCATGGGTTATAATACTTTATTTTTATAGTATGAAAAAAATAAAACAAAAAAATTATTTATAGCAATTTTGTTTAATTAACATGTAACAATTTATAAATTTTATAATATATATAATATTGGTTACAATAAGTCATTTACTCGCGCACATATAAAAAAATTGATATTTGTACATATATATATATATATATATATATATATATATATATATAGATACACACACACACACACTCACACAAATATCAACTTATATATATATAAGTTGATATTTGTGTGTGTATATTATATATATATGTACAAATATCAATTTTTTTATATGTGCGCGAGTAAATGACTTATTGTAACCAATATTATATATATATATATATTATATTTATATATATATATATATATATAACTTTGTGCTAAACTACAATGCAATGTCTATACTCTACATATTGTGAATATTGCATCATAAGAATGTACAGGTCTATGTATATCTCATTTATATTTACGATTGTCTGATGCAAGCTTTCATCAAGTTGCGCTGAAGCAGTCGAGAGAAGCCGTCTCTTAATTGATACATAAGGGTAAAAGGTGTATATATTGCTAATGTAGTTTTTGTTACTTGCTTCACACACACATGTATGGAAAAGCATAAGAGCATCAGTATGTCATTCGCGCGGGCGTGTACACATATACACGCACACGTTACACGTACAAATTTAAAATTTAAAATTTAAAAAAATTTTTGCGCTATTCAGAATTGAAAATATTTTGCTTTTGCTAATGCTTGGTATTTATTTCGATTAAGTAATAAATTATATTTAGGAAATTACACATTAATATAATTGTGTATACGTTAACAAATTGTTTCATATATTAAAGAATATAATATAAAATCTTTGAAAATATATATTTATAAGGTTTTAATTTGAAATGGCGGGATTGTATCTTGTGTAAAAAATAAAATTATTTCATATCAGAGGGAACCGAAACACTAGCATGTTTTTCTAAAAAATGTTTAATTATTTTCATTAAATTTTTTTAGTTATTCACTTTTTTACGTTTTCATAAAACATTTATTGTTATATAGCGAATGTCGATCGATTAATGACGGAACGTATATTGAGATTTTTTGCGAGAAACAAAAGTAAAAACAATTTCGGTAACTTTTGAGAAAGATAACTTGCACAATTCTTGACCTTGCATAAGATACATTTAAATCATGCATGTTCTTATAAAAGAAAATAGAAAGAAAAACGGTGAAGGTGACCTACATATATATATGTATATGAATGCATAATACATACATGCACACATGCATACACATAGGATATATGGCTAAAGATTGGAATTGGACCGCCCTTTTATCGTAATTTTTTCGTACACACGATAAATTAGGATTTTGAAAATTTTCTTTTGCAAACGTTTAATAGTAATATTTATAAATGCATAAGTTGTAACTACAAACGGAAGATAACTAATTTAAAAGTTGAAGAAAAAGAATAAATATATAATAATTGATAACCAAATATCTCAATCTTTGAAAAAGCAATTTATCAAGAATTTATTATTTTATTGTTAAAATTGTCTTTGTTATAATCCCATGTTAAAAATTAAGAATATTATCGAAAAATAGGCAAAAAAAACTAAACAAGACAAGAATAAGTTATTTACAAAATAAATTGTAATTCCATTCTAGAATAGATATAGAGAAAATATTTACTAATAATATAAATGTTTTATATTCTATGGCTGCGCGACCGACAGAATGCATGCATAGCAACATATTATTTAAATTCATGGACATATATCTAAAAGTGGCGATAACTGGATACATTTTCTTTAATAATTTTTCTTTTATTAAATACTGCAGAAAAAAAATAATTCAAGATTTTTCGATTTATTTTTCATCAAAGAATAACACTATGCAAATGATGGCGCAAGTTATGAAACATCTTAATGTACATATGTAGCTATATAAAATATGTACTTGCTAGTTGCAAATTATAATGTTACCTAAAGTGATAAAATCTAGAAATATTTTTAAACCTTACAATTTTTATCTAAAACATTTTTTCTTAAATGTATTGTTTATATTGAGATATTTTCATTCCAGACTTTTGAAAAACGGTGTGTGTGTGTGTGTGTGTATATATATATATATATATATTTTTTTTTTAAATTGTATATATATATAGATATACTTTTAAAAAACTGTATATATATATATATATACTTTTAAAAATCTGTGTATATATATATATATACAGTTTAAAAAAAAAATATATATATATATATACACACATACACACACACACCGTTTTTCAAAAGTCTGGAATGAAAATATCTCAATATAAACAATACATTTAAGAAAAAATGTTTTAGATAAAAAAATTGTAAGGTTTAAAAATATTTCTAGATTTTATCACTTTAGGTGTCATTGTAATTTGCAATTAGCAGGTACATATTTTATATAGCTATACATATATGTACGTATGTATGTATGTATGTATGTATGTATGTATGTATGTATGTATGTATGTATGTATGTATGTATGTATGTATGTATGTATGTATGTATGTATGTATGTATGTATGTATGTATGTATGTATGTATATATGTATATATGTATATATATATACACAATATATTGTTTATTGTATATATTTATTGTACATATATTGAGATGGATTGTACAATAAAATTTTCTCGATATTTCAAAATGTACAAAAATTTTATAGAATTGTTTTTGCGATTTGTATGTTTGAAAATCTTCAAACGAAAAAATGTTGCAACTTTGATATAATAATTACAATGTAAATCTCATTGCATATCAGATAAAACAATATCATCTACTGCAAGAAAAACATTTATATAAACATGTTTTTCATTATCAATATAATTCAGTTTATCATGTATCTTATTTAATCATTTTGGTTTTTATCTTAAAGCAAAAAAAAATTATAATTCTTACGTTCAATCTTTTTTTCACAAGATATTCTTCTGTGGTCTATTACCAAAAATAGCTGTTCCTACTCTTACATTTGTACTGCCAAGTTCAATCTATAGTAGAAAATGATAATTGTATTTGATGTATGTGTACATATAAAACTTATTAACATCATTATAATAAGTAGATTGTATTTAAATATCTCACCGCATGTTCATAGTCGTTAGACATTCCCATTGATAATTCGATATTTTTTATATCAATCTTTAATTCATCACTCATCTTTTCTCTGCATTTTATTAAGCCGACAAAATCTGGATTTGGACCATTTGCAATATTATATCCAAACATTCCTATTGTCATAAGACCCATAAATTTTAAATTATGGCAATTGTTTATAATGTGCTTTACAAGAGTCGATACTTGTGTAATATTACAGCCATTTTTTTCTGTAATTGCAATCTTTTTTATAATTTACAAAATAATAGATGAATATTATATATAAGTTGAATAAAATGACATCTTATATAATTTTTTTCATGCCAAAAATACAGAATATAAATACTTATTTCATTACCCTCTTCTTCACTTGTGTTGACTTGTACCATAACATTTAATTTGCTATCATCGCTCTTTCGAAATCTTGGCCACGAGTTATTAAGCACATTTGCAAGTTTGTCATTACTGATAGTTTCTATGATATATAAATTTGGTATATTTAAAATCTTATTGACCTTATTCCTTTGTAAATTGCCTATGAAATGCCATTGAATTTCCTTGCATTTTTCAAGAATCTGTGGGTTTAAAGCCTTTTCCACCAATTCATTCACATAATTTTCACCAAAATGTCTTTGACCAGCTTCATAGGCGCATAATATCAATTCTACCGATTGTAACTTGCTAACTGCTGTCAATCGCGGTTCATAATATCGATGTTCCTAAAAAAAATTATATATGTATATATTTGGATTCGTATCTCATCTAAACCTTGGCATTAATTTTCGTAATTTTATGATATTCTCTTATTATTTCGCAATGTAAAAATTTGGTGAAAAATATTAAATAAATATATTTAGTAGTATATATAAGCCTGAAATATATAAGAAGAAAGAGTAAAATACCAATGATCTTTTCGTAGCAGCACATAATATTTTATCGCAGACTGATCTCAAATTTGCTGCAATTTCTGCCATGCTGTATTTAAAAATCTCTAATCGATTGACTAATCACAGTTGAGCATTCTCATAACATAGGTTAAGTTAGGTTACGATTAAACTGTTTCACGTGATATCACAGATTGAGGAACGGTTGTTCCAACTGTTGGTAAGTTTTACCCAACAGGTAGCATATCTTTTTTTTAGAATTTATTTGAAGAGACACGAAAATATGCTACTTGTCGGGTAAAGTCGGAGAGAGCACACACATTTTGCATAAGCGCATAAGCGCATAAGCATATATACATATGAAATTCGATTGGTTGAATTTCTTACGCATATGTTTATAGACCAATCAAGATTCTTATGCTTACGCTTATGCGTCTATGCAAAAGTGTGTGCTCCCCGTTTAAACTTGGATGTGTTCTGTTTGACAACGAAAGATCTCTTTTTTTGATTGGTCAATGAAAAGTTTCGAAACGCTTACGTAGCGTGAAACGGAACACATCCATTGTCGCATACATGAGCATAAGCTATAAAGGAGCCATTTGTGACTTGTGATCGTGTTTGTCAATCACTTTGATTTATTAATACTGCGTTAATTCACTACTATTTTCGTCTAAAGTCAGAATCGTAATTATGAATATAATGAATATAATCGTCAAATTTTCAATTATAAATCTTAATAAGAAAGTAAGTATTAAATTATTTTTGTACGTGTTTCTTTAATGTATATTAATAGATTTTTCTATATTCTAAACATTTGCCGAATTGCAGATCTGTCAAATGATAATTTGGTCTAAGCTTTAAAAAGTGGTACTGTTGTTACTAAATTTTTACATCGTATAATTGCATAAACAATAACATTACATATGTCTGTACAACAATGCAAGATTAATGGATAACAAAGCCTGGATATTTTTTGGCATGTATTTTGTGTACCAATATATTATTGATTAACATAAAGAATTTAAACTTGCTATTCGATTCACAAAATTACAAAGTTATACAAAAATGGACAGTTCAAGACAGCAAGACAGATCTCTCAGCGGTGGAATTTCATTGCCACAATGGATGAAAGGGAAAATGGATAATAGGTAAGTTTTATTATTTTATCATTGCGTGCGTGTGTGTGTGTGTGTGTGTGTGTGTGTGTGTGTGTGTGTGTGTGTGTGTGTGTGTGTGTGTGTGTGTGTGTATGTATGTATGTGTGTGTGTGAGCGTGTACGTGTATCTTTATATATAGGAAATAACTTGAAATTACATTCAAGTATAATTAATATCATTTAGCTAAGATAATTGATATCAAAGTAATTGTGTAAAATCGTTATCGTGTTATATAGTTTGATATTCTGCCAGATTAGCCAGTGTTATTTATAGTTAAACATATATATAGACATGCACACATATGTACATACTAATATATAAATTGCTTTTCATAAATTGACTCGCTTGTATCATTGTTTTTCAAGTACAAATCGTATATATAAATATGTGAATATATGAAACATTGAAGATTAATTGTTAGATTATGTGTATGTAAATTATCTTTGATGCATAGAAACTTAATTACTGTAAAATCTTTCTATATGTAAATATAATATTTGACTTGTTTATTAATAAATGATATTTATTGCTTTATATGGTAAAAATTTATACACTTTTAATTTTTAATAATTTAAAACATTAAAATTATTATATTTAAGAGGCATACACTTTAAATCAAGCATCATCTTATAATAAATAAATAAATAAATTAATTAATTAATCACATCTTGTGTTGAAGCAACTTTGCTTGAATTTTTTTTTAGATTTGACTTTGATGAAGCTGCATTCAGTCCACCATCTTACGATGATAGCTTCTTTTATATAAGGTATCCAAAATCACAAAATCCTGAAGTATCGCAACAAGGATTGAAACATATTGTAACTGAGGTTATGAATGAAAATATTACGGGTTCTACAAATCAAATAGCGAATGAAAAATCCATTTCCAATTTGAAAGAAGTCAAGGAGATTGATTTTAGTAAACACCCTCTGCCATGTCAACCGTTTATACCGATTATAAACAATAAAGGTATATATTACTAAAAATACTTTATTCCTTAGAAATATAACATTTTAGAATATTGGTATATTTTTTATGCATAATTTTTTTTTAGCTAATGATATAAAATCTCGGAAGATTCCGGAAGCAGGAGGAAGTATAAAACCTAAATCTCAGGGAACGGACGATGGTTTTCACGGTGAACCAGCTCTTTGCGGCAAATCAATCGTCCATGTAGCAAATCAAATGATGTCCGGTAAATTTGCTAAAATATTTTCGTCAGATCCGCAATCTCAACAGACGGATGGTCAAATAAAAAATGTCAGTAAGTCATTACCAGCGACACCACTGACATCGCCGACAGGAACACCAGATAATTCACCAAAAGCACGTAGAAAGCTTCATGCCAACAGATACTTTACAGGCGCATTTGTACCAGACAAAGAGAAATATCAGGGTAATTGGATTTTGGCAAGTATATTAGGTCAATCTAGAGAAATTATTACTGCAAAAATAGAAGAAGAAGACGAACCTTTCGTCGAACCACTCAAGCCGCTTAATCGAAAAAAATCGATATCTTCGCAAAATCTTACATATATAGGAAAAGAAGAAAAAGCAGCAGATAAGTCGCCAGTTTACGTAAATATACTCGAAGCTAAACCATCTGAACTAAGAGAAATGAATTTTTGGTCACCGACTTCTATGTAAAATTTTGATTTGATTTAATTATACAATTATATATAGCTATTAATATAATATAAAAGTAACATATTTCTACCAAAGTGTATATTTTTTTGATTATTAGAATTAATTTAGATTAATTGCACAATTTAACAATGGATAGCTACATATAATTCTTTATATTATTATTATCTTAGCAACGATGTCTTTCGAATGTATATTACATGCTTAACACACATTTTCGGTTTTTATGTTATATTCTAAATTAAATATTTTGAAAATGATAAATATTTGAAAAATGATTGGTTATCCATAAATTTAATTCAAATATAACGAATATATATATATATATATATATATATATATATATATATATATTTATATGTCTATTTCAGAACAATTGTGAAATTGATGACGTCTCTGTTATTTTTACATATAGTATGCATCTGCAATTGCATTATGCGTTTAAATAAACCATTATTAATAATGAATAATAAAATGAACATATACTGACAAAATATAAAATATTTGAAAATAATTGTTTCGCAATTTTATTTTAATAATTTTATATACGTAATTCAATATCATGAATGAATTAATGTAAAAAAAATTAATTTTAAATGAAAAAATATAGTAAACATTTGGCAGATATATTATTGCATCTCAAAAAGTAATTAAGTGAATTAAAGGATAATTAATTTAATTCGATAGATTAATAAGCTATTCAATCTTTTGAAAAATTTGTTTCCATTATTACATATAAGCGAGATATAACACGCTCTTAATTACACTATTAATTCTATGTATCATACTTAACACATTATACTTGATATAACTTTAGCTATAATAAACTATAAACAAGTAAGATTAAATCATCGGTTCTGTAATATATTCAATATAAATCACAAATAATAAAGGCCTAAAGAGCCATACATGGATGTTGCTGTGTACATTTCCAACGAAAATTAAGTTTTTAAGTTTTAAAGTTTCGTTGGAAATAAACTTAATTTTCGTTGGTAATTTTAATTGGAAAACTTAATTTTTGTTGGAAATGTAGACAGCAACACCCACGTATGGCTCTTTAGGCCTTTATTATTTGTGATTTATATTGAATATAATAAACTGTATTTTTCACTATTGAAATAAAAGTATGACAAACCAAAACGTAATACGAAAGTTAATATATTGTGTATATAATGGTATAATTTATATAGAAAAAAATTGGTATCTTATATTAGTATTATATATTGTTTTAGATTTCACTATAATTGACGTAACAAATTATTAAATTTTGAAAATTCCTGTAAAGACATGTTTCACAGAAGTATTATGTACAACGTTGAAAATGAAACGAAATGCGACGTGTACAATGAATAAATAAATAGATATAGATTTCAATTATTTGAGATTTTCCTATATTATTTGTATATGTATTGAAAAAATATTAAGAGATTTTTATGAAATGTAGATGAGACGTATATGAATAAACATATAGTGAATGTAAATTTATTTTAATCAATAAAGAGCATAAAATAAATATATTTTATATATTTTCATTATTTAATTTAATAAATATAAAATAGAGCATACAATGATATTGCAAACTTTAAATTTATTAAACAGATGTAAATTTTGCTCGATTTACAATCCTCGACAAGTTTGGAAATATTACCTTACATCTTACAATTAAACAATCGCATTGCAGCGATTTGTACAGATTTTTTTTGCATGAATATATCATAATATGTTTAAACGACAAAATTTTTATTAATAGCATATCTTTTCTCATTCCATCTCCAGGTGGCGGAGATATAGCACCTCTTTCCTCATTCCATTTCCACCACCTGAAGATGGGATGAGGAAAGAGGGGCTATTCTGGTAATATTTTTAAATATTTTTAACCAGGCTCCTTCATTTTTTAGATAGTTTGAAAAGCTAATTGGGATAATTAATTTTTTTATTATTTTATGATCTCTATTTAGATATCGTAATGTTAGGTCATATGCTTTTCCAATATTTTTTATTATTGAGGAGAAGACTATTCTGTTAAGATTTTCTTATATTCTTAACCTGGCTCTTTCATTTTTTAAAAAATTTAAAATGTTAAATGTGATAATTAATTTAGTTATTACTTTAGGGTTAGCATTTAGATATCTAACTTGACGTTAGGTCTCTGTCTTTTCAATATTTTTTATTATAGAAAAAAGGGCTATTCAGTCAATATTTTCTCATATTTTTAACCATGCTTTTTCATTTTTAAATAGTTTAAAACGTTATTTGGGATAATTAATTATTTATTATTTTAGTGTCTTTATATTTAGATATCGGAATGTTAGGTCATTTGTTTTTCCAAAATTTTTTATTATTGAGTGAAGGATTGTGCTGTTAATATTTTTTTACCAATTTATTTTTTAACCAATCTCTTTTCTTTCTTAAATAACTATAGAATAATAGAAGCGTGCGCTATGCGCCCGCCGTTCCTCACTTATTTTATATTAAAAAATTAATCAAAATTGAACTTCATTAATCTTTTGACAGAAAGTAGCTAATAGATGTTAAATTAGCGCTATATAATTTACAAAAATTTCAGATTTTTGAATTCAAAAAATTTTTTTAATTATAATTATTATTATTAATTCTACAATTTACAGGAGCAGTCGGGAGACGCCGCGCTAAGTGTGTGTTCCGCAGCGTCAGTATACATATGCGTGTGTGCGTATGTGAGTGCATGTCAGTATGTGTATGAATGCGGGTATTCATATGTTCGTATGCGCGTGTTTGCGCGCATGAGTGCGTACATATGTGCGTACGTGCGCGCGTGACTTCGTGCGCGTACATGTGTATGAGTGTGTGAGTACGTCCGTTGAGTATCGATATTTGTGTTTGTGTCTATTTATTACATAAAACGTGCGCGTGCGTATATGTCTCAAATTTAGCGCGGCGTCTCCCGACTGCTCCTGTAAATTGTGGAATTAATAATAATAATTATAATTAAAAAATTTTTTGAATTCAAAAATCTGAAATTTTTGTAAATTATATAGCGCTAAATATGTATTATAACAATAAATTTAAATAAGAAAAAATATATAATAAACAACAGACTTTATTTATGTGTGATTATTTCAAACTTTTACAAGCTTATTTTTTATACTTATAATTTTTTTGTTCTTTTATTATTTTTAATTTTTGTTTTGTTTTTTACTTTAATTTTGTTTTTTATTTTTTATTTTCTAATTTTTATTTTTATTTTTAATTTTTGTTTTGTTTTACTTTAAATTTTTTGTTTTTTATTTTTTATTTGTAGGTGGTGTCAGGATAGTTTTAGATGATGTCAGGGCGTAATTCTAATAAGGCTTCTAGTGGATCTTAACAAAGGATCTTTATTAGGTTAAACTGTACTCGATAGAACACGCACGACGGCTCACTGCCGTATCTCTCGGTCCAACGGCTCTCTCTCTCCGCGGGGAACTGACTTCTTCACCTTTTTCTCTTCTTTCTTACGCAGCGCCGCCAGCGGTAGAGGGGGGGGAGTGGAAACGCAATTCGCCGCTCACGCGTGTATATAAATGAATATCGGTAGAATAATAATTCGCCTACATATTTTAATTTTTTATTTTCTAATTTTTTATTTTCTAATTTATTTTTTATTTTCTAATTTTTGTTTTAATAAATTAATTTATTTTTTATTTCTAATTTTTTTATTATTTTAATTTTTTATTTTTTGTTTTTTATTTTTTATTTTCTAATTTTTTATTTTCTAATTTATTTTTTATATTCTGTAATAACTGAACTAAACCTATCCTTATCGATTTCGGAGCGGTTCCTCCAGCGTCTGGTAGAATCTCTTGGTGTCAGGAAAGCCTCGTGAGCCTTAGAGATCCTTGAGAAGGCGCGTGGATGCAGCTTATTTCCGAAGGATATCGATACAAGGTAGGAATCTTGGAGTCAAGGGAGAATAACTTTGAGACATTATTGGAATGGTAAGTTAAGATATAATTCCTTCAAAATTAACTCGTTTACACAAATTATCACAATGACCCTCTTGCTCGCGCTATTACCTATCGCTCGCAAAACCCGAAGGAGAGTGACTCCCTTCCGATGCCGTAAGAATCTCGTGGTCACGCTCTCGCGTGCGCGCGCATACGTGCTCACCATCCAGTATACTTTGGTGGCAGCACCGCACGGTTGACGTCAAACGTAAGTTCCGCTGACAGCCGCGCGCCTCTTACAATTCTAATTTATTTTTTCTAATTTATTTATTTATTTTTTATTTTATTATTTTTTTTTATTTATTTTCTAATTTAAACATTATTTTCTAATTTAAACATTAAAACTTTGTAGGCAGCAGTCGGGAGTATTTTTTTTTTTTTGAAAAAATTTTTTTATTTTCTAATTTATTTTATAATATAAATATATATGTGTATACATATATGAATATGATAAAACATTTTAAACTTTTTTTTTTTTTTTTTTTTAAATAATAATTAAACATTTTTTTTTAATAATAAAAAAAATTTGTTAATATATCTATGTTCTTAATGTTTCTTCAATTCCTCATTTCTGCTTGTGATTATAATCATATATTAAATGAAACATTATGTTATGTCAATGTTTTTCTTCACCTAATGCAGTGGACAAGTCCTTTTAAAGGTCTGCACACCCATCACACCTCATTCATCCTACACACACAGCAGCACGAATACCTTAGACTCGTGACACCCGTACACTACAAAAATGAGTCTGTAGTGCCCCTGAGGGATTTACTTAGTTACCTTTTTTTTTTTTTTTTTTTTTAAGTCAGGAAATTTGCCTAAACCAAACTTCGCGTCCTGACCCTTGAGGGAGGGCCAGGAGGCTTCGTGGCGGATTCCCGCCCGTAGTATCCCGAAGGACTATCGGACGGGGTACCAGCCTAAAACCTGACTATAGCCCCTGGTCGTTAACGGGTATTGTCCACCGCGGAACCGCAAACGCATTACTTCACGGTGGACACCCATGACCGGATCCTGTTAAGGATGCATCCCCGGGCAACTAAGTTGCCCGTCCAATGCCCTCACCCCGAGAGGGTAAATAGGGGGAGCCGGGCTATCAGCTCACCCCCGACCATCCCAAGGCCGACGTGCAATGGGATTGGAGCCCCCACTCCTTTCCCTGCCAGCCTGGTTGGCGAGATGACCGCAGTCATCAGCCCCACATGAAATGACGTCACAGGACATCACGAACTCAACGTGTACACTACATGTATACACAACCACAGTAATAAATAG